GCATCGACTTCAAAGTCAAGACGGTCTACCGCAACGACAAGCGCGTCAAACTGCAGATCTGGGTGAGTCCCGTCACTATATGTCTGTATATATATGCGCAACGGGAAGAGTACTATACGTCGAGTTGTTTGCTCTCTCCCCTCGAGTGCCGCTTGTTATGCCGTTGGCGTGTTGTTCCAACGTCCAAGAGTCCCTCGCGGCTGTGTGTATATGCGCGACTCCTCATGCTAATTGATCAATAATGCAGCTGCACGACTGCATAAAATGCGGAAATAAACGGTGACGTTGTTGCAGGACACCGCCGGCCAGGAGCGGTACCGCACCATCACCACCGCCTACTACCGCGGAGCCATGGGCTTCATCCTCATGTACGACATCACCAACGAGGAGTCTTTCAATTCCGTACAAGACTGGTACGTAGCGTACAGCAGTATATACACTGCGTAAATTAAGAAAACATAAGAAAGCACAAATATATACAATATACCGCCTGCATATAAGCGTAAATATGTGTGTATAATATATGTATTGTATATATACTCGTATACAGTCGTATAACTCGAGTATTTGTACATTGTATATGTTTATACTGGTACTAGCACTTGTGTAAATAAATATGTACTGTACAGTGTAGGACAAAATGTAGATGCCTCGTTTTTAACATGTACCGCGCAAACAAGCGCTCCTTTTTTCGAACCCGGCGGTGGCAGTTTATGCGCATTGGACGTGTCCCTGTTGCACACCGTTTGTTGATTTTGTTATCCTATTTTTGCACCGGTATATTGGCCGATTTCCACTTTTTTAGTTCTACATTGCAGTTTGGTTAATCCCGATAACGAACGAGACTCTAGCCTGTTAAATAGCCAATGGTCGTCAATGATTTTTAAGGATACATAAATGCGCGCTGGATGACCTTTGTATATATGTGTGTTTGTACACAGGTGCACGCAGATCAAAACGTACTCGTGGGACAACGCGCAGGTGATCCTGGTGGGGAACAAGTGCGACATGGAGGACGAGCGCGTCATCACGACGCACCGCGGCCAGCAGCTGGCCGACCAGCTGGGATTGGAGTTCTTCGAGACCAGCGCCAAGGAGAACATCAACGTCAAGGCCGTCTTCGAGCGGCTGGTGGACATCATCTGCGACAAGATGGCCGAGTCCGTCGACACCGACCCCACGCTGGTGGCGGGCGGGGCCGGGGGCGCCGGCAAGGCGGGGGTGCAGCGGCTGGGCCAGGCGGGTGACCAGTACAGCCAGAACAAGCCCAACGCGCAGCAGTGCCAGTGCTGAGCGTGCACGAGACGGGACAGGGCAGAACAGGACAGAACAGACAGGACCACTGGCGTGACGGCGCCCGCCTCCACCGGGCGCCGCTCACAGTCCCCGACGAGTCTGATGCGTGGCGTAACAATAATAAACGCGGGTTTTTGTGTTTCTTCTCTTGTATCTGTACTTGTACCTATGCTATGCGTTGTACGTGACTACTTGTACGTACGTGTGCGATGAAGTAGACTATAAGACAGGCAGCGGTGCATGCATGCTGTGCACGTGCTCGTGTGTAGACGTCTTCGTAAGTGACTGGCCGAGGCGGGGGGCCGCTGGCCACCGCCCAGCGGTGCGGTCAATGCATGCGTTATTCCTTAATTGATATTTATTTATTAATCTGTCAAGTCTGCACGCTTTCTTTATCGGTGAAATGGACGGTATACCGTTTCTTGATGCTCCTGTATACCGGTGTTCAAAATTACGGCATTTACTGCAAATGAAAGTCCATGTGTCCGTGCATACGTGCTTCGACATTTAAATAACCAATCCGAGTGATGAAAATCAAGGACTTCCGGCGCAACCGCCCGGCGCGGCAGTGTACTGCGAATTTATTTTGAAAATTTCCGAAAATTCCCATGCTTTTCCTTTTTATTTTTCAATACAAAAAAATGACTTTGTCTATGTATAAGAATAAATCGAACGCAGAACAAATATAAGAATAAATATACAAATAAATCGAACGCGAAATAGTGCGAGTTTTCGTCCAAAACCACATAAAGACTTCATTTGTTTTCTAATGTTTAAATTTAATTAATTTAATTTAATGTTTTAATTTAAATATGAGGTAATGTATCAGCGCTTGCGAATACCGTTACGTAAATGCTTAGTTCCAGTAAATGGTTTGCACATTAAAAAACAATTACAGTTCTTAAATAATGTTGTATATCGTACAGAAATACGGTTGCGCAGCAGTAAGCAGAAGAGTGTCACGCTTAACGCGCTAATTAGGACTTCGTCACGCTGAATTCTTCGAAGGCCAGCGCGCTTATCAGGCATAAACGCGGAGCTTATCGCGCAAGGGCTTTCCACGGACAAAAGGTCGTGAATGCCGGCTAATCGACGATTAGACGGTGAATGGCAGTCTTTGCCCCCGCAACACCACACAATGCGGCAATTAAATCCGCCTTATCACTGGCGAACGACAGCTGATTAGCGCTTCAAAGCAGGCGAGTCCGATATCGAGGAAGCGGAACGCTAAACCAACAACATTCGATCCTCCTATCAGTTCTTCACTTGTAATTCTTACCTGGATGCCCAGTTTCCTTTCGAAGCTTTTTTAGCATAAAAGCAACCACAACTCGGCTGATTTCCTCGGGACGATTTATTTGGTCAATTTACTATACCTGTTCTTCATAAAGAATCCTTAAGCAACCACCATGAACGGAGCTGTAGTGTTGATCGCTTGTGTAAGTCACCACTATACATACATGTTTCTGTATATATATAATAATATTTACAAGCGTGTTTATATAATATTATTATATCTTTTCTGCCTTAATCATTTTCATTAGTGTAAATCTGCGCGAACGTATTGATCAGTGTTGGTAATAAATATATGTATATGTAAGTATAAATGTATATATATTTATATATACAAATTTATCTACATATGTGTATATACTAAATATACATGAATATATATCTATATATATGTTTTCTGCCAGTGTTGAAAATGTAACCATTTCAATGAGTGTAAATCTGCGCAAGCGTATTGATTAAATGTGTGTACTACTGTATGTAGGCCCTTGTGGGACTGTGCGCCGCCGCGGAGGTGCCCCCTCGCCCGGTGGTGGGCCGCGACTGCCGCGCCCACCAACTGCAGGTGGACGAGTCGCACCTGCTGGGCGCCTGGAGACCGCACTGCGACGCGGACGGATCCTACTCCGCCCTGCAGTCGCACGGCAGCACCGGCATGTCCTTCTGCGTCGACAAGCTCGGCACCACCATCTTCCCGCCCCGCCGCGGCCTCAAGGCCTGCGCGTGCCCCCGCGAACGCAACGACAAGCTGCAGAACATGAGTACGTCGACCGCTGCCCGCTGATAATAATAATGATAATAATAATAATAATAATGTTGGGTGTGTTTGGCAGTGATCGGGTCGTTCATCCCGCAGTGCGACCAGGACGGCACCTACGCCGCCCAACAGGTCTGGGGCAGCACCGGCATGACCCGCTGCGTCCGTGAGGACGGCACCACCATCCTGGAGGGCCGCCAGGTCCGCGCCTGCAAGTGCCCGCGCGCTGCGGACGCTGCTCCCCAAAGTAGGTTGCCATTGACGCAGACGCCGGTCGGCTTTGACCAATTATTCGCTGCTTTTTAGTGCCCGGCGCCTTCCGCCCGCAGTGCGAGGCCGACGGGACCTTCCGTCCCCGCCAGAGCCACGGCAGCACCGGCTACTCGTGGTGCGTCAACCAGGAGGGCGTCGCCATCACCGCCCAGGTCCCGCCCGCCCAGGCCGCCACCCTCAACTGCTAAACTAAACTGACTGGTCATTCCACGCGCTTCTAGTCAACCAACAACTAACTCATGTTCTATCTCATGCTTATATATTCAACGCAGGCACATGGGTGCAATGCGGCACTGAACAACGAAAAGTTAAATAATTTGTGAAGAAAAACATCCATCACTAGAAAAAAAAGGTGAAATAAAATTCCGTGCTGAATGGTGATTGCTGAAAAAATTCTTCCAAAAAATCGCAAGATATTTACGTATAAGAAGAACCAACAGAATATAACGACGAAACATAGAACTAATTAATTATTGATCTTTGATATAATTTGGAATTTTTCCTACTCATTTTGTCTAATCTACTGGATTACTGTAATTGTTATTTCCATTAATTATTATCAATTTTCTCCTGTTTTGTTCATATTTATTTTGTTCTTAATGCAATGCGTAATATGCGGATTTTTATTTCTCATTTATTTTGTCATTCCTAACACACGCGACAATAACTACCGAAGGGAGAATAAATTAGAGAAAAAAGCTCTGATTACTAGCCACAAAAAAGTGTCACAATGGGGAATAAAAAACTGGACTGAGACGGCGGTAGATAATCTGCTATGCGTCCAATACTGACTGGATCTGACCTGATTGACCAAGCTAACACAACGTACAAAAGCTGCGACTGCCTTCCCCGACTGCGCGACCCATCCGCGACGATCCGGTGTTGTATGAGAACGGAGTGGATCAGAGTTTGAAGAGGCAGGCGGTGAGGAGGGCGATGAAGAGAAAGACGGCGATGACGGGGTAGTACTTGTCCAGGCCCAGGCCCCCGGGCAGCTCCTCCTCCGCCGGCGGACTGGCCGGCGCCGGGAAGTCCAGCTGCGGCGCCGACCACGCCCAGGCCTCCGCCTCGGCCTCCTCCTCGGAGGGGGCGCGCTCCCCGCCGCCTGGCGCAGCGCCCTCTTCCTCCTCCTCTTCGCGACGGGCCGGCGGCTCGTAGCGCGGGATATCTACATAAGGAAATCGGTCAAAAAGAAGAGAAACGAAAGGAGGATGTTGGACACACCTTCCAGGGAGCCGCGCGCCACGTAGAAGGCGTTGCACTTGGGGTTGTCCTGGGATGTCTGCAACAAGAGGAGATATCAACGTTCCCTGATGGAACAGGAGAGGGAGAGTGCCGGGCGCACCTTGACGAAGTCGAGGCGCAGCGTGCCGGAGTAGTCGGACTCCTCGGCGGTGTGCGTCAGCAGCAGCTTGTTGCCGGTGATGCGGAAGGGGATGTGCACGTCGAAGGCGGCGGCGCGGCCGCCCGCGCGCTCGAAAATGTCCAGCCCGTCCACCACCAGGTGCTCGCCGTTCAGCAGTACGTCGAACACCTGCCCCGCATAAAGCAACCGCCTTATTTATGCAAACCACCAAAGAAAACAAATAAAAAATGCAAACAAAAATTAGATAAATTACAATATATATACAATTAGTATTTACACGTATTTGTTAAAATATCGTTGTACAGTATTTTATTTATTAAATATTCATTCGGCAAAACATAACGTTAGCAGATTGATTACCGGAGGTTGATTGATTTGGTTCTCTGTGAAATAACCAACCTGGGAATTTCAAATAAATATTTTTTCAATGATTAAATCACTGATTTAGCGAAAAATTTTATTCTTCTGTATTTGATCCTCTCCTAATGTCGCCTGTTTTAATCAATAATTTTTACTGACCTTCATTTGAGGCTGGTTAAAGTACACCTCCGCAAACTGCAATCAAAAGGCAATACTGTAAATAAATTCTGCAGATATCAAGAGGGAGAATGCGGCCAATGTGTGCTGGGCGCTTGCCTTGAGGACGAGGACAAAGTTGGTCTGCTTGTGCGTCTTGGGGATGGGGATGTCGTAGCCGAAGGTCTGCTCGGCGTAGCGCTCCGTCTGGTACAGGATGAAGTCGTCGGGGTGCGCGTTGCTGATGGTCTGCCAGTGCAGGCCGTAGTCGCTGGCCTGCCCGTCCCGCCCCGGATCGCTGCAACACACACACCTCTCGCTCAACGACTACTGCAGATCTGCACGGGATGCTAACTTAGAAGCGTTCAGTTATAGTTCCACGGATGGCAGCCTCGCAGACCCTGTCTGCTGCCAACTGCAGCAGCCCCTTACCTCATGTAGGGCACCCCGAAGTGGTCGACGTGCTCCTCCCCGCCGCAGTTGATGGCGTACAGGATGTCCAGCTTGCGGCCCGTGGCCCTACGGGCTTCCTCCACCCCAGGGCCCGGGATAGGGGAGGGGGATGAGGAGGGATCCTGCGCCGTGCTGCGATGCAAGCAGACGGCAGCGAGGAGGACGCCCCATAGCCAGCAGGGAGCCAGGGGCCGCCGACGACTAGCCTGCAGCATTTGAGCAACGGAGGACGACGGGGAAGCGTTGAACTGACGGACTGTGACTCGTGCGTCCGCCGCTAAGAGCCCAGCGGGTTCAGTTCCGCAGCCACTGCCAGGCAGAAGACTCAGGAGACGAGAAAGACGACGGCTGCCACAGCCTGCTGCCACCACCACGCCTCAGGGCTCGCACTGCTTTCCGATGATGGACAGCCACGCAATCTCCACAAATTATGCAACGGAATGCCCGACACGCCAGTAACGTAAAATGAAACTTGGAAGAAAGATGAGAACCTGTTTCTGCTAGTTGAAGCGCACCGTTCAAACTTCAAATGAAAATTAATGCAGGTGTGGAAGCTGGCTCGATCGATAGGAAGTTTTCAACGTCATGCCCGACGTAATGCACCCGCACGGGCGGTGGCACGCTCTGCAGAGCTGACTGACTGCCGCCCGCCCTCCGCTGTCGCCTGTCAGCACACTCAGCTCAGCATGTGCATGTGTCCTACCTACTTCCGGTCCTATTCATTTCAGGTATACTCTTACGAGTACTGTACCGAAATCAAAATACTTAATCAAACGCTGCCGAAAATTACAGAGAGTCTATCTCAGACATTCTCTGGGAAAGTTTTCTGAATTTGCAGTTCTATAGTTAAAAAAAAATTCACAAGCCAGCTAACTGTAAACAACAATGTACTCGTACATTTACATGTATTATAACATGCACGTTCGACCAAACAAAGTTGTACCATACTTCTACTCGTATTTATACGGTTTATAGCCTTTGTGCGGTCGAACCGTTTCTTTTTTTCATTATTATTAATCCATTATTATTACTTTTGGATTTTTCGTGTAACATGCTGTCACGTCTTTACTTCGTTCTCTCTGGTACTTACTAATATGTAATACGACAGCATAATCATCATGTAACGTAAAGTCATTAATACAACATATCGGTTGCTATGCACTGACACACTGACACATGCAGATATCTGTAAAGTCTCGATTAAGACTTATATATAAGCTGACTTCCGGTTGTTCAGCTGGTTGGAACAGCGGATTATGAGTGGTACACCATGTTTCAATAATCTACGTATGTTATATCATATACGATAATATAATTATATATATTTCATTGTTGACGAAATCACAGCAAAGCTGCCAAGAAAAACAACATCGGGCAATAATTATTCCCGACCAGCCAATCTAAATGCTAAAAAAACGTCTTCGTTGTCTCTCATGTCACTAAAAGTTCCGAGGACAGAAACTGCACTTCCTCGCTGTATCTCAATACTGATTCTCTGGCGCAAAAACTCCCCCGACCGTGGGTTACCGCTACATTCGCAAATCTTCCTCGATAACTCCTTAAAAAATTTCTTTGTTAGCGGTCCAAAAGTTCCCGTAGTTTCTATAATATAATATAATTCGGCTTGGCTGGGAAGGCACATTTGACGACGAGTGTATGCCACAATTGTGCAAATGTGGCATATACGCAGTCTACTGTAGTCCTTGAGTTAATTGTATCTTCCGCTGGCGGATGTTTACGCGCGCCGCTTCATTCTGCCGACAGAATATGCGACACGTTAACGCGCGGCAGGAATGTGCACAACAACACGGACGGATCCCGTTCAGCTGGCAGATCGCCCACGGCCATCGCACTGATCGCAGCCCCACCTTCACATTCATCAACTCGTACACAAAAATATTTTGTAATTAACTCGCGACGCATTATACCTGTAAAGCTGTACGTATGCTGGCGTGTATACACCAACACGACTTACAGTTTAATCTGTTTTTTATAATTTTAACAGGTAATCGCAGCAAATATTGTTCATGCGGCACGGATTTATCACTGTACATACTGTACTCGTAGGAATATTAACCAGTCGCTTTATCTATTCCGTGATATGATAGCGATACCAGCGCACTTCTATCCTACGGTATAGTTATATACGCAGTAAATGAGCCTTGCTCCAAAGCGGTGCGATTGTTTTGATTTAATTTTTATTGCCGGAAAGCTTTCTAATGTTGTGCATGAAGGACAAACATCCGTGGATAAAGATGGCTGTCAATATATATGGTGTACTGAATTGGCGCTGTGGGCTGCGAAGAGATGCACGAGCCGGTTGTTTGTGGATTTGACCTTTCTTAACACTGGGCTGTGGGCAAGGGGAACACGCATTTACAGCGACAAACAGGACGCAAAGAGGCAAAAGGGGAGATGTGGATCGAGGCCGGCGCAGCTCGATCGCAGCCGAAGCCCTCCAGTTACAATTGCATTACAGGGCCGGGCATTGTGCGGCACTGGCAGCAGACCTGCTGGTGCTTGTTGATGTGGCTACTGTGACTGACCGCGCATCAACAAACATCAGCTGCTCTGCTCCGTATGATATACTAATTTTTCTTTTATGGCCAATGCGCCGGAAAGCAAGAGCGTATGACTCGGCATTATGCCAGCCAGTATAGGTATTCCCTAATGGCGTTCTCGTCCTTATTTTTAACGCCGTGTGAAACCGGCACAGTTTACTGCTATAATGCACTTAACTTGTACTGTAAAGTTATAGGATTAACCTTGAGACCGCCTCGTCGTCCCTTATAGCTTGACCTTTTCTCAGTTTCAGCCCCAGTCGGAACCATGCAGAACATCAATGGTTAATCAACCTTGCGTTTATAACAGATACAGTAAGTAATTGCGAGCTTGTTGTTTGTCATGGCTCGAGAAGACAGCTCGTCCAATTAATCTAACCGGCATATGTACGGTACAGGTGTCGTTGGAGAGGTAGTTATGGAGCATCCGTTCAAGCGATTCGCCTACGTTTTAAACGACTTCTACTCTTTTTCCGAGATGGCTCTAACTGACAATAGGGATACAATAGCTCCTTTTTTGCTGCTTGTGCACATGTACTTCTATATATAAATATACGAGGGCCCTTTCATAAGTTTTAGTCTTTGCTGCACGGTTTTGAACTAAATCAAATTTACTTTTTCGAATCCATAAAATCTACTTCTCTACTCTGTCTGCTCTGCAGGCATCTGCTCCCCAATTCTTGAAACGAATTCAGAGAAAAATGGCGCGGTAAAGAGGAGATCGACCCATAAAAATTCTGTTTCTCTTCTTTTTATGCTTTTTGCTCTTAGACATCTCATATTGCATTAAAGTGAAAATTATTTTGAACTAGTAGAAGGTTAGGCTATGTTGATAAAATGGCTGCGTCAAGATATTCTTGCGTGATGTTGCAAAACAAATGAGCGATAGGACGAAAAGTGTAGGTGCGTGCTATCTTGGGGTTGCCCCGTGCGGAGGCTATACCGTGTCAAAGTCAATCTTCTCCAAGCTTATCTGCGAGGAGCTGCAGCGATTCCTCGAAACCATTGCTTCCTAAATGTTTAGTCCCTCTACTATTGCTTTCATGGTTCAACGAGATTATTTTTGTTCGTGGCTGTTTTAGAAGAGACGTTGTCTAGATGTAAACATTAGAGTATGGTTCCTCAATTCCCTGGTCTACGTCACAGAAGATTGCTCAGCTCGAAATAGCTTAACCAGTCCACAAACGTTAGAACGTGATGGCAATGAATCAAGGAAAAGAACAAATAATTCGCCAAGAAATAAAACTCCAGTGTTCTTTTCTAGCAATTTCTTGAAATATGTAAGGAAAATCCGCGGTCGGTAAAATGTTAACTCATTACTGACGCGAGGCATTTTGAGCCTGGGTGCCTTTGCACGAACGGATGCCAGTCGCCAGCCGTGGGAGGTATCACCTCGGCCATTGCCCTATGATCTAGTTATGAATGCTACAGTTTTTGAAAAATCAGATCATAATTTTATTAATTTTGGTTCGTATCAAAGGCGAAAACTTATGAAAGGGCCCTCGTACATAGTGACTACATACATATATACATACTGATACATACATGTCTGTTGCTGTGCATATAGCATTTATATGCTGTACTTCGTACAAAAAAACAGTGCCACTTGTAACATTATCACATTCCACTGCAGCTGTAAACCCACCATGAACTGAAGCTGTAATCGAGCTGGAAAAGAATTCTTTATGGCGAATAAACCTTTCGTGAGAAGCCGATGTATCTTGCGTGCAACCCGTATAAGCATACAACTACTTTACATATCTACCTACATACATACAGATACGTAATATATACATGCGTAGCAGCATCCAGCTCTTGTATCCAAATCTGCAACATCGCACTAGTCGTTGTTATTCTACAGGGCAGCGTAACCGTTTTTTCGGCTTGGTGACAAAACGACAAATCCATTATACACTAGTTTAGTGATAAATTAATGAGATGAGGAAATAAAAAACGACCGATATTTCTATTATATCTGGATCATTTACAGAGTGATCTCTGTTTTTTTACCAATAACGATGTGCGAAGTAGGTACGTATAAGAACCGATATACAGGAGTATCTACAAATCTTGTCTCTAATTGAAAACTGGGCTGCATCGTCGGGAACGACCAAGGCAGGGCGCAGAGCATTAACTTTATCGCCAATAAATCTATCTCTACAGAGTACGTTGGGAACTGCACGATGCATATCGCCGGCCAACATACCGGTACATATATACACAGCGTACAGCGCGCGTCATGATAAAAAAACCTTGTGGCACATGCAGCAGATGCGAGGGTGGAGAGAGTGCCGAGCTCGTTATGGGTGGAAAATTGATTTAGCCGTGCGCTGTTCAACGGCCACTGATTGTGCATGCAAGTCAGGAGGAAATCGATATTTAATTATCCGATCCATCCGCCCTGGACGAGGCATTTCCAACGCCAACCAGCGAGTTTTTCTTACACCGGGAAAAGTGTTATCCGTTCCGCCCGCCACCGGGCGACGGCCAGCAGCCCGGCGAGTAATAAGATCCCCCAGGAAAGCGGTGCCCGCGCGGGGGGCGCCCCGTTGCAGCCGTCGGTGAAGCAGGCCTCCAGGCATCCGCGCACGTAGCGGTCGTTGAGGAAGAAGCCGCCGCAGTGGTTCTGCCGGACGATCTCCGTGTCCGAGGTCAGACTGCCGCCGTCCAAGGCACACGCCCGCACCACCATCTTCTCCCCGGTGTCCGCTGCAATGCACCAAGAACAATCACTAAAGCACGTTACGCGCCGGGAGCGCTTGACGCACAGCGCTTGATTAGGCGGATGACTAGCAGCGAGGCACGCGCGCCGGCTATTCTTAGCGACGGCCCTACCTGCGCCCCCGCGCACCGGCATCCTTAGCTAATAATCCGCGATTACAGGTAGCCGTTGATTTCCAACAACCGGGCAGGCTCACTGACCGGCTACGCTGCTATTGATTTAAATAAATTGCCGGACAATCGTCACCTCTACGCAATTACGCAAAGACCTTTAATTAAGTGTGCCGCTGTGACGGAGACGACTAATCAAGGCTTGACGACAGCAGGGGAAATGAAGCAGAAATTGAAACAGTTTTGGGCCGTTGTTGAAATGATTTTAAAAAGAACTGCAATAAATTAAAATTTAAAAAAATTTTATTTTGCGATATTTTGACGGTTAGCAATCTTTTTACTTAGTCGGCATTTAAATAGATTAATTTCTCCAGATTAAAATTTTTTTTTAAAAAATAACAGTTTTAAAAAATTATGTTTCTCGCTTCAAACCGTTTCTGGTGCTTGGAGCCCGAATTGATTTTGGAATGATTTGATTTGAAGCTTGAAATATGGAACGTCGAAATGGTCATGTCAACCGCTCCAAGAAGCACGACGATGCAATCAATAATTTTGTTTCCTGTTCGTTGAGAAAAACATCCTACCCTAAGATTAAGCATCCCGTTTAACTGAACATAAGAAAAAAATCAGCGTAGCTGCGTTTAAGCGGCCGTCCGCCGCATCCAGGGGTGTTTATGCGCTGACAATACTGATAGGAATTAAAGCCGGGATTAAGCCGGCATTATAGCGGGACTGTTTATGCGCAGGCAATGCGGCGTTGGCAGCCGCATTCATCCTGATCCGCGCGCACAGGCGCACACGTAAACGGCCAGCTGGGAATTGCGCGTTCATGTTTAAATTATCCTGACCGCGGCCGGATGCGGATGCAGCGCGAATACTGAATCTACATTCAATGCCGGCCAGACAAACAATCAGCCGCACAATGAACCGTCATTCATAAGCAGCCGCGGATGCCGGCAGAACGAGGGCACGACACCGTATCGATTAAGTAATTGCGCGCGACTACCGGTGTTTTCACGGGAAACCGGGAAGTTGGCGGATAATTAAGGAAACTCGCTGAGTGCGTAAGAAACACAGGTCCTTTATACCGGCATTAAAACGTGATTAAGTTTAATGCGGTAAAGGTTAATCTGGGTGGCAGCTAACCAGGATCTGCGCAGGAGAACGAGCGCTGTCCGGTTATCTTGGGCGGGTCGTGTATTGCATAGGTGGGAAGTAAGTGAACGTTGCCGATTAACACTCGCACTACTTCGAGTTCGATCTAAGCTGTATTTTTCAGCTGAGCTGCCACAGCGGGCGGCTGTCGTTGCGGCAAGGGTCGGGAATGCGGCCGCAGTAGTGCGACTGGGATTTCGGTGCCGGTACTTTCCTTAATTAACTGACAAAAATCAATTACAGTGGTGCAGAGAGCCATGCTTACAGAAGTGGCCGGCCAGCTTAAGGCAGGCGGTGGCGGGGAAGGCGGTCTTGCGGGATTTGCGGGCGCCGTAGCAGCCGCGCTGCAGGTAGATGAAGGAGCCGTTGGGGTGCGCGGCCTTGTTGTGCAGCTGCAGGTTGAGGCCGGCGTTGCTGTCCAGGTGGCCGCCGGGCGGGACCATGGGCAGCGGCTGCGGCTGCAGCTCCACGCCGGTCTCGGCGACGGCCGTCTGCTGCACGGCGATGGGGTCGAAGGGGTCCTCGCACAGCGGGTCGTTGCCGGCCAGCGAGGAGCACACGTAGCAGTCGATCTGCAGGGAACCTGTGGCAACAACACAACCGTTCAACTTTTTTCATCGTTGCTCATCAGAGGATTTTGTTAACGTATTTCATATACATATGTACACGGATGCGTCAAATTTTTTTCATAACTGGCTCATCAGATTGCAATTTGCTAACGCTTTTTTCATCGTTGCTCATCAGAGGATTTTGTTGGAATTTTTTATATACCACGCTTGGATAACTACATGGGTTAACAAGTTAAACGCTGCCGGTGGCATGCATATACTCGTATACTGCACATCAGCGATCGATGATTCATCACGTTGACTTGATCGCGTTCGGATCGAAGCGGATGTGGCGCACACACACAACACACACACGTAACCGGCAAAACAGGGATAAAATTAGCCGCCGAATCCGAGTCGACCCGATAAAATTTAATACCAGCCACACGTACACAGCACACACACACAGCACACTCGTGGCGTGTTGACTTGGTGGGAGAAAGCCTTAATTGAAAAACACACTGGCTGGCATGGCCACATTGGCCAGCACTCATCCTGCCATTATGCAAATGCCCACGCCTGCATCTGCGCGCACGGCTTAGTGGCGCTGGAGTGTGGACACACCGTGACCCTTTTTGAGGCATCCTGCACTGTACTGCGTTCAATTGGCGCGATCCTGTTGGCATTGATTGCGCGTGCGTGCGCGACAACGGGCTTCTTCAATTTAAAGCATTGTCACCGCGGCCCTCTCGTGCACGCCACTACAGCGCCGTAACCGGGAAAACGGCCGACAATCAACTGTACTTGTAGCGTTTATCAAAACAAAACACTGGAACGTCGTGTGCCAGTATAACACGCAAGTGAGGAGGCCAATTAATCTGACTGCTTATTTTTCTTCTACGAGTATCACACCGGTCTCTATCGATTAACACTCGCATTATTCCACGTTCGATTTACGCCGCATTTTTATATGCATCGTGAAAGCAGTCTGGTTACAAACGATGAATTGATTGTTCGATTTTATTAGTTCAGAGAACATCATATTTTACGAAAATCAGAAAGGAACGGAATGGGAATTTCGTCTGAAACCTTCAAGATAAACTTTGGCATTACGCTGCCGTACCGAGCGGTTGCAACTGCGTCAAGCGCCGGACGTTTCTGAATTTCCATCATTTTAAATTGTCAGAATAAACTTTTTCGTGGGACATAAAACATTTTAGACAGGAAAGTGATTTCCGCATTAATACAGGTAACTGTCAAGAAAATCGCCCGCGTGCATTAGGAGCTATGCGTCTTGAAAGTTAAAATAGTGGCAGCGTTAAAAAAAAAGATTTACCTGTGATCAGCGAGAGGAGCATGACGGTGATCCACAAGGATCCGCGATTAATATACACCATCAGCGGAATCCACATGGCTGTGCCAGTTCCAGCGATGACGGCCGACGGTGGCCCACAATCCAATGCAAACAGTATCGATGCCGGGGCACCCAATTAAAGGGCAGGCAAAGGTTGCGTCGCGGATGCGGCGGCCGCCACGAAGCAGGAAGAATCGTTGGGCCAACGAGCGCCGGCAGGGTTTGCAGAAGGGGAATTCACAATTTGCGGGATCAAACGTGGAGCAACGGGGCGTGATGGATGGGCAGCGCGTGGATGGGCACGGTATGGAATTATGCGGGCTGGATTGGGGAAGAAGGGGAAGAGAAGAGGAGAGCGCGTATTATCGGCGCATCAGTGGATTTCAGGCGCAGATTGTGCGCAGGCAGTAATCAGCGGTGGGTTATGTGCTGTTCGGCGGGAAAGATGAGCGAGTGAGTGGCGGTCCCGCGGGAAATCCACAAGGTGAAGGTAATTGCAGCGGGATGTGGATGGCAGGATGCAGGTGGGAAGAGAAGAGACAGGATACATATTTCTGATTGCCACCGCATATCGGTGTATCTCGCGCCCAACACAATACGCTATTAGCCTAACGAAGCCATCGTCTTGGCTGAAGCTATTAATGCACTGCCCGTCGAGGCAGCGTGCGGGCTGGATCGTAGTCGTACGGGATGGATTGGCGGAAGGACGGGCCGATTGATGCCAGCGTGGATCGACTGGGAAAAGGACTGCGTTCACAGGAGAATGCCTGGGGAGCGAGCGAGCGAGCGAGCTGCTCTTCCATGGGCTTGCAGTGTAGGAGAGACAGAGAGAGGAAAAAAGAGAAGCCAGCAAGACAGAATGAACGCCGGGATGAGCGATCGCAAGAGTAAAGCGAGTGTCTCAATTTCGAAGCGAACCGAGCTTTGATACGTTGCTCCACCGCACGAGGCGGCTGTATGCAGTGGCCACGCCCACACATACGGTAAGGGAAGCCTCTTCGAGCGGTGGATTTGCTGTAGCGCTTGGAAACTGAGACACGCCCTAAGTGTACGTACGGCAGCGGCCGTGTACAGTGCACAGTGTATCCGCCATCCGGCCGGCGATATAATCGATATGGCACCGGCCGCGCTAAACGCTGCGTGCAGCATTCAGTGTACGCACAGCTGCACAGTTTATTAGCGTCCGCCGATTACGACGGACGATACACATCCGCCACAATCACAGTCTTTCCGACTGTACGCTTGCTGCGGTTGTGACTGTAGCAGTATGTCTGGTAAATATTTTTATTGCGCGTTTGATCTCAATCATCTAATCAGCCGCCTAATCGCTGCTCGCTGACTGACGGGACCATGCAGCGGCGTGCGGCATGCACGAAGGGACACCGCAATGTGTACTTCAAATGCACCGTTTGCACGTAGCGGAACCAGTGGAACTGGAGAGAAAAGTGCGCAACGGAAGCGCCAGTGAATTTGCTTAATTAAAGGAAGATGCGCTGTCAAGGGGAAACGGACACCGCGAGTTATTTCCGACAACATTCAAGGGCGTTGCCGAATAGATAATGAGAATTACAAATGAGAAACGATTTGTCATTTGCTGCTGCTTCCTGTTGCAACTGGTGAAAATGATACTCGAAGCCTTAAATCAAGGACGCCTTTCACAACTCAAATTTTATTTATTTCCATAAAAGTCAGATGAGCACATCGCAGGTTAACAACAGTTTATCACTTACGCGGATGCATTCGTCGGCTTTCCTAACTGCAAGCCTGTGGCTGCGGTAGATCAGTAACCGGCATTCTATATGCAAGTTAATTAGTAACGCTTATAATCAATTAGTGACAAAAATGCCAAACAAAGAGAATAAGTGTTCTGTGTGCTGATTACGCCGTGTTTGAAGTATTTACACGGGTAGAGTCGCAAGCACATGCCTCGTCATAAATTCTTAAGAAAAACTCGAAAGGTCACAAGTGCCGGCTGTGTATACTAGCCGCTTCCATAGGTACGTCTATATGAAATTATTACGAATTTACATTGCAAAATGTTATAACCATATCCGGACGTCGTTCCGGAAAAAGAAAACATTCTCGACAGTTGCTATAGAAATATTCCGCTTCGAAAACTCAAGGGCGACGAATCGCGCCGGTTTGCAGTGGAAGGTTTCTTCCGCGGCTAGAGTCTCCAGGGCAGACCGCAGGCGCGGCAGAGGCCGTTGCGGGCCCAGGCGTAGGGGTGCTGCGTGCAGTTGGCCTGGCGGATGTGGAAGGAGTCGGGGTGGCGGCTGGGCTGGTAGGATTCGTTGTTGCGGAACCAGCGCTGCTGGCGCTCGTCGTACTGCGGCAGGGCTGGCGGGGGCGCCCCTGTCGGTTCGAGGTCGGGCACCGGCATCCCGGGCTCCCAACCGTCATAGGCGTCGCCCACGTCCTGGCTGATCATGACCTCACTGCTGCTGCCGGACTGCCCGGACAGGCGCCGGTAGTGCTCGTCCATGCGCCCGCGCCGCCCGAAAAAATCCCGTAATGTGCTCTGCTTGGCTGGTCGCTGTCCTCCCGCCCGGTTGTTGTTGGCGCCTGAAAGGAATCGGTACTTTATAAGCTGCGTATATAAAGGCAAAGAAAAATCCAATATAACTGGCTTCCCGGTGACCTTTAGATTGAACAAGCCAAGAAACGTCAAATGACCAAACCCACATATCCAGAAACACAGCGTTACATATTTGTACATATAATTATTGTTTTGGAAAATAACTTGTTTCGTGACCGCTCCGTAGATGTCCCTGTTTGACAGAACTGCAGACTCAAGGTGATCTTAGAAATGCTGCTCATATGCGGTGGTGAGATCCGTAATTAAAATTTCATGAATCAATAATGTAAGTAATGTACTTGTACAGAGATGTTTTGGCTCGGCAGTAAGGAATTATGGATGTAGTTTTTAAGTTAGAATTTTGCCTGGAGTGTGCGCAGTTAGTGTTACAGTGTTCACACACACATACGCTCTGTACACACATAATCTTGACTGGGTTTTTACGGTTAAAAATCTGTATGCAGTATGCCGGTGCTTTATCATGCTATGTCGATGTATGTATACTGACTGCGTTATAACAATAGTAATTGTTTGGTTTCCCGGAGGGTGTTTGGTGAGCAACACGCGAGTATTTTCACACTTACTTAGAAGGTTATAGACTGTAGGTGCGTGTGCGCTGCATTCTTGTTCCTTTCGTTAACAGTCATCTTGGATAAACGGTAATCGCGTCCATGATTATCATAAACGCGATTACGCGAACTTTATTGGTAAAGACAACCGGCTATTTATTGCACTATTTGTTAAAAGTGCAAATAGGAAGGAAGAATTGTAATTGTTTTGCTGCGCAGATTAGTTAACGTTACTTTTACTCAGCTAGTACAGTACTTTAACAGTACTGTGCTTGTAACGATTATTTTGCACATAATCGAGTGTAATATTAATGGAGGTTTGTTTGAGTGGGTGCAAAAAACTTAACGTTAAAAATGTCTGACAAATTAAAAAAATATATAACAAATTAATAAAAAAGATAGTAACACTCTTCTTGGAAGCGGAATTGCCATAGCAGCTTAAAGTAGCGTGCTGTACCTGCGGGCCGGGGAGAATTGGCAGGATCGGTATCGCGCCCGTGAGGAGAGCCGGGGCGCATGGCCGCATCACTGGCGCGCTGACGCCCATTGCGAGACGGCTCCACCAGCAGTGGATTGGTGTGCAGCTAAAAGAATAACCGTCATATGCCGGATAAAGGAAACCTCTCTTCCCTCTACAGTGTACACTGTACTTGCTACTGCTATGAGTGTATTGTGCACGGTCCCTTCTCATGTTAATTGGGACAAATTCTTCATTTGATCATATTTGTTGAGCGAAGCTCGCCTTGTACATATTGGGAAATAAAGACCATAACTTGCTACTTACCGAATACGCCAGTGATCCGTGCCGGTCCCGCGGATACTGAGGCGCCCCACCGGCCGCTCCCATGTCCAGGTGCACCGGCACCGGAAGGCGATTTCTCCCCTCCATCGCCATCGCGTGTCGTCACCGTCGGACGAGGTAGAGACAAAAGATCGCTCTTGGGGATAATTACAAAAAATGTTTGTTTGCTGGAAAAAAAACTGAAATCGTCGCATGTAGATTTGGTTTGTACTGCATACTGCGCGTCATAACTGCCATTGAAAAAAGCGCTGTGTCGCATGGCAGCGGAGTCAGGCCGGTCACGATCATCTCCGCGGGCTATTTACCGTCGGACGGCCGTCAGTCAGCGCAAGTTATTTTCCCGTATTTTTCTTGCATATTCATTCTCCACCAGCGTTTATTTTATTCTGGAGCTTTTTCCTTAGTTTTTCCGTACCGCAAAACGTCACATACTTAATTATACTCGTATAATTACAAAATTTTCTTAATGAAAATTATAAACAAATCAGGTACGCGCCGGAAACTTACAACCTATATTTTTCAAAATCTACCTGAATAAATTCTGATGGCTGATGAATTTGATCAATTATTCGGCTGTTTTCCGCAAATTTTCTTGGAGGCGTGACGATTCGGTGTGCATGGTAATTACGGAAAGCACAGGCCGCAGGCGCACCCCGGTCATTTTGTTGATTGTGTCAACGCATTCCGCAGAATATGTTCATGTATCTGTACAGCCGCAACGTCAAGCAAGTCATAAACAGAATTCCGGTGAATCTCAGCGTATTTGTGTATGGCATTTGAAGCAAACAATCTAGAAAATTGGCTGGTACATTAATGGTAATGTACCTAGGTGCAGCAAATTCGAAACGTTAGTTAAATCGCAAGTTATCTCTCGTTACATTGCACTGAAGAGCGGCAATGCTCTGTATCGGCGAGGTACCGGTACATTGCTGTACTCGAATATGGATGTTTGGCGTCAAAAATGGATACATACATTAAAACTTTCGCTTTCGCGCACTCCGAATCACTTTTTTGTAATACGTACTTTAGGCTTGGGCTAATGCCACATCAGTTCACAACAAAACACTATTGTCACTACAGTCCACATCACGATTTGGCTAATGGCACTACAAAGGGTTCATTTGACTTTTGTTTTCGTATGCACAACAGTTCGCTAATGGCACTACTACAGTCAATTGACCACCTGTTTCATAAACTACAAAACGCTAACGACACTACATAAATGATTCAGAAAATATTTACAGCGGAAACGTTAACATAGTAGGTGTTGCAGCCTTTGGCATTCTACCTGGCAAGTGCATGTACACAGCTTATACATATATAATGTAAATGACAGTAATGACTTTGGGTGTTTTTTAAATGTGTAAATTCGAAATATTATTAGTGTCTACCTGCGCCGGCTTTTTGTTACGTTAATAGACTATTGCCTGAATAAAGTTAAAGTAGCATTAGCGCAATGTACAGATAGTGGATGTGTACTAGAGTCAATTGATTAGTTGTAGTGTTATTAGCGTTTTGTAGTTTTTTCATAAAAAAGTCAAATGACTCTTTTGTAGTGCCATTAGCCAAATTGTGATGTGGACTGTAGTGACAATAGTGTTTTGATGTGAACTGTAGTGGCAATAGCGTTCGCCAATACTTTACAGTATGTCACTCTAAAGCTAAATGATTTGTAAACATTGCCCTGAAAACCGTTTGCGCACGTAACATCCGGTTGCCGAGATATGGCGTACTAAAATGGGTGAAAAGTTAAAATGCATTGTTGTGTACCAAAAGTCTGGCTATTAGCCGATCTTCTTGAAACTTTGCTACAAAAGACACATGGCCATAAGGTCGAAAGTGAACCAGTTTCAGGTTCATAGCACTTTCCCATAATTTAAAAACGAATTTTAAAACATAATTAGTTGTGTATTTTGGTGATACTGTGCTAAATTCTATCGTTCTATCTACAATACATCCGCGTAATCACGTGCTCATAACACAATTTCATATTCCATCATTAAAAATTCTCCCATTAATCTTTGGAGGAAGAAACGATAATTCAAAACCTTTTGGTGAATTACCACAGAATAGGCTAGGAGCTGACCTTTTTTCTTTGCAGTGATTCACTACATACGAGCGAGATTAACCCCAACATATTATTTTTCCAAAGAGCCAGTGAATTTATTAAAGCGTCATATTAACATGTAAACCGCTACCAGTATTCGTTATCAGGTCATTATCGCTTTATCAAGAGTCTACCTAACATTTACGTCCTCCTTAACAGCATTCTGCCGGATAATCAGCGATATGGGAAAGAATAAATGATTTCAATGGCGGAAAACAGTTATTGTGGGAGACCGATAGTCTGCATGTTATTACCGGATAAGGTCATTGTCAGCCGCGGCCGATAAGGCGCTTCCATTTCATGGCTTAACTAAGTGTACGCTTTACGCTTGCTAAACGCTTTTCACGCTGTATACGCTTGACTGGTACCTCGAATTTTCCTGCGCTTAAGGAATATTCATCTACATATATTTGGCATAATCAGTAAAGGATGCTGTCCCTCCAGGTTGTCTGCACGGTGCTCCTGCTATCGTCGACCATAACGTTGACGCTGGGAAATTTCGCGTATGTAACGGTTAACTGGAATATCGTTAATTTCGCCCATGTATCTGCTGGCTAATCGATAAACCTGTGACTGCAGTGAGGATGCGGATCGCGCGGACACGACCACCTCCAAGTACCCGCTGCCCATGGGGGTGTGCTACGAGGGCTTAGGCTGCTTCTACCGCAACGGCTCCTTCGAACACCTGACGCTGCCGCTCTCGCCCGACATCCTCACCACGCGCTTCTTCCTCTTCACCGCGCTCAACCAGACCTTCGCCACGGCCGATGAACTCAAGTGGAACGACCCGGCGTCCATCGCCGCGTCCGCCTTCCGACCCAACCGGCCCACGAGGGTCATCGCGCACGGCTTCACCATGAGCGGGATGGCGCAGAGCATCCAGCGCATCAAAAACTCCATCTTGCGACGGGTAATTTAATTAACAACAAGCATTTCTTAAGAAACGTAGATTAGTCTTATGAGGGATGTTAGGAGCGGGAGAACGTCAACGTCATCATCGTGGACTACGAGCGGGCGGCGCAGGAGCCGCAGTACTGGGAAGCGGCGGCTAATAGTCAGGTGGTGGGCGCTCAGCTGGCCCGCGTCATCGACCATCTCATGTAATTAAAAAAAGGGAAAAATTTCCGGTGCGCGTGATACTACATGGTCCTGTCGTAGAAACCTCAAACAAGCCAGAGCCGGCAACTTCCACCTCATCGGCATTTCGCTCGGCTGCCAAGTGTCCGCGCATGCCGGCAAAAAGTACGTCGAAATGCTCATTGAATTTCAGTTAACTGCACCATAACCAGCCGGCTTCGGGCGTGCCTTACAGGTTGAAGGAATTCCGCAATGAACGGCCGGGAAAAATCACCGGTAAATCGGCGCTTGAGGGATTTCTCTGATTCGATCGGAGATGACCTTTGCAGCTACTGAAAGTTGTCGAAGACATGAAGAACTTAATGCTGGTGTAATATACCACAGCGCTGGATCCGGCGGGACCCCTGTTTGAAGGCTTCCCCTCGGTGGCCCGGCTGGCCAAGGGTGACGCGGACTTTGTGGAGGCCTACCACGGCAACGGGCTGCCGCTGTATGGCGGCGGTCTGGGCATGTGGTCGCAAGTGGGCGACATCGACTGTACGTCGTATAAATGATTGTGCTACGTCGTTGTGGTGATCGGCTTTATGTGTATGTCGCATAGGAGACCGCTTAATATAAGTTTGTGCTTATCCTTATTTTGTGTATTTGCAGTCTATCCCAACGGTGGCGAGTAAGACGGTCAGCGTTAATGGAACGGCAGTGTAGAAAGCGTTAACCTTGTCTGTAAACAGGGAGCAGCCCAGTTGTCCGCCGGCGCTGTGGGGCACCATCTCCAGCATCATGAATCTGCAGCGTACGATAGATGACCTTTCCTTTGTCTACGTATATTTATTTAACAGCTTAATTAACAGCAATGTTAGTAGTGAGTGTTACTATGAATATAAAGTGTCTTTGGGCGATTTAGTGGGTCAGTTGGCGACGAGCGTGATCTGCAGCCACGCCCGGCCGGCCTACCTGGCCATCGAGAGCATCGAAGCGGCGCTCTCTGGCTGCCGGTTCACGTCGGTGCCCTGTGATTCCTACCAGGAATTTCTCGACGGGCAATGCAACACGCAGGAGCACCACCGCCAGGGCGGTCTCATGGGCATCTACGCCACCAACCGGCCTGCTTCCAAGAAGCACTTTCTCCTCACACTGGGCAACGCGCCCTACTGCGCCGGTATTTAGTTTATACGCCAATACCATAGTTGTAAAAATTAAAAAAAAACATCAGCAGAGATTTTTTTACAGCTAGAGTTTTCACGCAATTATAGCAGAGTGTGTACACTAGTTGCAAAGTATATGCGTTGTATCCACACTCTGCCATACTTTGCAAAATTTATCATCGTGCAAATAAATGCAATTGCCGCATGATGATGGACGTGTTTGTTGAGCAGTGCAACTGAAGGCCACATTGACGCTCTCCCGAAGGTCGCGGGACGCCCGCGGCGTCTTCATCATCCAAGCGGTGGGAGCCGACACCTCGGCGGAAGCCCTGCCACTCGTCATCTCGTACGTCGCCTCTTGGCCATGACGCACCGGTTGCTCGTCGTCGGTTTGCGTTACTACGGCTGTTTCTTATATTTGTAGGAAGAACGAGCACGTCCTGCCCGGGGAAGGCTTCAGCGAGATGATCGCCACCAACGTGCCGCTGGCCGGCATCCGCCAGGTGCAGGTGCTGTATAAGCGCGCCTGCTACCTGGGCGTCTGCGCTGCCGACACCGTCCAGCTGGGCTCGGTGGAGCTGGAGCACACCACGGCCTTTTCCACGTAAGCCGGTCGTGACCTTTATCAATGGCGTTTCTTCGCTGACTGCTTGGGCGGTGTTTAGGGATGTTTTGCGGGTGTGCGGCAACGGCGTCCACCTTGTCTCCGAGCAGTGGACGAATGTCGACGTGTCCGCCTCCCAGGCAGCCTGTGCCGATTGACCAACACTGAGAAGAAACGTTGCTCGACCGCGTCTCGGTCGGTCAAAATGGACAAATATCACGTTGTAATTAGTTCATGTATTTTTCTTACGCATAAATACATATGAGTATAATGAGGTGTGCTTGATGAAGTCCTCCTCTGCTCTTATTTATCCCATGGTGAATTGTAATCACACTGCTGCCAATAAATTAATCTTCGTGCAGGTTTTCACGCTTAGCAGTCCACATAATCAAGATGGATTTATTACGTGGAATTAGCTGAAATTTTGAGCAATTAATGGTATAGTAATAATTGAGAAAACGATTGATTAGACCGTTTACAGCAATGAAAGTTTTAAATAAGTATGCGTCGTAACCTACATAATAAGTAGTACGGTAGTTAAAAATAGAGGGATGTTTGAACGGTATCATGGGAAAAAATTTATGATATTATATAAAAAGTTTTATACATTTAAAAAAAAGCCAGCTGATTACCAGTTACTGTCCAGTAGAATAAAGCTGAGTACTGTAAGACTGAGAATAACTTTTATAGAGAAAGTAGTAGTTATTATAGCATACGTACGAGTATAATATTTTGAAATGTTTAGTCATAATGGCATGCAGGTGTATTATTGACACGTATTAAGGGAAGTGGCCTGGTACATGGTGCCAAATTCGTGTACATGCACGAAATCTTTCACTTTCGCGCACTCCCAAACCCTTGTTTCTCTTGTTTTATGACATTCTGTAGTCAAATGATTTGTATACACAGGCCTGAAAACCGTTTGCGCGCGCAACATCCGGTTCGGGAGTTATGGCTGTTAGAAAATTCCCAAAAGTTTAAATGCTTTCAGGTGTATCAAAAGTCTCATTATGGACCGATCTCCTTCAAATTTTGCACGTAAATGCACATAACCACGAAGGACGTTTTTACACCGATCCACTGTTCTAGCATGTTTTTCAAATTTTAAAATGAATTTCAAAAATTTTAAAATTCATTTTATAATTTGAAAAAAATCGTGGAAGTCTGGATCGGTGTAAAACGATCTTCACTGCTAAAGCTTTGGGCATTTTCTAACAGCCATAACTCCCGAACCGATGTTGCGCACACGGTTTTCAGGCCTGTATTACTACTCAATGTCATAAACATGAGAAAAAAGGGTTTGGGAGTGCGCGAAAGTGAAAGATTTCGTGCATGTACACGAATTTGGCACCATGTACCGGGCCACTTCCCTTAAACAACATTGCGGGGCGAGCGCTGCACACTGTATATGTGGAGACTAGCTGTATATAGCTGCAACATTTTCCATGTTGAATAGCAATTACGAGTACTACATTATTATGTCCATATCTAATAACAATTAATACTACATTACTATGTGCTGAAATGATGTACTGCGTGATTTAGCGTTTAACCAATGTTCATTTGTGTAACCCAATAAAAACATCCTCTTATGTCATTCATCTACGATACGCACTCTGCATATAGGGCAATGATATCACTGTGTCGATGCTGTCGAAAGATCATGTAATACAGCAAGGTTCTGAAGCACTGCCGGCAGTTTTTGGCGCCGCTTCGCAAACGCCGCGCGCTCACCTAAGATGAGCGTATCCGCTGTTGCGCTTTTTTACTGGCACAAACACTGATACCGGTAATAACCGGCAAGAAGAATAGACAACTACAGGCTACAACTGATACATCTTCCGGCTTGGTCATGGCGATACACATGCAGAGTATACCGTATTTTTGAAAAATGCCGCCTTATTGCCAAATCTTCGTAATCCGCTTTGGCACGGGAGGATCCGCATCGGATGTGCATGGCAAAAGTGCAGTTTCACGGCGATTTCCGTCGCAGTATTTAATGCAACGTTGCAGCATCATTTGCTGTATCAATTCCAATCGGATTAATAGAGCAGCAAATTTCCAAGCCAGTATTACGAAAAGCCGGTACCCTACAATTTTTCTTCATCGTTTTTCTGAATTTACAATAATGAAGGGAATTCTCGTGCTCGCTCTCATCCTTTGCGCGCTTTGCGGTAAGCCGAAAAATTATGTACAAAGTCTATTGTTCGCGTAATAATAGTGAGCAGTACAAGATTAATTTTGCTTTCCCTAACACTTTCTGTATTAATTTGCATTGACCTGATGTATAATTTCAAAATTTATTTCAAAATATAAAAAAACCTGCTGAACGGTGATTCGGTGTAAAAACGATCTGTATACATACAGTACATGCATTTATGTGCCAAATTTAAAAGAGATCGGCCCATAATGAGACTTTCGGTACACCTGAACGCATTTAAACTTTTTGGGATTTTCCTCCAGCCATAACTCCCGAACCGAATGTTGCGCGCACAAACGGATTTTACGCCTATGTCTATGTATACAAATCATCTCGCTATATAATGTCATAAAATAAAGCAAAAAAGTGCTTCGGAGTGCGCGAAAGTGAAAGTAGAACGTACAGGTACAAGTAGATTGCATTACATATTCCATCTGATTAATTGCTGTTGGTAGTGGTCCTAACGGCGGCGTGGGGCAACCGGCGGCGTTATTACGACGCTCCGTACTGGGGCGGATATTACGGCGGATGGTGGCCGAGTAATAATTACGATTACTACGACTACGATTATGGATACGGCGGATCCGGATGGGGAAAGAAATAGATCCCGGACCCTACGAATTCCCCACCTTTTTCAGGACATCGATCACCACCGGTTGAGTGCGTCTAAGCCGTTAACTACCAAAGATTTTTATGGTCGTTGTATTCCTCAAAGTTTTGCCGGTTAAAACTCCATTTCCGTACTTGGCGATTTTTTTTATTAAGCAACCTTTCTGTCCGGCTGTGCCGGCAGTAGGCTGCAGTTTCCGGTGATTAAGCCAAAGAAAACTGAACAATAAATTTATAGCCGAGAATTCTTGTCAGAAGCGATATCTTTTACAGTATCAGAAAAAGGGTAAATCAAAGCGCAAAAGCCAGTCTACCTGTAAACGCTGCTTACATATGTAATTAGTCCCGCAAAACGCCAGTCAAGGCGCCAGTTTAAAAGGGCCACCATTTGTCGAGCGCCTGGCCGGGCTTGAGGGTGGAGGTGGCGTTGGAGGTCACGTTGGAGGTGACGTGGGGGTGGGGGTGCGGCCGGGTGGTGTTGGAGGTCCAGGGCGTGAAGGTGGGCGGGGTTACCCCGGGGGTGCCGGTGCTGTTGTGGTGAAGCGAACCGGTGCTGCTGGAGGCCGGCGCGGAGGTGTTGGCGGGGAGGGGCGCGCCGGTGTGGTTGCTGGCCGAGGGCGGCGTCGTGCCGTTGCTGGCGTTGTGGCCGTGGGCGGGGCTCGGCGACGTGGCGTTGTGGCGCGGGGTGGTGGAGGGCGGATGGGTGTGGGTCACCGCCGGCGAGACGGATGAGAGACACGCCGCCAGGAAGATGCCGGTAAGGAAGACAGCGGGGGAAGCCATTATTCGGAAATAAATTAATAAATAAAATATACCGATCGTGGCAGCTTCGTCGCAATGGGAATTTCAACCAACAGTGGGTAGAGCTATTAACAGCGTGAAAATATTCCCAACTGGCCGGTGAACGTGAATAAAATGTCGATGCAGGTGGGCGCTATATGCAAAACGTAACAGGATGGCGAAAATGCCGACTGGGCGCTTTAACAGGCCGTGCGCGCCTCTCAAGTGCGCACGTGCCGAGTGATGATGAGTGACCATCCGCCGCGCACCAGAACGTGCACAGCCGGCAAATGTCGCCGCTGCGGCGCTGACAGTATCGAAAGGTGGAGACTGCTGACAAGTGTTCTTTCGTAATTAGCAAATGCAGCGTCGCTTTACGGATTATTTTTTATACTCGCTTTTTACTACGTCCGGCTTGTCTCAGCTTAAGTGTAACTATGACCTTTGTAGCGTAGTACACAGGATTACCATTTTGTGCTGCGTTTTCATTTGGTTACCGAATTAATTTGTGTACCGCTCAATACTGTATTGCGTCGGGCTAAGAAATTGCCATCAACACCGCAAAAATACCATGTTTAGCATTAAATGTGGCAAATTACATCAGTATACGTAAACACACACCTGTGCACGCGTATATTTGCTGGGTAAAATTCTAGCAAAAAAAGAGAATGAAGCCCTGGGAATATCTATGGATTCGAACCAGTTCGTCGATCACCGGAAATATAGCTGAGCGAATCAGAAGCAGCGCATCCGCAGCGCCGATCCATGGAATGCAACTTATTCACGCGCGCGTTGTTAGGCGTTGTTGCGGGGCCCCTTGAGCGAGCCCTGCAGACTGAAGTTGTCGCTGTTGGCCGGTTGGCCCGCCCCCGGCTTGAGCGCCCCGCCCTTGGGGCGCGGCGCCTCCACGGGGTGCACGCGGCGGCGCTTCTTGGGCAGTTTGGCGCGGGCGTCGGCGTGCGAGTAGAAGCGCGTGAAGTTGTTGACCATGATCGGGACGGGGATGGCCAAGGCAAGGGAGCCGGCCAGGGCGCACAGCGCGCCGATGCACATCCCGATGTACGTCTTCGGCGTCATGTCGCCGTAGCCGATCGTTGTCACTGCGCACCACACACACACTCAGCTTAATTATTCTTCGAAATATTATTACAACAATGTTCATCATACTATAACGATCAAAATATTTATAGGTAATTAGATCAACTATTATTATTTACGTGTATACTCTTAATACTCTATAAGCTTTATTACACGATTCTCATGTACATATATTGTACATTTGCTGTTACATAATGATACATATAATATATGCATAGAGAATGCATTTATCCACATAATTCGCTATTATGTCATGTGTTAGACGGATATATTGTAACGATAAATATAGAACGATATGTACATGTACGTATGTATATCTATATGTACAAGATACATATGTACTAGTGCCGTTCTACACTGTCTACAGTAGTGCGGTCACCGCCAAAAGACGCACTACTGTAGAGCGACACTGTTTGTACATTCGATGCATATGTACATATGTACATGTACCGTATGTACAAACATATGTTTGTATTTACATATATGTTTTCATACATGCGAATTACACAGTACACATATATATATCATATGATTATATAAATCAGCTATTATATACACATTTTTGATGGATAATATAGTATTATACCAACTTTTATGTACATAATTAGTAATAGTAAAATTGTGTACGTGCCAGCTTCAAGTACTTACTGGTTACGACAGCCCACCAGAGGCCGTCCTGTCCAAACAGAGAAAGCAGAGGTCAGGTTAGAAAGAACAATTCATTAAGTGCGACATTCGTGGCGAAAGGTCACCGGTGACCGTTTTGTCGGTAGAAGGAGAAAAAGGAAACAGTGCCTCACCGGAATGGAGGTGAATTCGTTGAAGGGGTTGCGGAACATGCGCTCGCCGTAGTAGACGAGCGTGGCGAACATGACGACGCCGAGGATCATGAAGAAGACGAGGAGGACCAGCTCGCTGGCGGATGCGACGAAGGTCTGCATGAGGATGCGCAGGCCGGGCGAGTGGCGCGTCAGCTTGAAGAGGCGGAAGATGCGGATGATGGAGAAGAACTCCAGCAGGTCCGAGTCGGAGATGAGCTTGGTGCCCTCTTTGAGGATCAAGTCCATGTAGAAGGACAGCGTGGCCACCAGGTCGATGATGTTGATCATGTCCTTGGAGAACAGCCGCCTGCACACCATCAATCACACCGTAATCACGCCTTGTGTAATAAGCTCTTTGTACGGCGTTTTATTAACACACGCCCCATTTCACGTACAATTTACGTCGCCTTTTTTAAAGGTCACGAAGATATACACAGATACATGTACATACACTTTTACTTATATACATATATAACCACATATAACTGTTTTTTATTTTTTATATTATATATTTTATATATGTACAAAAATTATTTTTTTTATTTTGCATTTACGCCAAGCGCCGGAAGTCCCTGCGAGTGTTAGAAAAGTGCCGGTATGGCGTGCTATTAACCAGCTAGAGCAACAGCATGCAGCAGCGTTGAATTCAGCTACTGTGCAAGCTGTTATAGGGAAAAGAAGGGATACATGCTAATTAGTATTCAAGCATACTTGTTGGGAGCGACGAGGAAGCGCACGATGATCTCGAAGGTGAACCAGGCGTTGCAGGCGCACTCGACGAAGAAGAAGTAGACGTGCGGGTCGGTGTGCGTCTTGATCATGCTCCAGCTGCTGCGGTTGCGCCCGGTGACCACGGTGACGTTGTGCAGCACCGGGACGCGCATGTCGGGGTGCGTCTTCAGGCAGAAGGACAGGATGGACACGCAGTTGAAGAACACGCTGATTATGGCAATCAACTGCGGATGCAAGTAGCACTGAGGCTCATACCGTTCAGGCTTTAACGTATCGGCACTGCTATATATTCTGACTTCTTGCATAACACATAGGTATATACTATATATAGATACATAGAATACATTATACATGCATTATACATACATTATACATGGAATACATTATGCATAAAAGTACATATATATATTGTTACATTTATATTACTGTACATAATATACTATATACTATTATATGAGTACATGTATACGTATACTACAACGTAATCGTCCAACGGCTGTTTAAGTGTAACTACTCGTACCGAACTCCGCACAAGGGATAGGTTTGTTTTTCTTTCTTCAATCTTGAATAATAATAATTACTGCATAAGTATCAATCAAGCTGTGCAAAATACTGCGTTTATACAACAACTTGCGAGTCCTTGATCGACACGTTCAAGTGTACACGAGTGGCGCAGAGAGAGAGAGAAAATCAACAAAGAGTTTTGATTGGCTAGTCCGGGTCGGCCCCCCGGCAGGAGCGGCCGCCCGGTAATCTGCATTGACGAGAGAAGGGGAGACGGCCGTCTGAGATCCAGGGAGAGCCGCGGCTGGCCACCGTCCCCGTGTCGGCCGGCGCCCGCCCCCGGGCGGCGCGGCGGTCAGGCGTTGAGGGCCTGCAGCGAGGGGACGCGCGATGAGCGGTTGTGGTGCGGAGGCGGGTGGGCGTGGTGCCCGTGCCCACCCCCGTGGGGCAGCATGGCCTCCATCTCCAGGTCCTTTGATTTCTTCTTGTGCAGCCGCGGACTGCCCTCGTCCGGCACGTCGTTACCTGCCGACAGTAATCCAAATTCGATTAAATTTAATTTATCAATTAGTATTATCAAAAGTACTACCAATGTATATTTTATGTATACGTATACATTTTATGTATACATTTTATTTAATTTTATGTATTTTATGTATATATTATCTACTTTATGTTTATGTAATGTATATTTTATGTATATGTATATTACATGTAATATGTATATTATATTTGCATCGAGCGCAGCGAGATGCCGCAATTAAGCCTTCGTCAAGAGCATAAAATTTGTCTGACGCCAGGAAGAGCGTATAAGTGTAATTAATGAATAGTGTCTGTGTTATTGACTGGCATGAGAGCGAGACTGACCGTTGAGGGTGTCGGCGGGACTGCTGGGCACGGGGTGGTTTTGGTGCTTGATGGCGTTCATGCGGCGGTGGTGCGCGGCGCCGCCGCCCCCCGGCCCGCCCGCGCCGGCCCCGCTGACCACGGGCCCGTTCTGCGGGGCGTTGGCGGCGACGCCCTTGGCGCCCGGCGGCACCTTGGGCCGCGGCGCTTCGACGGGGTTGACGCGGCGGCGCTTGCGCGGCAGCTTGGAGCGAGCCTGCGTGTGCGAGTAGAAGCGCGAGAAGTTGGACACGATGACCGGCACGGGCAGCGCGATCGTCAGCACGCCCGCCAGCGCGCACAACGCGCCGACGAACATGCCCAGGTACGTCTTCGGCGTCATGTCGCCGTACCCGATCGTCGTCACTGCAAGCGAAATACATGCTGGTCAAACATGCACTGGCCGGTGATTTAATTTTGTCATACTTACTGGTCACAACGGCCCACCATAAACCTTCCTGCAAAGAGGAAGAATCCCAGTCAGTCTCTCTTTATCAAATTGTAGACAAAAATGCGCATATGAAAATAAATATACCTTTTATATACATATATAAGAATATACGATATATGCATTTATATACATATCTATATACATAGAATATATATACATATATACAAATAATATTTGTATATATTATAGTCCCTTCTCATTAGTATATATTATATTAGTATATATTATATACTGTCTATTCTCATGTTAATTGGGACAAGTTCTTTATTTGATTGTGTTTACTGAGCGGTGCTCGCTGATGTACATATTGAGAATAAAAGACAAAACATATATATACATATATGTATATAGTATATGATATATGTACTGCATATATATATGGTTACGATATATATAATATATATATTATTATGCTATACATCATATATGTGTATATCCATATACAATAGATGTATATACGCTGACGCATGTATTTATATAATATAATTATATGAACATAATATTATGTAGATATGTATAATATGCATATGTATATGTATAAATGCAATTGACTTTCTTTTATTATCCGTGTACATTTAGCTTATAGAAAACAATTAACATCACAACGCAGTACACTCAATCAGCAGAAAACAGCAACTGTAAGTGTAATATGTAATTGTAAGAATACGGTATATGGATGTAAGTAGACGTAAGACGCTATACTTGTACTGTATCTTACCGGTATGGAGGTGAAGTCGTTCTTGGGGTTGCGCTGTATCCTCTCGGCGTAGTAGATGAGACTGGCGAAGACGACGATGCCGAGGACGAGGAAGAAGACGAGCAGGGAGAGCTCCTTGCCCGAGGCCTTGAAGGTGTGGATGAGGATCTTGAGGCCGGGCGAGTGGCGCGTCAGTTTGAACAGCCGCATGATGCGGATGATGGAGAAGAACTCGAGGATGTCGGCCTTGTCGAAGGCCGGGCCGCACTCCTTCAGCACCAGATCCACGTAGAAGGACAGCGTGGCCACGAAGTCGATGATGTTGATGTGGGTCTTGCAGAAGATGACCTTGTTGGGCGCGACGATGAAGCGCACGAGGATCTCGAAGGTGAACCAGGCGTTGCAGGCGCACTCGATGTAGAAGAAGGCCACGTGCGGCTCCGTGCTCTTCTTGTCCAGCGTCCACGTCAGGACGTCGCGCGACAGCTGTATCGTGACGTTCTTGATGACCGGCACGCGCATGTCCGGGTGGGTTTTCAGGCAGAAAGACAGGATTGATACGCAAATGAAGAAGACGCTTATCACCGCAATCACCTGCAGCACACCAAGGCCACCGTTGTACACTTATCTATTTAACTATCAGAGCAGAACGGTAAACTAGCTCCCTAATCGCCCACCCGGATACACTGTTGCCGGTCGTCGTCGTCGCGTCAAATGTCAGTTTTTTCGGCGTTCAAATTTGAATCATTTTAAGTAGTATTACGCGAATGCACTTTTTGTAATATTGATGGCCTTTGCCCAATGAAAAAGTTGTCAGTTTATACCGCGGCGCTCTACTGTATATAAATTATGTGCTCAATGTATATATACACATGTAAAGTACACGCATAAACAGCCGTTGGGTGGGTGTTGATACTGTAGTGACGTATAAACACAGGAGAGCCAAGCGTCCAGTGTTTATTTGGATAAACTTGTCACTCGCTGGCTGACATGCACTGCTAATGCTGAGGGCATGCCCCAGCAGGAAATGAGTAGGGGACGCCTGTCTCTGTTACGGTTGATCGGACGTACCTTGGCAGCACTGGAAGAGTAGGGTTCATCGAAGAGCGACCAGATGCGCGGCTTGATGGTCTGCCAGGGCGTCAGTTCGCCGTTGATGTAGGCGTCCTCGAAGCCGAACTTGCGGGCCACTTCCTCGTCCGACGGCTTCTCCGTGTCCAGGTCCAGTCGGTCCAGCACCGTCAGGGTTTCCTGTATGCATTAACAACACGTCAGACTAGCCGCCTTTTTCATCTAACATGCCCGTGTTTTCCCGGGAATACGATCAATGATGCATGTAGTTTATTTAACCTGGCACATGATGAATACCTTCCAAGACGAGTTAATTAATAACTTATTCATCAAGGCCTGCAACCGCGCCTGTATTTGGCGAATATTCCTTATTTACAGTCGCAGCGTTGGGACTGCCTGTGTGACCTTTACAGGTGCTACTGCAGTCACGCGCTTCGATTTTGTTTTCTTATGCTTTCTTAGGTTTTCTTGTGTCTTAGCGATTCTTTTCCGATGTAGGTCTGTCCCGCCAATCATATGGCGATCGAATTTCCCCCGCACCAGTGGGTGTCTTGTTGCCAGGACAGATACTGTGTCAAATACGCAGTTGCATTCTTCAAGGATCGAATGGACTCCAACAGTTGCTGTACATGATCCCGCCTATTCTTCCTAAGAAATAATCACCCCGAGAGCGTATCGCGTTACGTCCTACGTTCAACAGCGGCCTAACACCAGGGTTTGAATGGCGACCGCCCGGGGCGGCGGGACCCGGCCGGGCCGCCTCGGCGGATGTGGCACTCGGGCTGATTGGCCATTCAGGCGTCACGTACACGGAAGCGCCGCCGTCCCACTGCTCTTCCCGGCAACCTGCGCTTGTGCGCTTAGCGATCGGCCGATCGATGCCGGCTGGCGTTGCCAACGGTGGCACGTACAGGTCATGCGGCAAACGCGCAACGTAGATTAATTAAATTATGTACCCCGTTCTTCCGCCACTGACAGCACGGCACAATCGTCAACGTAAACCGGCGAATGGGAGAGGAGAAAGAGAGGCAGGGTAAAAAAATTCAATTGCGGCCCATCGTGTCGATGGTTTTCGCGGTGAGGCGGTGGCTGGATGGTTTGGGTAAACAGTGGCAGTGCGCGGGCGCAATCTCAACAAGCAATCTCGCGCCTGGCCAGTCGCGGTGGCGTTCCGCGAAGGCAGCGCTGTTGACGGCTACTCCAGCGCGGCACGAGTGCCCCCCGGCTTTCACCTCAATTAAAACGGCCCCTTCCCTGCCAAACAAGGACAGCTGCCGGATGAATGCTACACTTGTCTTTCGTAGCTATCTATATAGGCATTGCTGTACAGTGCAAAGACAGGTTTTTTGTTCGTCAGAATGTCTAGTTGTCACTGCAACGACTCACTACCTGAGCCGGTAAATTTCGGTCGGGTGAAAAAATGATGTCTGCAGCAGGCAGTGGGCGCTAAGATAACAGTGAAAATCGGTAAGTGTAGCTTCAGAAACTGAATAATACAATCAACAAACACTGTGCAACAAGAACACATCCAATGCGTATAAATCCGGGAAGCACAGCATACGCAATTTTCTAAGGCAGACCGGAAGGTTTTGTACTTAACAGTGCGGCTCCAAACAGCGCGTTTAGAAGTCACAACGGTTGCTTATATTTTTTTTATAATTTAATTCTAATTTGTTTTGTAGAAGAAGGAGAGTCATTTATTGGGACGAAAATCAAGGAAAAGAATGGAATTTGTTAAAACTGTCAATATAAAATTCACATTATACGGCCACACCGGGCGGTTGTAATTGCTTGAAGCACCGGAAGTCCTTGAATTGGCTTCACTGATTTCCAGTTTAGAGGTTTTCGTTAAACGTAAATTATGTTACATAACGGTTGACAGTAGATACTACGTACCTGCGTATCACGATGCTGCGTGTAGGTCATCCAGCAGCAGGGCTCCACCTGGTTGGAGTCCAGGCCCCAGAACTCCAGCTCCTCCTCGAAGAGCGGCCCGCACACGTCGGTGGGGTAGTGCAGCTTGCCGGTGCGGTAGTAGTTGAGGACTTGAGCAAAGACCCCGGGATGCCGGTCGAAGAAGTACTCGTTGAGCACCGGGTCGTAGTTGGCCAGGGCCTCCGTCAGCCGGCTGAGCCGCGTGGCCGGGATCTTCTTCAGCGTGGCCTTGTACGTCTCGTGCCGGATGCCGCCCACGTTGAGGATCACGCGGTTCTCCGAGTCCATGCCCGGCGCGAACGGAGGAAGGGAAGAAGAGAGACACAGATGAGGAGGATCAGCAGATGATGCCCGGGTCAGCGGGGAACGACCGGGATGAACAGCGCCACATCACCGCCGCGGCGACGCACCAACGCCCATGCGGGCGCTTACTCAAACGTCGAGTCTATACGAACGCGGACAAGCAGAGGGCAGCGCCGGGGAAGTGATCATGACAGGCTGTCTCACAACAACATCCGGCTGGCTACTGGCATAATTGGCCCAACCGGAAACGGGACACCGACGGGGCCCGCGCGTCTATCCGCAGATTAATCCTCATCGCGCGACGCCACGCGCCGGCCGTGTCGCTGCATGCCCAACGTGCGCCGTGGCCCTGCCCGGCTGTCGTCGGGTGGGAAGATGGATCGACGTATCTGCAAGAGAGGATAGATAGCGCCGTGACGGGAGTGATGAGCGATCGGTGAGACTGTCAAGAGCGGCGCGTGCCGCAATTAGGCGGACGTGCTGCCGCGGCGCACGTCCAGGCTAATTACTGTACACGTACAGATACAGCGCAGCCGGCCCGTCCGACGCATTAGCCAGCGGCGCGTATAGAGGGACTATATGTTTACGGGTAATGGAATGTGCGCCCGCTCCTGTCGCTGACGTGCAGCGGGCCGTAATTCAATTTGATCCGTAATCGCTTACAGAAAGCAGACCAATTACCGTGGATGCCGGCAAAAAGCCCGGCTGATCCCGCGGCCGCACTAAGACCTGCCTGCGTCACTGTATACCCTCACTTTCCGCTGATAAAGTGCAATATCGCCGACGTACGTAATGCGCACATATATTGTATATACGGATTTGAAACAATATTAATCGGGCAATGGGAAAACTATTAGCGCGGCCGGATTAATAATGGAGGCCGGTTGAGTGGCGCTAACGGAAAAACGCTGTCCCTCGTAAAACGGCCCGCCGAATGCATCAGCGCCGGGGCCATAACGCGGTGGGAGCGCGCGCTTAAACGCCGCCATAAAGTCGGTCTGTGTGTGCCAGTGTGCGGCTGCGGTGCATTCCGCGGACGGATTAATACGGCATATATATGCATTTGCCGGCACAATTAGCGCGGTGCTGGATGGCGGCGTTAACGGGCCAGTAACGCGTCGTGCGCTGCCATTGCGGCCGGAATACGGGCGCACTTGTGTAAGAGAACACGGAGCAGTGCAGCGGCCTTTCCGGCCGAAAATTAATGACTTTTTATGCGCATGCTGCCACGTCAGAATGCCGGCCGCTAAACAGCGATAAATTTACCAGGCCCGAAAATGTCCTAACTCATCCCGCCGCTTACTTCCGCCGCTGCAACATGAAGTTGCTCCGCTTATGCCGGACCCACCTCCGCTGCAGCGCTGTGTAATCGAGCCTAATTTGTACGCGACACGACGACAGTCGATACCGCGCATAATTCATCCGCTGTAAATGCCCATCGCTTCTACTAACAAACGGTTTATTTTTTTAAAATTTGTGTGCATAAAAAAGTTAGTGTGCACAGGCGCCAGGAGAACAGAAAATCGTACTATAACAAAATTTTGCAAGATATTTGGGCCAGTTAATGGTTAACATTCAAAGAAATTTAAGGTGATTTTGAAACAATTTGAAATTTGCAGATAAATTATTTATAATACATTTTTCCGAAAGTTTTTGCGCTGAAATTAACACAACTGCTAAAGATGACTCATGTTTCGCTCACATAAAATTTTAAGTAAAGGCGTAAAATTCTCAGCCAATTCGTTGATATTGACTTTACATATCTTTCTCCACAATTTTTTTATATATATAAACATATATGTCTTCTTGAAACGGTTTATTCAACACAGAAGCCGTTTGCTTTTGAAATGATTTGATTTAAGGAATAAGATGTAAAACGTCAGAATGTTTGATTTCAGCCATACAACATATTGCGCATATAGAGCAAAAAACACGGTGCATGGTGGGTGCATAGTGAGGTCAAAGGGGAAGCGGAAGGATGAAAAGGAAGAGCGTGAGGCCTGCGTGATTGCAGCCGGTGCGTTCACTGTGTTGGCGCAGGCGCTGCAGCCGGCTCATTGGCTCGACACATACAGGAGCTGGGCAGTGCGAATTGCCGGCCGATATTGGCCTCTTCGTGGGTCATTGGGCAGAGATTATCGATCGACTCTTGTATACATGGACATCCACACTCGCCGCAGTATGGCGTGTACACGCTCTAGAATATCTTTGGGGAAAACACGCTCCTGCATCTATTTATTCAACTGTCGATTTTTTTATTAACTGCATTGGGGGAGCGACTGGTCAAGCGGACACTGCGCAGCGGAAGCGGAGACTAATATGCGCGTAGGTGAGGGGAAGGCGACGCGGAAGGCTAAGCGGCGGCGGTCACGCGATCCCACCGGGATCTCTGTCGTCGCCCGGCCGCGTTAAACAGTGCACGTTAAACAGCGCCCTGTCTGCCACGCTGTACATGCACCTCGAGACGCGCTTAATTAACCTGATGCCGGCCGCCACCGGGACGGTCGGCGGCGGTGGGGATATCTTGGACAAGTTGCGAGGGCGGATGTTGCACAATGTGTAATAATTCTCTCCGAACACCATTAGATGCCCATTGCGCCGTCTCCTTCTCTCTGCTGCTGGCTCTTGTGCAACGCATATATTCCCTCTCCTGTCTCGTCTGCGCTGCGCCGCTCTCCGGCCTGCCCGGGCCGGCGCTGCTGGGGAATGAATTCAGTGCGTGGCATGATGTTTGGCCTGTGTGTACTCGGGCTATCGAGCGGAGTGCTTGTGATGTGTACACAATGTACAGTTACAAGCAGACTAACTAGTGACTTTGCACACTTAGTGTTCTAATGCAGACCGATCCCCTCCGCATCTATATATCCGCGGATATAGCGGATCGGATCGGAGCGGACGGATATATGTGCATGTAGCGCTGTTCATGCCAGCAGCGGATGGATCCCTTCGTTGTTGTTGCCGGCTGCGACGCGTGTACTACAAGCCGAGGCGGACAAAGGAGCGCTCGGCCTGCCTGCGTTTCTGTTTCTGCCACAGCCCGAGGAAGACAGGCCACAGCCAATCAATGCCGGCGGACCAGTGCCAAAGAAGCTGTGCCAGCAAGAAAAACGGCTTCTTATCGCGCATGTTGCCAGTCAGCGCCAGCGCGGGCTGGCAACATAAGCTGCGTTGCTGTGCTATGCGCGCGTCTTGTAGTTTTGTCTTGTGTACCAAAGATGCTGGCTTTAAGTGGCCAAATGACTAGGCTCACAATTGGATTACGCGCTGGCAATGTGGCACTGCCACGGCAGCCCATTGTCGCCGGCGCAGCCTCCGAGACCTGGCGAAAGGTTACCACAACGCGCGCGCACATATGGCGCTAATGAACGCCCGGCGTCACGCCACAATAGGTCAGCCCGCCGCGCAGCACCGTCGGCATAATTCAGGCAGCTGTGTAAACGCGCGGCGGCGTTGTTTATTGACAGCGCCGCGACACGGCCACACCGGCATAAACAGGATCAGAAAATCGTCGCAAAAAATGTAAAAAAAATTTTACGAAATGTGCCGCTTATCCAACACATAATCCCGGTTAGGGAGAAGGAGCGGGTTGACTTGTTTGTCAACAGATTACATAAACGGCGGCAAGGTAATCTCGGGCATATCGCCCGGGCATCTGATTCCCTTCCGCTCGAATTAGCCGGCGTGGATACACATACACGCGCAGTGCCGCGGCGGTGCCTGCGTGCTGGATGGTAATGCGGGAGATGTGCGCATTGACACATTAGACTATTATGAGCAATCAATGCTTTACGTAAGCGCCCCGATACACCGCTACCGCGCGCCATTCAACCTGGCCGATAGATAATCGCTGGCAGGCGCAACGCAGCGATAGCGCCGCACTTCCGCTCACTAAGCGGAACAATAGTGGCAGCCGGGGCTAATTTGCCAGCGCCGCCCGGTGCAGGTGACTCCAGGGAACAGATACATACAGCCGGCCAGGCGATGCGCCCGCGCCCGTCCCGACAGGCCTGCGCTTACCTGTACAGCCTCATTTCCGCTGTGTGTGTGTCGACGATCGGCTTACCTGCTAATTAGCCGGCGCCCGTCACTCAATCACGCCGTCCACGGAAATCGGGGGATAATCCAATTGCCAGCAGGACAATCCCGCGTCAAAGATTCACGGCGGCTTAGGAATAAACGATACGGGGTAGGCTGCAGCGCCACGAGAGCACACCAGTGATAATGAGACGAAAGGGTCGTTTGCGGCCGGCGCCTATCCTGTCGCCTCTCCCGGCAAGGGCCGCAGTGCGGCGGTCGCACGGCCTAATGCGACAATGGCCGGCCTAACGAGTCCGGAAGGTGTCCGTTGTTGATGGCGTTCGTGCAGTCAGCCGCATAATGATTTTATTTCAAAATGGCGTGCCACACCGTGTACACAGATGCATATGCCCTACCACACAGAGCGGGCCCGGCCAGGCAGCGCTGCACTGTATATCTATCGCTAGTCAACTAATTGATTACAGATACAGAGGAAACAACGCTGATCTTTAAGGCTCTCTCGCTCGGCGCTCGCGCTGCGTTGCATGGCATGCCAACACTGACGTTAGCCAGCTGCGTGTCAGCGTTGCCAACAGCGACGCAAAGCGAAATGGAGAAAAAAGTATGTGCCCGGCCATCCAGCCACTCGTACAGCGACGCGGCACGTATGGATACGCACTTAGTGGAGAGCGTGCAGGATGTGTGTACGGAGTGCAGGGCAGCTGACGCGTTCCTGTTGGCTGTATCTGTACATGTACTCTAAAAGAACAACGCGTCAGCACCGCTGCCAAAGCACGGACACACCGCCAGCCGGCTCGACACTTGACTGCAACCGAGTTCCGTCCGGATGCGAGTGCTCTCCCGTTGCTACACATTCCCTGCGTGATGTTTGACGCTGGCGCTAATACCGCTTGTAAGCCGCTTAAGCGCTACACACTGCTCGCTATCGGTTATTAATTTACATACAACGGGCCAAATAGTGAAACGAAGTGCTTGAGTGGAATCAGTAAGACACCTGTAGATGCGCCGGTAATATTATACGCACAATTAGGCATATATAATCATCAGCTGGCCGATCAATAATCTATCGAGGCGCCAGATAACTGCGTAAGACGATACGTCCGTAGATTAGGCGCTGTAATTACATCTGGCTAATTGGTTTGATATTATTATAAAGCGACCGGCGTATATATAAAGAGTGACCTTTGGGTATTTTACATAATGTAAAGAGTGACATATATAAAATATAAAGTGACTGCATATATAACGAGTGACCTTTGGGTGTTTTACATATATATATAAAGAGTGATGTATACATATATAAAATATATAAAGAGTGACCGTATATATAAAGCGTGACCTTTGGGTGTTTGTACAGTGTGTGGAGAAACGGCTCGCAAGCCGTCAGCGCCGCCCGGCAGGCGGGCCGCCGAACCGGCCGTTATCCACAGCGAGTGCCGTGTGGCGGACCCATACATCTGTCTGTATAATGCGACGGGGCGCCAACCGGCAATTGTGCGGAATGCAGCTATCCAGGCTATTATCAGCGGGGGAGCGGCGGATGTACTTGGCAGCGCGCGGGCTTCCCGGCTCGCTGCTATGGCTGCCTGCCGCGCTCTGGCCTGATGGCGTCGCATCGGGAAGCGAAAGGGAATGGAAAGGGAATGGAAGGGATCGACGCTGCGCAGAATATTGCCGCTATACATCCGACCGGCCGGGATAGATATCGACGCGGGAGAGCGGGCAGACTGTACCGCTATATGCAGCGCTGTTGTTGCGCCACTCAGCGCAGCAGCTCATAAGTCAAACGCCTTACCCAGCTAAAGTGGCTGTATGTTTTCCCTGCTATCGCGGCCGAATGCCAGAGTGGAATTACTCCCGTACATGCCTCTCTGCATCCGATCGATAAGCGCAATCCCAACCAGGAACGCACAGCCCTTCGCCGCGCCGGCCGCCCGCTGGCGCTGTTTGTAACGCTTTTTTCGCTGTGCGTCAGCGTTTCCCTCTACTGTCTGTATTCTATGCAGGGCTGTTTACGGCGTACCTCGGTAATAAGCTGATTGGGCTAATTATACCGCGCGGCGTGGATGACGCTGATCGGCGGCATTTAGCGTCCGGGATCGCGCCGCTTCCCTGTATATTATATGCCGCGCATTACACGACAAACATCCCCTACACGGATCGTGCGCCTCTTTCAATAGCCAGCAGCGCCCGCTGTATGGGCATTAATACATGAGGCATACATGTAGCGGTTCCGGTGTATCCGTCCGGCATCGATCGCCTGTGCTGCTGGCACACGGCACAGAGCGATGTATTATTTGCCAGCAGCTGCTGGATGTGCGTTTTATGAACATCCCAGCGGAAGCGGAGGGAGTCAAGCCGCGCACGGCACACCGACTGATACAGCCGGCACAGCGCGAGGCCGGGCTGTATCGTCGCAGCCAGAGCGAGGCCAAGGAATGCAGGAAGAAAAGGCGGTTAGCTGTGTTTGTGTGCGCAAGAGATAATCAAGTCCTGATAAGGCAATGGGATTCTTTTTTGCCGGCAATTTGTCAAGCAGGCCCGTTAGGGGATTAGCCGCGGGAGGAGAGTGCGCTAATCCCTGGTTAGCCTTGTCACCGACGCCTTACAGTCAACTGGACGGGACCCGCTCCCATCCGGCGCCGGCGCCGGCCCGCACTACACAGTTGCTTATATAACGGATGTACGAGCGTACTGTAGCGGTACAAGTAAGCAATTTCCTCCGCTAGGGCGCAGGACAATCGCGGCAATAAACTTGCCAACGCTACCAACAACATACACCAATATGGCAGCAACGAGTTGATGGTTTCTGTCATTAAAGCGATGCCACTGGCGAGCGGTGTATCGGCTGTGCGCATCGCTGTGATATTTTGATTGCTAAATGTGGATGCTTTGTGTTGTCTCCTAATATGCGTGCCACTCTGTGCGATGGTTGTAGCACGAGTCCCGGCAATTTAAACCACCGCATTAAAAATGCGTTTAATATAAATGCAATTATTTTGTCACATTTTAATTTATTGGTAAAACCACCCCCGGAAACGAAAACTAGATACAAAGGCTCATAGAAAAATTGGTTTTGTTGCCATCAAGAAGATCACGCCGGAGAGTAAAAGCCCAAAGGGAAAAACTGAATCCCGAATTTAATAGAATTTCGCTGCATTGGGAAAGAGGTTGGCTAGAGTACCGTGGCAGTGCCGCCCGTTAGGCGTCCAGCCCGAGCTGCTCCAGCAGGCCGTCGATGAGCGCCAGACGGTCCCGCGCGTCGGCCATCTGGCTGGTGGTCTGCACGTTGCTGGTGACGTAGAAGCGGATGTCGTCCACCACTGCAGCGCCGTTCAGTCAATCATTAGTCGAAAGAATTCTAGTTAAACGTACGCCGCCACTCACCGTCGATCGTGTCCGTCTCCTGGCGCTCCTGCACATCCTGCGCGTCCTCCACGATCAGCGCCTGCAGCTCCGCGCTGCGGATCAACTACGCAGACAAATACGGCTTTTACTTCCTCTAAATGAGCCAGTTTGGTCGTCTTTCCAACCAACCGAAGCCGCTGCGACAGCGTCGATGACCAGACTCGCGCTGTTTACTTTGAACAACCAATAAACCACGCAATCAAATTTTTAAAGGAATAAATATTTAATATACAAGAATTATTATTATTAGAATTGCTATTTATTCCATTTAGAACTACATATTAGAATTTTTATTTATTTTATTTAGAATTATTATTTATTTTATATCGAATTGTTAGAATTAATATTTATTTTTTTTAGTTATTGTTATTATTATTTATTACTATTTTTACAAATTTTATGTACAAGATTTATTTTTAACGATTTTCGTACGGACAAGAAACAGGAAAGCGTGGCTGATTTATTTCATAAAAAGAACAGCGAAAGTGATCGGCTGTTGAGAACAGTCGAATTAAGGAAAAAACTTACCGTCTCGATGTTCTTGGCGATGAACTCAACGCAGGCGGCCTGCAACCGTGGCAGTTGCAGCTGACGCGCCACCCGCAGCACCCCCACCACGTTGCCGCAGTCCAGATGGTCGGCCATGACGCCGGCGCACTGCTTCTTCAGCCCCGGCAGCAGGTACATCTCCGCCGTGAACAGCAGCTCCGTCACGATGTCCGCGCCAATCTACATCCATACAAGTGCACCTGTTGAGAGCAGTAAGGCAATAAGCAATGCAGAAAAAAGGCGACATGCCTCCGCGGAATCTTGGTACATGTAGAAGACGACGGCCGTGAAGGCCGCGGCGGAGATGTCGTGCAGCGTGATGACGGGGATGCCGGTGTGGTCGGCGGCGGACTCGTGGAAGTGGTCGTTGATCAGCGCTCTGCATCAACCGGCAAATCATTTCACAGCGCCGCCAGAGACCGGAGAAACGGAGCATGACCAGACTTACTTGAAAAATTCACTCCGTGAACAGAAAAATGCCTGCGATGGAGGGAATACAAATTTACATGGTGTTGTTGTCGTTGGTGTGTCGATCAAGTACGCGGCGCACCTTGTGGCAGCGGAAGTGCTGGCCCTCGACGACGAAGACGACGTCGGCCAGGTGGCGCCACTCGTCCTCGTCATCAGGACCGTCGTTGTCGTCGTCGAAGGGCAGGCAGTGGAAGTCGGCGGGCGGCAGCGCGTGGCGGGCCAGCTGCGCCAGGTCGGCGTGCAGTTCGTGCTGGCCGGCGCGCGGCTCAATCACCAGCGTGCGCACACGGGTGCGGCCCATCTTGGTGGCCACTGTAAGCACACCAACGACGGCTACGATTCGTGTAGAGAAAGGCAGCCGGCATCGGCCGACCAGCAGTGCAAAAGACGGGTATGAATGGCGGAGGCAGGCTTACCGAAGAACTTGGCCTCGGCCTTCTGCCGGCGCAGTCGCTCCTCCAAATGATCCAGCCCGAACTGCTTGCACAGCCGCAGACAGTCATCCACCAGCTCCACGTCGATCTCCAGCCGGCCGACGTAGATGTAGCGCAGAACAGCGGAGAAGGCGCTGGCGTCCACCTGCAGCAGTCGGACAGTGAAAACGCCCCGGAATTACTACGACTTAGTCACTTGGCAGTTCGCATTACAGGTTTATCTTGAGCTTCTGCGATCACATCACACTGAAAGCACAAGAAGCAGTTTTAGTCGCGGTACAGCTGATTCTTGAGCAGCGTGGTTCGCGTGAGAAGAAGCAAGCAGAGGTTAGGGTGGTGAGGACGCAGCTACCCACCAGCGGGTGCTGGTTGCGAATGACGTCGCGGTCGCGCCAGCGGCGGGCCAGCTGGCGCCGGAAGTAGGGCGAGCGCGCCGCCAGGATGCACTTGTGCGCCGCGAAGCGCTCCTCGTGAATCACCAACGCCACGTCCGCCAGGCCGTCCGTGTCGCTCTCCAATAACCTGCACAAAAGTAACCTTACAACCTGCCTTTAACATACCCAAAATTATTGAGTACCGGTAACTATCTGTACATGCATGTATCATTTATTACACAATTACGTATTATTTATTATGTATTATTTATTACACAACGTCACGTCGCATTTTGTACGCTTCATGACAGAAAGTCGGTTGGTTTTAATTTGCAACAGTCTGCTCCCGAACGACGAATTTCTCGAAAAGTTAAGAACGGCTTGTTGGAATTTATTTTTTAGAAATAGTGTCGAGGAAGTCATAATTTTTTTGTGCGGGAAATCAAACAGCAGGCGAAGGGTTATTCGTTATCGAAAGTAAAAGTTAATACCGAAAATACAAGTCCCAGACGCTGCCGCACCGAGCGGTTGCAACTGCATCAAGCGCCGGAAGTCACACATCAGTTTTGCGGTGAGGAAGGCGCATAACGCCGTTGTATGAAGCATATCTCCAAGTGCGTATGAGACATGAGTGGTTCCTCGGAATTGCACTGTATGTTTCTGGAGAAATCATTTTCCAATCTAACTTCACTTTCATTTCCAAACAAACTCCAAGCAAAACATTTTAAATGCAGGAAATTCAGGGACTTCCGGCGCTTGCAGCATTTGCAGCCGCCCAGGGTGGCAGCTCAATGCGAATCAATTTAAAATCGGAAACGTTTCGGGAAATTCCCATTCCTTTTTCTCATCATCTTCGGCACGAAAACTGACTCACTCTGGTCTGAGTCTTTTGAAAAATCAAGAAGCAACAGCAAGGAATCTATTACGTAGCAAATGCGTAGCGTGGAATCAGACTGGTGCATTTCACTGCTGCAGAGAAGCGCTCTAGTGACTAAATATACTGCAAGCTGCAGCTAATTTATTGGCACTCACACGCGCAGGAACTCCTCGTACTCGTTGCGGCGCAGGATGTGCTTGGTGACGGCCTTGTGCTGCAGCAGCAGCCGGCGAATGTCCTCCGTCAGCGCCCCGTACAGCGCCCGCTCCCCGTCGAACGTGTCGGCCTCGCAGCGCGCCCCTGGTGTTCATTGTTCAAGCACGTCATGAGCAAACTCAAGAATCACAGGGAAATGAGCGCATGCGTAGTCGTACCGTGCTGCAGGAGGTACTCCACGAGCGCGCGGTGCCCGCACAGACAGGCGTAGTACCTACAAGACATCACGGGCGCAACGTCAGTGTCAAGGGGGAGTAAGAGAAGATGAGGATGATCCTCACAGTGGCGTGCTGTCCCACATGTCGCGCACGTTCAACTCCACGTCGCGCTCCTCCACCAGGAACTGCACGCGCTCCACACGGCCTAGACGGCACGCCGCGAACAGCTCCGCCACGTCCATTCTCCCACGCAATTATTACTCAGCTACCATAAATAAGAACATACTTCCTAGCAAAACCATTTACTCCGTTCAATGTTCTTGTCAATCACAGAAAATGTCGAATTGCAATAACCAGAGTTACCAGACTGACGAGACAGCTGGGTAAACCTTGTTTTGCAGGTGACCGCCGCACTGGGCGGCAGTCGGCAAGCATTCCACTTGACAGTACTTCCGGTCTGTTAATACTGAATACAGACCTCCCCATTGTCAGCGATTAAGAAAGTTATTAAAATGCTCCCCAAGAAAATGTTTAATCGCTTGATGGAAATCAAAATAAACTGAACATTCTCCCAAAATCAAAGGAATTTAGCTACCGAATGCTCCTGAAATGCACCGGCTTCTGCAGCTTCCGGTTGGCTGTCTGGGCTGCGCGACCCGCTCAGGGCGGCAGTTACGGGTTTTCTTCGACTTTTGTCCCCGCAAAGTGCAGAATGCAGAATGATACTTTGTAGATGCCGTCACTTACCGGTCGACCATTAAAAATATGGAATCTGCTTTTGAAAACTGACATTTTCCCAGAAAGACGCGTCTGTCACAGACTCATATAGAAGAAAGTTATACAGTGCTTATTTGCCGCCTTATTACCACAACCAAGACAATTAATGCCGCTGTGATGTGCTCACGGCTTCCGGTACAGCAGTGCCGGTCGCGGTCGCCATACCGATCAATACAGTGTACATAGTTACAGGTATTACAGAGACACTAGACGCGGTGACGGCTGCTGTAATAATATCACACTACCCGTAATTGGTCGTGCACTCTTTTACACTCGCAGCTCGCAGTTAACACTACCAATCCCAAGCGTATAATTTCCCGAAGACGTGCAGTGAAGAACAGCGCGATTATTAGAGACCGCTCCGGCGTGAACATTCAGCGAATGCGCCGCGGAACAGTGACATTAAAGCAACAAGTGAACAGCAATACAGCATCGACTGGAATCTAAATGCAGCTTCAACAGCGAAGAATCAATCAGCTGCCGGAAGTAAATATTATCCTGTACATGATACGAGTACACGTGGACTATGACATGGAGAAAGAAAGTAACCACAACCACAAGCACACCAAGTGTAAATCTAAATGGAACAAACATCGCAAGAGTCCAATCCCCGTCGGTCGGAGGGCCCACGAAGAACCCGTTGCCGGTGGCCGCGAGCGCTAACGGAGCGGCTAGTGGATCTCCGGCGGACGGGAGGTGGAGAGCCGGCGCGGCACGTCGGCCTCCTGCATGGACATGCGCCGGCGCGGCGCTCCGTCCATGCCTTGCGACAGCGAGCGCGCGCGCTCCGCCGGCGTCGACACCGAGGTCACTACGCACACGGGGACCATTAGATTTCGGTAAAAGGTCGACAAGCATCAAACGGCGCTTACGCAGGCCCAGGCCCTTGCAGAAGAGGATCAGTCCGCGGGCCAGTTGTTCCGGCTGCAGCACCACAAGGTCAACCATTTAATTATGTAATATGGGGCAACACGGACCGCTGCCTGTCAGGCTGTGCGTATGCATCTGGGAGCGCCTCTTCCAGGCAATCAAAATACAGCTCGTGCAGAGTGTTAATTGGTGACCTACCGCTTCGATGAGGACGTCGGCGACGTTGTCGATCTTGAGGAGGCTGGACTTTTGCGGGTTCAGGTGGGAGTACATGGTCACCTGTACAAATACGGCCGCTGAATATTAACCGGCACATTTTCATTTGTTTCCGGTAAGGCAATAAATAACAACATGAGTGCGCATCTTCTGTATCGTAGACAGCAAGTATTGCGTATTACTGACCACGGTGTGCTGGAATGAAGACTTGGTACCGCAGACGATCATCGTATCGCACCTGTTCCCGAGAAGTTCCCTTTAACTGAATTAATTGCTAACGGACCAACATAAGGAGTTGCGCTTACGTCAGTCGTTCCCTAAGCTGATTGGTCAGGTCATTTCGGCTGCAATGCAGAAAACATGATGGTCAACTGTGAGCTCTTTCGTGGAAATGGCGAAGTGGATATCATCGCGGCACTGTACTCGTACTTGAGAAATGCGTCCATATAAGCGTGGAGGTTCTTGAAGTTGGTGTTGCCGCGGATGTCGCTGAGGTACTGCTGGATCATGTTCTCCCGGTTCTCCACTTCCGACCGCTCCATTTGCTACACAGCACAGGACACGTTCTTTCAAATGCATGTTATAAAAAATATTTATAATGGGGGGTTGCAGAAACCGAAGACAGATATAGTGGGCACTCATGATCACACATCACACCGATTCACACTACACTGTACCTCGTCGAAGGCTTTATTCTGCAATGCCGTTAGAGTATAGAAGGACATCACGCGCATTTCACCAAGCCCACGGAAAAGAATTATGTTAGGTCAGTTAGACAGTTTAGTGAAAAGGTCACACCACAGCAGTCCCTAGAGGCAGTGGGGGAAGAGAAGCGAGCGGCGTTTTAACTTACATTGCCGAACTTGTACATGACCAGGTAGTCCTCCGCGCTCGGATTGGCGTTCTTCATCTTCCAACTCATCATCTGTCAACGGTAGCCTCCATCAATAACAACATCGGCGAAAAATGGACACCAGCGTCATGGAGAATTTTTGATAGAGTAGCTATTTTGCAGACATAACTACCTTGTCCTTGACCCATTCCTTGAAGCCGGCCGAGGTGGCGGTCGGGTGGATGGCCAACAGGCCCAGAACGCGCGTCGGATACGTCATCTACAAAATACCCAACAAAATCTTATGTTTCTTTTCCATCGTCACGTCTCATAAGCAATAATTACACGACACATTCTAGACACCGCTTAATAAATATTTTGTACCCATCTTGTTTTGACAACCGCGAATTTTTTTTTACCGATAAAACACGTGCAAAAATTTTTATTTTATTTTTTTCTTCTTAGAAAGCTGTCGGTATTACACTTATTTCAAAAAATTTAGGATGAATATTTTAGAAGAATAAAAATTCTGGATGCACTTGACGTAGCTATAGCAGAAAATGGTTAGTGCGGTCCAGTTAGAGTCGGACAGTTAGCACAGCGGCAATAAATCATCAGCCGGATGAATAATGCGGGTGTACATGATCGCCGACGTGCTGGCTGCGAACACTGGTAATTACTAGCAAAAAGCGAGCAACTTACGGCGAAGCGCGTCAGAATGTTGGCACCGGCGCCCTCTCCGAATCCCACCACATACTGGACGCTAAACAAACAAACAGCCGCTATAGCACAATATTATAGGTTAAAGCAAACAGGCCGTCTTCCGCCACGCCAACTAACGCTACAGCGCGGTATACTGTATACAGTACAGCCGACCCCGGCTGACTGCGGCCGCATTCAACCGCGATCGCATTACTCCAAATCGTCTCCGTCAGCACAAACGCTGAATGAGCGCCGGCAAAAGGGGAATTAAATAACGCTACACCGGACCGGCTCCCGGCCACTTGATAACTGCACCATATAATCGCTTCTTGCAACAGTTTTCATTGCCGAATTGTAATGCTGTGCTGGAGATCAAATATTTAGTAACTGCCGGGTCAGCTAGTGTCAACGTTTCGCTCGGTTTCTACGCTGCCGGATCGCATTACCGGCAGCAGCGGTAATTTGCTGCAATTTACGCTGTACTCCAGATCAAAATTAAAAAAAAAATCAGTTGTGTACTATTATGGAAAAAATAATAAGATTAGTTAGTAGAAGAAACAAATTCAGGGAAAAATACTAAACAAAATTAAAAAATAAGTAAATAAATAAATAGAAAATATCTAATAAATTAATGAAATCGATACACGATTAGCAAGAAGTCTGTGTCTCTGTGATCGTTTCAGAGTTAGCTAATACTGTTTACAGGTGATTTTTATTTTTACATAATTTTTTCACTTACATTAATTTATATTCTCAAATCGCGACATTACAGTCATAGTTCCATTAACAACGGCCATCATTGCACAGTTAAGAATTAAAAAATAATTAATAATAATTATAGCATACTAATTATGATAATAATTATAGTATTATAGCAAAAAATAATTAATAATAATTATTTACATAATTATAGCATACAGCAACGAAGAAAGGCATAACAGAAAAAAAGCGATTACGTTCTGCGCACAATCAAGAGCGGACTGTCTGTGGCCATTTTATATTATTACAAAATTTTTATATGTATGATAAAAATATCTTTATTAATTAAAATATGTATCACCGCTTCATACAAAATGATAGAAATAGCATTTATCTGACTGCGGTGAACTTACTGCAGCTGATTAAGGACCTCGACGAGATCTTCGCCGATTTCCTGCAGCGACGGAAACTTGAAACTGCAACACAAGAGCAACGTTAAGAAGGTAATGGGTGACCTTTTCAAACTGGGGCACAACTGCCGCCGCAACAACAACGCAACGGAGGCGACCTACTCGTGCGGCAGATCCGGCGCGTTGGGGCTCTGGCCCGGCACTTCGAAGTTGATCCACACCGACTTGGCGCGCACTTCCGTCATGGACTCGTGGTTGATGAAGCGGTCGAAGCTCGTCGCTGCAGATAAATAACAAACCACAGACACAATTAATTTATTCCCATTGAAAATTAACGATGAATAATAATTTCATCTCGCGCTGGAAATTACATATGAAAAAACTATGTATTCTTATACTGTACGTATCGTTATGCAGGGAAACAGAATTCATGCATGCAATTTACATTTCGCTTCAGTAAGTTGACAGATCAACGACAAGTTTCCGGCATTCAGTTTTTATTACATAAAATTGTCACAAAAATGTTAAACTATTTTCAGAATTTTTATTAATTATTTCCCATTAAAAGTCTGAAGAAATACATTATCGCGCAGCTAGAGAAAATTCAGATACGCATCTGACTGAATAATTATTGTTGTTTGACTGCTCACCATTGGCTCCAAAGTCGTGCACGGTGATGAAGACGGCCTTCTGGCTGATGTTCTTGTAGTCGCCCTGGATGTGCGCACAGAGATTGCGGCGTTAGTGAAACGGGCCATTGCCAGTTGCGGATTACGCCATTGGGGCATTAAATGATTATTTTCATGTGCGCCTATCAGTTTCACAATTTCACCCACCAGAATGTGCACCGACACATCGCCGCAGTGGCTGGTGTGGACGTTCACCCTCTGCAACGATACACCGCAAAGTATTAATAATTATGATGGACGCCATGCGTGGCTACATGCTACAGGCTACGCTCGGTTAAAGCACCATGACTTCCGCTCCAAAATAAACAACGAATTAGGGAATGAAATAAACGACGCAATCAGCGCATAGCTGCCACTCCACACAGCTGCGGTGAGATACACTTCAACCGCACTTGACTTGTCAAGAAGCACACTAATATTCCGTACAGCACAAAGAACGGGAATAAGGACAGCATGAGAATTAACTTCATTACGCAGATTAAGGAGCGGTATATATAATAATGTGTACAGTACTCGAAATAAGAGTGATCCGGGCGGGTTCATCGTCAAGCACTGCGCCTGTTTTGCCGCGGCGAATGAATGGGAAGAAGTTGATTTAGTGGGAGCAAAAAATCAGCCGAAATGGGCACTATCCATAATTAATCGGGATGCCATGCCTGTGTGCCTGTGTGCAGTGCGACGGCAGTTAGCGAGGCGTGGACAGTCACAGTCGACGCACTGATATATGCGGTATATCTACACAGCAGTCAAGTACGTGACGGAGACTATGCGGACCGGAAAAGCGGCGTGTTGGGCCGCTTTTGTGCCGTGAACGCGGCCCGCGCCCAGCTTCCGCCTGGGCCGTGTGCCTGTGCGTGCGGGATCGATGGCAGTGTGTGGCGCTATTGTTCGCGCCACCGGCTGATGCAGTCGTTCGCCGGGATCAGTGTACGCGGCAGCGGGATGCAGTGTATGCACTGCGCAGCTAATCTGAACCGCACGGGCCGGGCCCAGTGTGGACGCGGCCGAGCGGGATAATGTCTTCGGTACACATCCCGCACAATACTCCCAAACACACAGTCACATTTCAATTACGCTACTCACTTTTCTCCACGCAGTCATATATTATATACTACACGTACTAGTACTGTATGAAAGTATGTATTACAGGCGCGCGTATTATTTTTATATCGACACATTACTAAGTAATATTTTTCAATTTTTACATAAATGTACGTATCTGTCTGTATCTATCCTTCCCAAAATTTTTATATGCCTGCGCAACACTGATATTGTTTCGGTACGCAAATCGCAAATGACATAAAAATTTTAAAAATTACTAAAATTTTAATATGTACAAATTAAATTTATTTATTATGTACAAATTAAATTAAATTTATTTTATTATGCACTCTACTAAAATTTTATTATGTACAAATCTCCGCCTGATAAAGCTAACTTCACAACAGCAGCGCAGAAATCGCGCTAGCACAAGAAAAACAATCCCTTATACAAAAGTGGACAATTTGTTGCTTTTTCTTCCTAGTGGTTTTTTCAAATCTGTAATTTTTCTGACTCTCTAATTTTGGCATAGAAGTAAAATTTTTTGATTTATTTACAATTGGTTTATGCAGAGGATTTCTTAGTGTTGCTAATTTCAACGATATATGTCACATTTATTTGCCATGTAATTCAAAACGCCGAACTTGAATCTGCGAAGCAGCCGTTTTGCAAAATACCAATAAAGAACGGCAGACTGTACAATTTATAACCGAAGGAACTGGAAGCCCCGAAGCTGCGCGCGTGTAAACTCTTTTATCAGCGGGGATTAATTTAACGAGGCCCGGCTTACAGCTGATTAGCGGAGCCAACAGCCGGCGCTTAGTACCTTATCAATTTCCTATAAAACGGGCCTTAACGATTACGAGCGCTGCGCCGGCTCGCGTAAACAGCCCGCGCAGCTAGATACATATACACGGCGACCGACGACTGCCATGGAACTGCAACACACAACAGTCAACACTGTCCCGAACTGGCAGGCTTCTTCCGGCTGAAGAAACCGATTTCCCTCGCTCATGATCAACACCGACTGCGCATTTATCGGTGTTCAGTTGTGTTGTGCTCGCTGCCTCACGCAGAGCCTGCTGCTGCGAGATATCCAGCTGAGAGGTCCCATAAAATCGCATTTTCCTGCTTCTACCCATTAATTTTAACTCTACACATTTTTTATGCCGCTTGCCTGCATAATAAAATTTGTTAAAATTTATTTTCAAAAAGCAAACAATTTTATGAGAGCCTCTGGTGGTTTTAGTGCTCGCATAAAATTAAGGAAAATAATTCGCAGTATCATAATTTTGGCGATCGACTAGACAAAAACCAAATTTCCTTTAAATGGGAAAAAATAAAGAAGTGTGTCTTTCCACACCGCTTGTCTCCACAATAATTTGTGTTTAAACTGTATTCTCGAGAAATAATTCGTTTTATATGTGCGTCTGGTAGAAATTAACCAGTTCTACTGTTCATATAAATTTTTTTGATTGGCAAAGTGATGATACTGGCAAATCCCTGGTCAAATATTTGATAATTCTTTAAACGGCAAGAAATGTAATTGAATTGGCAGTGTACAGTAGGCGACGATCGCCGGTGTACTGCAAATTCTTTTTCCGCGTGGTGAAAGGGAAATTCCAAAAACGCAAACACATCTCATGACGGCGACAAAAGCCGGCGGATTTGTTTAGATGCAATATTTAACGGCAGTTATTACTATTGAATCGCTATTGATTGCGCGCTGGCCAACGACATAACTGTCCCCGAGCAGCGCCGCGCCGGTCGATGCATTACTCTACTGATACGAGTACGCGTACTGCCGGCATAATAGGCGCTACGTTCGCTAAATTATTCGACGTTCGCTCCAGATATGATTTTGAGGAAGAAACCATCGGACACGGAAAAAGCAGATTAAGCAGGGAATAAACTACTCCCCAAAGGGAATCTGGGAAAATGGCCACTCGGGTGCACGATTCGACGAGGCGCGGTTCATGTGTTACGTACAGTGTGTTGGATTTTTTTATTGCAAAAATAATTATACAAGGCAAGCACGATTTACGGCGAAATTTTCTGCAAGAATGCTAATACCGTCTGTACAAACTGTACCTAATGAAACTAATGAAACTAATGAAACAGAAAACTAACGAAACTCGTAGCAATGACAAACCAACAAGATAATGTCGCGTCCGTTATCTGTCCTGTCGAAAAAATCCAAAAACGTTGTTTTGTAACCGGAAGTAGAATTTAATGTCTTTATCGTGCTATAGAATTACATAAACTAGTTTCCATAAAAATAAAATAATTATTGGAATTACAATTTATTTTCTGTGTCGACTAAATGAAGATTTGTTCCAATTTGTTGTTTTTTTGTTCGGTGCCTAGATACAGGAGAGTGGAGTCGGCGTAATCTGTGAGTTGTTTGGAGAGCGAGTGCTGACAGTTGATGCGTACTTGAGGACGGTGTGTGCACTCGTGGACGGCACACTCCAAGTGCAGCAACACAGGCACACGCAGCCTGCCAGCTACTACTACTAGCTAGCTGGCCATCCAATTTCCGGCTCTCACAGTGCCTACACTAATTCCCAGCTCCCGGAAATCGTCAGCTCAACGGCACTGGCAGAGCGTTGCCGGTGCGAATTGCAGTGTGCGCACAGTAACGCTCGCTCCACGTCTAAGCTGCCCGCCAACAACAATCTCGGCGCCACTTCAGCCGCCGCAGCTCTCTCCCTTTTTCGCCTAGCTTCCCATCAAGCTGGGCCAATTAACAACAACTTCCCCTCAGGAGCGACGCTGTCCACGCTACCTCCGATTACTGTCACTCAACACAACAGCCGCTACCAACACTGACAGTCGCGGCGGAAACCCAACGCGCTACAAAAACGGTGCTGGACAGTGACGTCACCGCGTGTACACCGGCAAAAGGCCGCGGTGCTCGTTGATGCAGAACCGCGAAACCACAAAAACAATAATACATTTTTTTTACGACCTGATATGCTGTACAGGAATTTAATTACGGCGGCACAGAAAAGTGGTCAGATTACAAAGCAGGCGTAATCTGAGGATAATCAGCGGGAAAAATCGATGGCCATCCCGTGCAGCCTGATTGAATACGGGCCAGAAGGCCCAGATTACTGTATTCTAAACACCCGGCAGTTCCACGCTTGCCAACAAACACCGCCTCGCGGCCAATGCGCCCGTTTTCCTTGACAGAAATTACACCGCTATTTGCAGCGACATTTCCAGACCGCCGCTTCGGATTACGCTGCTCGGCCAGACTCCGCAGAATGCACATTAAGGATAGTTAATATTTCTCTGTATCGTTCATTTCTCGTTAAATAAATTCCGGGAAAACCAATTAAATTGCCCATAACATTTACCACTAACTTAAACATCACATTCAGCATTATATAAAACACAACGTTAGGCATTAAAATAAAGAAACCAGTACCCAATACAATAAATATAAGGTTAAGCATAACATTCAGCATCGGAGTCGTCTGTACGCAAATTTAAATTAATCGATTTTCTAAAATTTTTTTCCGAAATCCTGCCAGCATTTATGATCTATTGCGAGTTTGCCAAATCGATATATATCGCAACTTTTTCAGTGCCATAAAAATATGGCGGTGATTAAATTGTTTATATTAGGAAATTGAATCTGCGGATCGGTCAGCACTCAACTTTAACCTCTTTACACGCAAAACTGGAAAGCCCTCCACGGGAAGGCTTCAGTCAAGGAATTATATTTACCAGCCGCTACTGTGTGATCGTCATGGCAATTCGCACATCAATAAAATATTTGTCGATCAGCTCGTAAGTTTCCAGCTGATCGGACAGGTTTGGGTGGAAAAACGCGTTTGTTTGCACACACTACTGTGTAGTGTGTCATGCGTAAATGTAATGGCTAATAAGCAAGCTAAAGCAACATACACCCACCGGAGAACACATGCGTGCAGGTTCGCAGCGTTTTCTATGAAGGCAATTACCAAGAGTTTACAGCCAACTTTTTACTTTCCCCTCACCTGCACCAAATTCTCGTCAGCCATCTCTCCGCTCTTCACTGGGCGCAGCTCCTGTCTAGACAATCCTGGCAAGAATGCAGCGTGATTATGCAGGAACGCACAGTTGCGTAACTGGCGTCCACGTCGTCCAGTATCTGCAATTTCCGCCCAACAGTCAGACTACTGTAGTACAGTATCGTTCACTATCAATCGCGGCTAATGGTAATGGCTCGATTCGGCGGCAATCGCAATGGAGAAAGCAATCCCTTCGATAAATCGTCAAATGCCGTGTGATGGGCTGCAAAATGTACCAAGTATTCGGCTCGATAAAAGTGCTGGATGCTCCAACAATTTGTCTCTCGAGTGGTGTAATGCCTGCGCTGGGACGGTGTATCTGCTTTTGCAGTAGATAGCGCTTATTGCTCGTATTCGTGGAAGTTTATGGCCAGCTGATGATTTTCCGAAGATTTCAAAACATTGCACACACACGCACACTTACACCGCTGCAAGTGGCACGCGCTGTACTGGTAGACGTACAATACGTGCTGCTAATACGCCTGCACTCTCCGGTATAGCTGCTGCTGGACTGTGTTCAGCTGTCAAAAAGTGGCCGGTACTCGTACGTGAGATGTGAGTCACGGCTCAGCCGTAGTCTAGCTGAATAGAGGACAGAGAGAGATACAGAGTACAGATACAAAATAGCTCTGTCTGTTCAGCTTGACTACGGCTCAAGTGTCCGCAGCTGAGTGCAGCTTTGCACTGCTGCAGACAGCAGACTTCTATGATTCATAGCGATGCCGCACGTACGTACTACGTAGCTGCATACGCACCCTCATACTGTACGTCGATTATCAAAGGCACTGCAGTGACTAGTACTACCGTACAGTACAGATGCACCAATAATTATTATTACTAATTTTAATGAAGCACTTTAATCGAAAATAGCCAGTTCGCGTCCGACTTAAAGCATGCGCAGGTAGCTATTAATTAAAATGATGAAAATTTAGATATTTGAAAACAACATTAAATAGCAGTTCATAACCACTATTTGCTGTACAAAATTTTTTTTCACGCGATTTTTCTGTACAATAAAATTTAATCGTGTTCCCCCAACTGACGTATCCCCAAAACTGCAGCTATGTCTCCTTCAACAACTGCCAGTCTAAAGTAGTGGGTAATATTTTTTTTTGTATTATTATTTCATCGCTTTATACGTGCGTGAACTGAATTACAGAAAACTGTCTGTATGTAAGCTTGAAATCTACAGCTATAAAACGAGTGCGTATTCGCCCCAAGGAAAGTAGTGTCCTGCATGGCTTTTCCATTGGCTTGACACTGATTTAATTGCTTACAACCGGCACATTTTTTACGTGCATAATCAGTAATTGTGATTTTCAACTTAAGAAACTGGAAAAACAACAACAATTCACTGTGTAATCGATATTAAAATACACATTACGTTTCGCAACATTACGCTGCAGTAAAATTTTTCCATTAATTTACAATACCTATTCGTTCGCGTTATAATAAAATAGTAGTTGATGTAAAGGTCGCCGATCCCGGAACTTACCGTAGTTTTTCTATCATGCGATTCATACAGAGATGATTATAGAATATGTAATTACGTACGATGCAAAATAATAAATATTTATGAAATACGAGACACTCTAAATAATAATATGCAGTCAAACAGACTGCGAGTAGGGTTGGTATCATAGTACGTAATTAATACGTCTGTACATTGCAATTCATACGAATAATTACTTGAGTGGGTAGTGGGTAGGAGGATTCGGCAAGAAACCGGCGAGGCACGAGCATTGGAGTATCTACGCCAACGGATCAGCATAGAAATCCAGAGCGGGAACGCGGCCTCCGTTCAGGGAACGGCTCCACCGGGAGCGAATTTAGATCAGTTGTTCTCAGTCCTTAGACCTCCCGAGGCTGTTTTGTGCTGATTGAGTGAACTTCGATGTGTTTTTATTTGTTTTTCTATAAGCGGAATGGGTATAATAAAATAGTTATTAAACTTTGTCTCGTCGTGGAAAAAAAAATTTACTTGAGTTCCTGCTTTGTATGCAGCGGCTTTCATTTTAGTTTAATGTATATATACCGTAATTTTGACAATAACTAATACTTTTATGGTGGTATTCTATTACTTTATATACGAAATATCTTGAGATCGAATATTTAAGTACACGAGTCGACGTTATGATTTCACGCATTGTTGTTGTCATACATAATCTGATTTAAATATGTCAATAATAATCCAACAAAATTTAGTACCTCAGTAAGAAAATCAACTTCGTAAACATATTTAAGCTGAACTGGAACTTGAATGTTGGGGCTAATAGGTGGAATAAAAACGTTTTTGAGCAGAGGGAATTACAAAGCGTCCGCGCAGCGCACGCACCGAATACATGTATTGTACTCTGTAGGTAGTTCATAAATTTTGCCAAAGTAGATTTATTTTGTAGAAAACACAGTCATTGGGAAAAGCACATCAATGCAGAGAGAAACGTAGGAACGGAAGGTGCAGGCGGGGGAGCGGCTGGTTTCCGGCTAGAAGCGGAAGGCGGCTGGGTCGGTCCCTGCTGCGGTACTGGTCGGCATCAAGAGGGGCTTTTTATTAACTGGATTCCCTCCGCATCGTCTCAATTAACCAGCCCGTAAACATCGATATCCGTGTGTAAACCCCGGGGTAACCTAAAAAAGTGCAAAAGATGCCGATGAAAAAGACGAATTCATAATGCAGTTTAATTCATATTAAATAATTACTATTAAACATATTTCTGTGTTGCTATCATGATAAACAGTGCAGTTCATACCTGGAAGAGCGCAACCATAACCCCAGCTGACCAATCCAATTAACGTATACGCTCCGTCGCGGAAGATGCTCAACGGTCCACCGGAATCGCCCTAAAACCATGAAAAGGTCATCCGCGTATATATATGAGAAAACCATGAAAAGCGCGCGCGTATATAAAACTATTAAAAGGTCATCCGCATAATGTATGTATTGGATATATGCAGCCCACCTGGCAGGCGTCCTTGCGGCCGTTGTCGTAGCCGGCACACATCATCTGCGGGATGATCTTCTCGGGCGTGTGCTGCGCCGTGAACATGTCCTCGCACTGCTGGTTGGTCATCACCGGCACCTCCACGTGCTGCAGAATGGCCGGGCGGTCCTCGCGGAACTCCAGCCGGCCCCAGCCGGTGATGGTGCCCAGGATGCCGGTGAAGTCGTCGCCCGGCCGCGGCAGACACACCGGCTGGATGTGCGGCGCGTACTCCACGGGGAAGTCCAGCTTGAGGAGGGCCACGTCGTGGGAGAAGCTGCGCTGCGAGTTGTACAGCGGATGGAGGATGAACTTGATCAGCCGGCGCTCCTCCACCGGCAGGATGTCGTTGGTCCGCGTGCGGTCCCACACGCCCAGCCGCACGATGATGTCGTTGGAGGTCACCGAGGCCCTGTCATTTACAAGTTTGATACGTTTGCATGATGCAGGTTAGTGCGGGACAGCAGACTTACGGCGCCACGCAGTGTCCGGCGGTGACCACCCACTGGTGGTCCAGCAGGGCGCCCCCGCACCGCTCCTGTCCTTTAATCACCACCATCACCGAAAACGGGAACTCCGCAAATTGTGCCGACACGCCGCCGACGATGCGGGCACCCCGGGTGATCAGTGGCGCCTGTCCGCAGCCTGTAAGAGGAAACCTTTTAATTACGGCTTTCGCATATATAGATATCATGTTCTTGGTACAATGCGTGTTAAACAAATTCGGTTAAAGAGCCTTTTTAAACAAATGTATACGTAAAATAAAATTACGCTTTATTGCAATAAAATGCAGATGACTTTGCGAATACCAAAAGCGTCGATTCTTACTTCGAGGCGGTGCTCGCAGCGGCGGCAGTGTCGGCTGATTCGGAATGCTGACCGCCGTGCTGGCGGTGGTCGTCGTCGTCGTTGTCGTCGTCGTCGTGCTGGTTGTTGCCGGTGTCGTTGGCCCCGATTCGACGGTCAAGCTGAGCGCCACTCCGTCGTCGTCGCCGGCCTTACTCTTGCAGCAGACGGTGAAGTAGAAGAAGGGCCCGGAACAGAAGCGCACCGGCTTCCCTATCCGGTCGCACACCCAACTGAACACGCACGACTCGTCGGGGAAGCAGCTCCCTACCGTGTTCTCTGCTACGCGGTCTGCAACAATACAAAGCATCAGTTACGTATAGAAGTATCAGGATTAAGAATTAAAGAATATATATATGTATGCACTATATTCCTTAAATTAATACTATACATATTGATTCTAGAAAAAAACAATAATAGTCAGAAAACGCTTTATCGTAATAATTCAATTTACCACCTGACGTATTTTAAAAAATTTCACCAAACCCGCCAATTTTATCTGTATGAAGCCCATTTTCTAAAATTACGCAAAAACCGTTTTCCGATGTAAAAAAGCACGGGGAAACGGATTCTGCAGAAATCAGACAGAAAAAACGCCATCTGAACTGTTTTTGATTAGAAATTAATATGTATAGGTACTTCAAGTATATATAGTAGTGGGTATTGCTGCAGCTGATCATTGCTGACTATTTTCAGATGCAGCGACGCTTGTTATTGCTTGTTATTGTACAGAAGCCAGCTTTCGGTGTACAGTACAATAGTGTTTGACTTGCAACCTAGCTTATAAAACTTGTATGTATTACGTATTACAACCTTATAAAAATTGTATGCTTAATATAAAAAATTGTATGTATAAATTGTTTGCACCGTTTCTCCTGGTGAGGCGGATGGCGGAGGCGGCGACATCGTTGTCGAGACTGGAGAGCTCAGCTTCGCCGGCCTGCAGGGAAGGGAGCAGGAGGAGTAGGGAGAGGGTCAGGAGGGCCGGCGACTGCGCGGGCAGCTGCAGCGGCGACACGGCGCCCATTTCCGCTCACTTCCGCTACGCTGCGCGTTCGTTTCCCGCCGACGCGTTAACCGATCACAAGGCCGAACCGAACGTATGTTCAATCACCTGCAAAACTTGCCGAATCACCTATACGATCATCAGCAGCTGACATGCCGCCAACGAAAGCGCAATTAAACACAACAAATTCACTGAAACAAAACATTTTCGCTCAATCACAAACTCGACGACGTACACACATAGTAAATGCGATCATGTGAGATTACGTATATTGGTTACTCGGAACAATTCACGGACAGAGTTTTGCTGTGGATACGAAATCTTTGCTATCAGAAAAAGGAGCAAAAAACGATACCTGAAGGATAAAAAATTTGTTTGTGACAACGTATATAAGAAAAAGCAGGATATAACCTAATGCTTCAATAATAAACTAATTTTTAGTTGTATGAGGCAGAAATTCTTAACACTTGAACGAAGATTATTTTTCACCAATGAGGTCGACCTTTGTGATGCAAGACTAGAAGCCAGCAAAAGCGCAATTCAGTGCAGCAAAATTTTCTGTCGGTTCTGCGTTTTTATTTAATAAGGTCTGGCCAGTGCCATGAATGGATTAGACAGAAAGGATACAGTAGCAAAATATATCTTAATGCATATGTGCTGAGAGATATTGTCTGGCACATCCGCGTTTACGATACGTACTGCTGGTGTCCCATTTCTCCAGTCTAATTTATATTAACCACCTCACGATACGTGGGGAAAAGTTTTTCTCAACGCGTTTTGCCGCCAAATGCCGGCTTAGTACGCTACGGGCTTGGAGTTTGGCCAATTCCGGCAGTTCCAAATACACACGACGGGAACATTAATGGGGATGCTGCTTATATCGCCAATCGCAATAAACAAGCAATGGTGCTGATCAGCTGTGTAGCGCCGGCTCTTGTTTCGTAATCTGGCAGTACTGCATATTGGATAATGGACTACACTTTTTCGTACGTTTCCGTACCATTATTCCGAGCACCGGCAACAAAGTATTTCTGCAGCTATCATCCTGGAAATAAGTGGTCTATCTCAAGAAAACTGCCTCCTGAAGCCTAAAGGTGAGTAAAAGGGATCAGGAAAAATTTCGAATATAATTATATCGATGAACCGCAGGCTCGGAGGCTCCTATGGTGTCACCCGTCTGCCTACTGTACATACAAATCTGGTTTATATCGCGTTTATGGCAAAGAAAGAAAATAAATTTTGCGACTCTCTGCAGCCTGCACATACAGAGTACTTACACTAACTTTAATAATAATTATACGTATGCGGCGTTTTGCTTTTTTCCCCATTTAAACTCACTAATCATACAGCTTGATTTACAGCATTTACGTAGGGTGCTCTTCTTCTTGCTGTAATTGCCAGATTTCGCAAAGACAGAATGACGCCGCACGTGGTGCCGGTTTGGCATGATGACGGCTCGAGATTCGAGGAAATTGCATAATTACTCTTAAAGAGCGCATTCTGCAGGAAAAACTGCATAATTGGATAGCATAATTTATGTCAATGCACGTGGAGGCTGTTGATATTTTTCTTCTACCTGTACTCATACCGCAAAGGTATTTTTCTGCAGCGCCACTGCACCAGTTGTGCCGATCGAGCAACAACTAACCGCCTTCCGCGGCTGTGAGACGACAGGTCACGGCACTCGTAACTATCCACTCATTCGGCGATGCAATAAACAAATCACTGGTATGTACAATTACGAAAACATTCCGAGCAGCACACGAGTTGTATCTTTTAATGATGCCTCTTAATTTGCCGTAATACTGCACATGTAATGCGTATCACAAAAGCGCCCGGTCATTACGGTGTGTTGTTATGGCGTTCATATCTCCACGAGAGCGTACAATTTACACGCCGCGAATTTACAGTGTGCAACAACCGGCGTTCGCTGTAGACTACAGTTTGCAATGTACGGAATGACAGAAGGTATAAAATAAAAAAGTTCAAAAATGTGCAACTTGTTCTTATATTGCAAATCAAATTTAGTTATTATTTAGTAGAGATTACTAGAGACTACCCCGAAAAAACTTGAGCGCCACATAAGAAATATTTACTCTGACATAAATCCTTTAATTTTTAGGCTGCTAATTAAAATGGGTACCGACAATCAGTACCGTAAATTAAGTAATTATCGAACTATATAAATATTATTTTAAGAAAAAATCGTACTTCGTAGCAGTACATATTGATACCGGCTGACTAGTCACGTATAACACGTGCAGCACAGCGGGAAAGAATTTCCTGCATGAATAATGACTACAGTATATACACGACAGTGGCCATCGGGCCATGTGTAATCAGTCATAATAATATAAAAAAAGTGAAAGAATCGCATAGAATATACAGTGCTCGATATTGGTGTTATGCGATGGGCCGTTGTGCGGCGACACTTTCACTTGGTGGTGCCAGTGATGCGGATTTGTGGCGCCGCCACCAGCTCGGAATTCTTTTGACAAATTAAGCTCATCAGGCCACTAAACACTTTCATCGAGCCAAACACCGATGCGCCATTCGCCATGCGGAATGGCTTCTCAAGACCTCGCAACAGCGCGTCACGCGCACTTCATCAGAAATTAACAAACGCAAAACAGTAAACTACAGCAGAGCCGTATAAATAATGAAATGTAATGCGTTTATTAGCGTAATGTTAGTTATGTAAGCAATTAATAATATAATTAATTAAGAAAGTATTTTCATAAATAATCAAATAAAATAACTATTTATTATGATATTAGTTATAAAAAAATTTAAATCGATATAAGAAAACATTTATTTACTGTATGTACTGTATGTAAATAAGACACGAAAATGCACTTTACCTGTCGGTGTGTCGCTATGGCGCCCTGTGGTGGGTGCAGTCACATCCAAGCGATGTTTTGGTGGCAGAAGAGCAAGAGATTCCAGTTGAACGTCCGAGGGAAAAACAGCGATTGTTGTTCGGTTCAGGACATCTCCGGCGTCTCAAAGCAACAACAGCCGGCGTTGAATGCAGCAGAATAACATTATGAAAGCGGTTGTCAATTAAAATAATATCGAGATCCGGCAGTAGCGCTCAATTCGAAGCAGTAACGCCGCTTGCATAAGCATAACAGCTGTAAGAGACGGTGTCATGCAGGACGCTTGCGCAATGATTACAGCGTTACAACGCCAGCCGATCCGGGCGAATTATTGCAGATGAAAGCGGCGGCGTGAGTCAGAGTGGACGCTCGGCACCGGTTGCACGTGCGCTGGAGGGACTCGCCGAAATGGACAGAAGCACGTGGAACGAGATGCTGGTGATGATGACGCGTATCTTCCACACTTGACTGGCCGTGTGGCGAGCGCTGTTCTTCGCGTTCTTGGCGTTCCGTTCTGTTCCGTTCTGGACGGGTGAGAAGCGGCGCACACAACAAGACAACTCGCTCAGTCAGTAGTCAGCAGTGCGCGCGCGCTAACTGGGTCATCGAGATGGCTGCGAGCATTGTTCGTTGTGATTTTTGGACGATTAACCAAAATCAGCGAGAGCTGTTCGTACACATATACAGATACAGGTACACACTCTCTCTCCGATCTCCGCGCGAAGATTGTACTCTCATTCGCCGTTCTTGTCACTGTGACTATGTGCATTGTTTACCCGTGACGCTGCACTCTCTCCTTGGGTACGTACCTGTACGTGTGATGTCCGGGTTGTTCGAGATCGCGATCTCGATCTGTTGCCAGTTAAATTGTTATGCTTGCCGGTTGGCGATGGCTTTGCTGCCTGCTGCCCACTGACCACTGACCACTGGCTAGCCCGAATCCAGCACTCTGTTTTCTCTGCCTGCCAGTGGCCGAGTAGCCTAGTGCGACTACGATTTCGAAGTAGAGGACTTCAGTCTTCAGGATTGTTCCCATTTAATTACTACGCACTGCCTGTCTGATTGTTATGTTGTCTGTTATACCGTATAACTGGCTAGTTTAGCTTTGATAATATAATTATTAAACCACAGTCTGCTGGGGTACCTGTACGAGTACGAGTATCGTGCAGTGATAATGTAAAGTACATTAATGCAGAATTGGCAGGTCTCCTTAGTGCATCATTTCACTAACTAAGTGGGAAGCTGAATTTTAAAGTGTACAATACACAGCATGTTCCTTTCGTTTCGCACGCTGCCGGTAGCGTGCTGTGTCAGCATCAAAAGCTCGGCCAGTGCCGCACGCTCTGGTCTGGCGGCTTTGTGATTGCGCTCGATTTGACCGTTTCCGATATCTCACTTTGTCTTTCCGGCGTCCGCGAACACCGCGCACGACTGAAGGGAAGTGACCTGACACATGGCACCAAGTTCGTGTACATACACAAAAAATTTACTTACTGTAATGACACAGGTTTAAGGAACACGAAAACAACCCGGTCTGATTTCCTAAGAATTTATTTGCATTTTTTTCTGACATTCTTTAGCTGGAGGATTTGTATATCATAGAATCTATTAGATTCACCGTATATTGGTGGGAATAACTAATTCCCAGTCGGATACTGCGCGGCGCGCGCACAGTGCGTGTAGTATCCGACTGGGAATCTTGGCTGTTGGGAAATTCCACAAAGTTTAAATGCATTTATTTGTACCGAAATTTTTGCGATTTTGCATACTTCATTTATTTTTGATATATAACTGTAAGCACACGTGAGTACGAGCACAGACTAAAAGTTGGTTTTTTTCAAACTGTAAAATGAATTTCACAAATTTTGAAATTGCGATTTTTGCATATACAAGTGTAATCGCACCTGGGTACGAAGGCCGTTTCTACCAGACTAAATGTTATATTTTTTTTAATTTGTAAAATGAATTTCACAATTTTTGAAATTTATTTTAAAATATGAAAACAAAAATTAAAACATTCTTTTTACTGTACAATATGGAAAAGGTGTTTGGATGTGTGCGAACGTAAAAATTTTCACGCATGTGCACCAAATTGGCACATTGTACTGGGCAACAGGTACAGTACATCATGAGCAAAATACAGGCACGCTAATTTCGCTAATTTTATTATCATCTCTTCACCAAAAACTTCCGCAGTAAGTTCAGAAACGATCAATAATTTAAGCATAAACTGAAAAAGGCGCCCTGATGATCTAATTAATTTTGTGCTCCTCGGCGCTGTCCCCGTACGTGATCGCTACCGCATTTCCTCGTTGCATGAATTGCTTTCCCTATATTCGCAAATCAAAAACAGTTTTTATGACAGTGTAGCCAAAAAAATTGGATATATGGGCGTTAAAACAGCAACACTGCTTGGGAATTCTGGGTGAAATCTGAAAAATATTCTACAAGATTTATACGGAAATACTCTTTTGAATAAAGAGACTTTATTCAAAAGTCTCTTTGTGCACCTTCAAATTTAGTGCAAAAGCGCAGGTTGATAAGAAAGACGGCTTTTATATGAATCAAGATTCAAACATTTTGTTGAAATTTAAAATGTATTCAGAAATTTAAAATTCATTTTAAAATAAAAGGAAATGGTTTTACTGGTTTGCAAAGAAACTTTGTGTATGTATTGCATGTGCACGTCACCTCCTGGCGGCTCCTGCATATAATTATGTTTTTCTCTGTTTGTGGTTACAAGCAAATCTTCCGGTTGCAAAAGGCGATCTCGGAATAAAAAACCTGGAGAACCTTGCATTCACGGCCTTCCTGTCCTCGTACTCCGTGAGTTCGCTAACTTTAGAGAGAGATCGTCGACTTCATCCCGGAGATGTACTGCGTCGATGCTCCTGCAGAGTGGCGAGACGTGACTCGATCAAACGACATTCCAGCCACTGGTGCGAGAAAACTCCAAAAGTATGGGACGAGCGCCGTACCAACAGTAAGGGACAATCACGGAAAGTATCAATAGTACCGTACAACGGGTGCGAACGGCAATCTGGAATGACCTTTCCGGCCTAGCCCAGTTCCTCGGTGTCAGCACAAAAGGAAATAGAGCGTGGCTTGGAGCATATCCAGCCGCCCTTCTCGACAATCTCATCACCGATTCCGCGGTGAGGATCACAGTGGGTTTACGCCTTGGAGCACCGGTCATTGCCCCACACCGTTGTGTGGGCGGAGATTGGGCCGACGCCTCCGCTGCAAGAAAAGCCGTGGAAGAATCCCTGAATATAAATGTCTGAACGCTATTTTTGGAAGCGCAGTTTTGCATCTCTGGCTTTGAAAGGGAGCTGGAGGCACAAGGTTTCTGTCCAGCAGATAACAAGCGCCCAGATGTTGTTACCTTGACACCATGGGAGAGAGTGCAAATGTTGACATAATAGCCAAATCGCACATCGTAGCAACGTCCACACGAGCGGGAGCGGTGGCAGCGCAGGCCGAGCAAAGCAAGGTGGAAAAAATTACCGAGACATCTCCCAAGGCTACGTACCTGTTTGGCGCTTTGGGCTTCGGGACGGCAGGACCGCCGGGACCGAGAGCTACCCGTATGGTGACAGTGGTTGCAGAGAAAGTTCAACAGGAAACCGGCGAACAGATGGGCACAGAAATTCTGCGCCAGCGGATCAGCATTGAAATCCAACGAGGCAATGCGGCAATGCGGCATCTGTCCTGGGAACGGCACCGATAGGGGCAAATTTAAATAAAATGTTCTCGGTGAGTAAACCCCATATTGGTCAGTTGATGGCGAGGAATAAAAGATATTTTCTTTGTCTGAGAAATTTACAATACAATTAAAATACTGCTCTATCCATCTGCGGTGGAAACGCTGGGTGTGCTTGGAGAAGCGCGAAAGATATGGTCAGCTTCGTTGGACCCCTGATTCGGGGAAAGACAGGAGAAAGTCGATCTACCGCCTTCTTGAAACAACGCATTAGTCTAGCGATAATGAAGGGAAACGCTGCCGCAGTTTTAGGCACTTTTCCCGGCAGAAGTAAATTTGAGGAAGGGAATGATTTTGGTTGTTTTTGGAATGTGTAACCGTAGTATGTAATAATTGTTGCTGAGCACGAAGGAAACCAATTATTAAACTTTACATTGCATTAAAATACTAATGTCCGATACGTCATATATTTTGATTTGAACTGGTCTGTAATCCCATGAAAACTAATCCACTAGACACAATAATGGTTAAGAATACGGCGTAGATTTGTCACGGGCAGCTGTAAGGGCGGGACGCCCCGCCCTCCTGAGTAGCTATTCGCTGTTTCTGGGGATTTCCACCCCGCACATTGCTGCGCTGTTTTGACGGACCTGCAGCACAGTTGCACTGGCTGCAGGATCCTTCCTCATTAGTCTGGTGTTGCTGCGCCACGGTGCGCATTAGATTCGGCAATAAAGCCTCATCCGGGTTCACCGCTGTTCGCTGTCGAGGATACGCGTGGCGCCCATACGGCCCCGCGTTATACAGCTCTGCCGGGATACTGGTCAGGAACCTCGTGAAACGATTTGCACTCCTATATATGTTGCTTTTACTTTGCAACGTACTCGTATATGCGACTTGACTGTCAGAATGTGAAGGAATTCGGTCCATAATGCTTTTGGTACACCTGTCTCCTGTTGGATGTAAATCTTCCGGAATTTTATTATTTCGCCTATACTTTCCCGATTTCCCAACCGGATGCTGCGCGCCCGAACTGTTTCCACGCCCACGTATAATACAATGGGTCAGTTTTGCATTTTGGCAACAGCCAAGTGTACTGTACGGTACGCATGGTGCATGGTGCTGTCGCTTACACAGGTTTGCGTTAGTTAAAACGACTCAGCTTTTAAGTGACTACGGATACAAGACACCAGATGTGGTAGAGCACGCAAACTTTTCAAACAATGCAACATGTTTAATTTATTTGTCTGTAAAATGTCGTGAAACGTTGCACAATAATGTTGCGGGGAAAGAGCGCGAAGGAAAAAGTCATCATGCAGGAATTTTTTACCTATAAACCCATGTACTGGGCCACTTCTCGTTTAGCTGTACTTGTGCATATAAATAAATATAAAGTATGTAAGTACTAAGTAGATATTTTTATGCTGTTGATTTTGCATGTACCCAACCGAAATACAGACTGAATGGCTTTGTCTGTAAAAGCGGCTGGGAGCAGCTTAAAGGGAAGTGGGCCGGTACATGGTACCAAATTCGTGTACATGCACGAAATCTTTCACTTTCGCGCACTCCCAAACACATTTTTGTTTTATTTTATGACATTTTGTATAGACGGGCGTGAAAACCGTTTGTACGCGCAACATCCGGTTCGAGAGTTATGGGTGTTAGAAATTCCAAAAAGTTTAAATGCATTTCGGTGTACCAAGTCTCATTATGGACCGATCTCCTTCAAATTTCGCACATAAATGCATACGGTCATGAAGATCGTTTTTACACCGATCCAGACTTTCATGATTTTTTCAAATTTTAAAATGAATTTTAGAATCTTTGAAATTTATTTTAAAATTTGAAAAACATGCTAGAACAGTGGATCGTGTGACGACATCGTCCTTACAGGAGATCTCGATACTGCGACAATCGGTGTAAAAACGCTCGTCCTGGCCAGGTGCATTTACGTGCAAAATTTGAAAGAGATCGTTCCACAATGACACTTTTGTTACACCGGAATGTAAGTATTTAAGCTTTTTGGAATTTTCTAACCGCCATAACTTACGAACCGGATGTTGCGCGCACAAACGGTTTTCACGCCAGTGTATACAAATTATCTGGCTACAGAATGGCCTAAAACGAGACAAAAATGTATTTGGGAGTGCGCGAAAGTGAACTTTTCGTGCATGCACACGAATTTGGTACCATGTACCGGCCCACTTCCCTTTAAGTATATGCGCATCTCAGCGCATCCGCGTTTATATAATTTCGTGCATCTGATATAACCCAGTCGACAGTTTTTTCAGTGTTCTTTCTAAACTGCTGCAGTCTAGCTGCTCTGGGATGATGACTTTGATTAATTTAATAATACGAAATTAAAAACCCTGTTGCCAAATCTATTGTGGTACCTTATGGTACGATTCAGCGGTTGCTCGACGTCCTGTACAATACAATACTGAGTGCTGCGCGTAAATTAACTGTGCATCCCTTTACCTTGGACTGTTATGCATAATAATTAATAGCATAACGCACGCGACGCGGGCACGTAATTTGTTATCATGATTGTCGTACCATTAATCCTTGTAAATACTGGGCATTACTTTTGAATGGACAAACGTACAGACATGGCAGTTAATGACCTCAGACCGACTCGGCGTTATATTATGTACAACAGAGCGGAATGCGAAGTCAAAGTGTCTAGAAGTGTAACAGGAAACTTTTGGGCGATGATATAATATAAGTAAGTATAAAGGGAACCCTAACTTCATCCGGAAGAGTCTAGTCCGGACTCGGGAAAAACGCCTCCAGGGTCACTAGGCGCACGCACAGTACGCGCCGGACAGTACGATACATAGAACGCGCCAGGACTGAACGGAAGCAGCGAATTCAGGACAGCAGGAATAATATTCCCGTAGCCCCGAATGTTCTACTTCCGTATTAGGGCGCTATACCCAAAAGAGCTCCTGACTTGAATTAAGCGGCAACATGCCCGCTAAGAGCGGTGGCAGGATCTAAGCCGGGAATAATCCGTGCAACCTGCCGCTAATGGGGTCATCATGATCATGATTTTGGGTCGAAATGAAAAATCCGTGTAAAGCGCGCGAGATCGTCTTCCGGGCAATAACCATAAACTAGTAATATTCCTAGTAATGCCGCTGACATACAAGCACAATATTCCGCCATCAAGCCTTCTCGCCGCAACACTGGCTAATGTTTATATTAATCAGCATTTCACAAGATAAACTCTCCTTATACTATTGGTTTGTACGCGAGACGGCATTGTTGTCGCGCGGCTTGGCCGGCCGGGACGTCACGAATGTGCCACCGGCGGAAGAAACTAATATAGCGAAATCAAGCGAATTGTGATAACAACTCGCTAGCTCCGCCCAACGCCAGGTAATTGCAGTCATCGTGGGTCAGAGTTGTTAGAAAACGTTGTTGAGAACAAAAGGTGTGAGTAGGTAACGTCGTGCTTGGAATGGGGTAGTTGTCCTCAAACTGCGAAACGGCGACTGCATGCACAGTGTCATAATCATGTTATAACGCGCGAAATCTCCCTTTCGGCCACGCTCCAAATACGCATACGCCGGCTGCAAACAAGGATGTACGGTAGCCGGCGAAACGACGGCGAAACGACTGTCAGCCGCTGCACGCTCGCTCGGCGACCGAGAAAGCTAAGCGCCGGCCGCTGTGGTCATCGCCGGCATAAACAGATGCGCCGGCGATATTGATAGACCTTCACCGATTGCCGCAGATTGCCGCTGGCGCCGCAATATAACCAAAATCACACATTCTTACCCAAATCTACAAAGCTTCCGCATTAAGCGCATAAAATATCCATTGTACCTTTTTCAGCGAAACTAAACGATCGAGCGAGAGTTTGGCGGTGCTGGTCAGTTGCAAAGTTCACTCGCTACTGCTCACTCGGGCCGGATTTGATCACAGCCATCGTTCTGAGCCGGCAGTGTTGCGCCAGTCTTAGCGCCTCTCGTTTGCGGATACATATCTGTACCGGTATATACCGTCCTATACTCAACCATGGCCCAGTCCTGGAGGAGACTTATCTTCACAATCTTCCTGATGAACCTGCTGACCCGCAGCCTCGTCCTGGCCGAGATCAGCCAGAGGAGTTTCGCCGAGGAAGACGACGAGGCGGTGCTGGTGCGCAAGACCCGCCAGTCCAACAGCGCCGGATATAACTCCTTCGTCAACATCGCCGACCTCTTCCTCTCGGCGCTTAACGTCATACCCACCACCAACACAGCCGTTACGAATGCCAGTACCCTGACCATTTCTACGTCCTTCTGGACAACCTTCTTCTACATCCTTCAGGTACGGTAAATTAACTTATACATACATATTATTTTCCGAGTAGGGCAACCACAAATTTCTAGTAGCCTGCTAAGATATCGCCGCTAATGCAGTTGGGTAATAATTACATTAATATGTTAACGTGTCCAATACATTTATTTTTGTAGCTGTATCTTCTGAGTTCGGTTCCTAAATCTTTTAATTTAGCGTAATTTTATTTCATAAAATCGGTCCAGAAGTACAATTTTCTAAATTATCCAAAAAAATTGCTAACCGCCTGAGAAGATATCTATTTGCTTTAGTTGTTAGTATAATATTAAAAATATTAGAAATAATAGCCGGCTAAATGTACGGTGCGATGACGGTGCTGCTTTGCACTTGCAGTATCTGACGTTCTTCGTGTGGTTCGTGATGGTGCTGTTCTTCTACGTGGGCGGCGTCATCATCCTCTTCCTCTTCGCCATCGTCTCGCCAGCCAGCACCGACTACCTCTCCAACGGCTTCTTCAACGGCGCCCTCTTCCGCTCCTTCGAAGACGAGAACATGCCGCTCTTCGATAAGGTCACCAGCGTCGGCTACGGCTTCCTCGACCGCACCAGCGAGCTGTACAAACTGGCCACGTCGCCGCAGTGCAGCCGGTACGCCATGTGCCACCTCTCCTCCACGCTCGGTGACCAGGAAGCCAATGGATTCATCTTCAAGGATCTCCTCAGGTTAGTCTATCCACTACTGAGCTTTTTCATGTACAGTATCCGGTAGATTCCCGTATATAATCTACTTCGGAAACCATATAAAACTTTGGTCTTAATAAACGAATAAAATAATTAAAAACTACCACAGTTATTACAGTAGATTTATAATTCTAAAAACGAGATTTTTTTTACGGTATGTCAGATATTTGTTTGTACATAAATGCGATAGAAACCGACTTTCCGGTTTTTCTTAAAAAACTAGGTCAGTCTGGTATTAAATGCCAATCTCATTTTGCATATTAAAAAAATACGTCAAATAAAAATCGTCAATTAATTAAACATAATACCAACATATATTACAATGACGCAAAGCGAAATTAAAAATGTGCAGTGCTTAAACGTGCAGTTAAGGGACTTTTCAAGATTTTTTGTGGAGTTGTCTGTAATATTTATTATTTACTTAATACATGTTTTTGAAAGATTTGGCAATTTGACCGCTTTTGGGAAAGCAGTAATCACGATTTGGCGAAAAGCGGCAAAATTTGAGTAATTGACGATGTGTGTTGTGTGCCTTATGTAGGTCACTATCATCGGCCATGGACAACAAGATGTCCGGATTCGACGGCATGAGTCGCAGCGTCAACGTTGGCTTGCTGACCGGCGACTGCGAGGAACCAATGATGAGCTGCCCGGAACTGGCGCCGTACTTCAAGAAGGTGGCCGAGACGTGGTCCAACTACCTATAAAGCAGCGCGCTGCCACCGCGACGCCCAAGATGAAGACAGAAAACGCGAAAAGAGAAAAGAGTCAACCTATTTGTCACTGTCAACCAGCCAGCGAGTGCGGCGCGCACGCGTCAATCAGCGCCAGTTTCCGGTTACCATTTCCGCTAAGCTAATTATTGTTGTCTGTGTCGGCCGCATCTGCCTTCATTGGCAGGGGCGGCCCCCTTAACTGTATCCTCGTACGTGACTGAGCCGGCTTCAGTGTTGAATGTTCTAGATGATGATCTTCCTCCCAGTTAATTAGCTGTTTGTTATGAATTAGTTTACTTGGTTTACTTGTCGCCTGCGCGTGTGTTGTCTTGTAGCGGTGTGTGGCTGCTGGTTCGGCTGCCGCTGCTCTGTATCTGTATAGTACGTCATGATACCCTGTTGTTTCGCTCCCGTTTCCAGCACAAGTATAATTATCATAGTCATGTAGATTTTATCCAAAAAATCACAAATCAGTCTTGCATCGATCTAATCCAGGGTCACTTATAACGCCTTGCATCATACCTAAATCATTATTCTGCTATCACCATATATAACAAACGATGTAAGGTCACAGCGCTGATCGCTCTTTAGACTCACTTGCAGTTAAATGCCCGAGGTTCCGACGAGCTAGTCAGTGTTTAATTCAACATATAAAAAAGTCAAAATTATTATACATTGCGTACTTCCGTAATTTCGCCGAGAAGTCAAGTTTTTTTCAAGTGAGGGAACTGAGAAGCGTGCTAGTAGAACCAAAACGCCTTGAGCGGCTGAAATGCACCGACTTCGTGATTGTTTGAGTTGTTCCGGCGCGCATGTGGATGCTGCCTGAACGCCGTGCCATTCTTCCACTGCTTACAATTAGCTATAACTGCCACTGGGTTAAATCTGTATATAAGATTTCCGCTGCTAGTTACAGGAAGTACTTGACCATCCAACTATACAGACGTCAGTTTTAGTAGTTCAAAAGAGGCGTGCCTGGAGAGAGATCCTCAGCGTACGCGTAATAAGTAACATAAGGCTGGAGGTCACTCGTAACCTAATTCCACCGCGCTATTACATTGCATTTCGCCAACGACCCGGCGCGCCTCTGGTCCACGTGATCCCGAATTCCCGCTCACCGACGCGCGGTGCCTGAGAAGCGAATTACGCCGAACAGAACGCGAATGCACGTACAGGACTAGAGTGCAGACGCCCCGTCGCCTTAAACTGGTCTGCGATACTGACTTCCGGTCATTTCTTGTGTAAGATCCGTATACAGTGCGTCGCGCACGAAACAACCGCTTGCCAAAACTCGCACCACTTCCGTAATACTGTAGCATTCATCGACTTCTTATATACATCTGAAATGGATAGCAAACACTTCCAGAAAACAGTGACAACAGCAATTTTTGAAGCAGCCGTTGTGCTTATATATTGCAATGGTCAAGCGGAAGTAAGCAGCTTCGTACATACAAAGCGGATCAACCAGGGATTTTTCACCAATAAATACGACAATTTCCTTGAGTGCTGTAAAAATATTTTTTTGTAATAATAATTTTCAAATGTGATTGGGAAATCCGCGTGTTTTTGGTTTTATATGGCCGTACCGATCGGTCCAGTCAGTGTGCATGTGCCGTCGTTAGGATGAAAAATCGCTTGTCCATCACTGCAGCTTGTGTTTGTGTGGTTTGTGCCATAATAACGCCGGCCAGCTCACGCCGCCCGCGGCCGCACCAGCCGCATTATCTGCCAAAAATGCAGTGCAATCAGGTCTGCGCGCAAAACCAGCGATAACCAGTAAAAAATGATAAACGGCACTTTACAGCGAAATGTCGCGATGGCCAGTAGCGTTGTCGAAAATATGGTGCAGATTTGTTGGAGCACGCCGCGGCGGAATGCTACAGCGCGCGGCTGAGTCACGTCGCCTGCGAACATCCCGGCCTGGCACCGCGCCGCGGCCGCTTAAAAAGCCTAAGCGTTGCCGCGCAGAACAATCAGTTCGCATCGCACTGGGAGACGCTTGCTGTCGGTTTGAAAGCGCACTGAACGCCGAGTGATCCAGACAGACAGTTATTAGTATCACCATAATCAGCGGGACTTCCTTATCTGCCGGTTAATTGTATTCGGATTTGCGTGAGACATTGTTTTTCTTATACGTTAATCTAAATACTCGATCACCATGCACCGCCCAATCAATAATGCCGAAGTGGAGGATCCCGAGGATATCGTCATCTCTGGAATCGGCATCCGTTGCGCCATGTCCGACAACGTCGAGGAGTTTGCCGACAACCTCTTCAACAGCGTCAACATGGTCCACGAGAATCTCGAGCGCTGTGACGAAGGTACGACTGGCAGCATAGTTTGCTTTATTTGCTTTTTTTACTAGCAGCCTTTTTTGATTCTAATGAAGCCGGTGTGAAGAAGTGGGTCTGAGTTTATGTGTAAACCAACGGAAATTGATTTTGTAAAAATATTTCTGGCTTCTATGGTAGGCTCCCATAATAGCACGCCCAGTTATGCTGTTGCTGCTTGACGGCCGTTAGTAGTGCGGCTATTATCAGCAGAGTAGCCGTCGGCTAACGAAGCCATGTCAGCGGCAGTTTAATTAAGCGTCTTTAACGGTCTTGAGATTTTTGCGGCAGATTTCCTTATGAAAGCAGAGTAGCCGTCGGCTAATGACAGTGCACTTGTTTGTGTGACAGACCACTTTGGAGTGCCGAAGCAGCAGGGCTTCATCAAGGACATCCGCAAGTTCGACGCCACCTTCTTCGGCGTCCACCCCAAGCAGGCCGACGGGATGGACCCGCAGCTGCGCATCCTGCACGAAGTGGCCTACGAGTGCCTCGTCGATGCCGGTCAGTGCCAGCCGTAATTGTACAGAAACGCACAGGAATAAATCAATAGCAACAGTAAACTTAATTAAAATAAAATATTAATAATACAAGATACAGTTTTGTTTTTTAAAATGTTTCCGGCTTCTATGGTTAGTTCCCATAACGGCACACCCAGCTTTACTGTTGCTGAATGCAGAACTTCAAGATATCCAACGATTCTAACGATTACGGTTGTTGTTTTTAATTTCTATCTGTAATTTGTTCATTTTAATTAGTATAAATCCGCGCATGCGTATTTGAATGGGTGCTGGCTACTGCCGAATAAAATTGATACTTTAAATGCAATGCCAGTCAATAAAAGTTACTGAATAAATTTAACAATTATGGTCGTGTACAGCCATCGACCCGGCGAGCCTGAAGAACAGCAACACCGGCGTCTTCATCGGCACCTCCAACTCGGACGCCCGCGAGGCCTGGACCGCGCCCGACGTCTCGGAGATCGACGGCTACTCCCTCATCGGCACCCACCGCGCCTTCTTGGCCAACCGCCTGTCTTTCACCTTCGACTTGCGAGGTAACTATTGTAGTACAAATAAAGCGAGTCGGCTGTTTCCCATTTGTTGTCTCTGTGCGTACGAGGTCAGAAGTCATATGGTGCTGATGCAATGCGTCGTTATTTCCACAGGACCCAGTTTCGGTGTGGATGCCGCCTGTGCCACCAGCGGCGTCGCTATCAATCAGGTATGTATACGGCAGTAATGTCGAGCAGCAAGGAAAAGCGCTCCAAGGATAAATAGTGCAGTTCCTCGCAGTTATTGCATAACAGCTGGTCAACGAGCGCACGCAGGGCCCCGGGCGCCGACTGACTCACAGTTTTTGGAAATATTTCCGGTTTGCTGGTTCCGCCGGAAAAATATTGTTGTAATTGATCGTCGATCGCGTGCTGCTCGTGACCAGATCTATTTTTTGGAACAGAAACGCGATTAGCAGTTTAGCAGATGTTTACAAAAATAACATTGTGCCTATTTGTATACAGTACATGTAATGTATATATATATATACATTTAATACTACTTGTATATATGTAAACACGTACAATTGTATATACTACCATATATACAAATGTACTATTTATATACAATATTTGTATATATTTTTCGCGCTTTTGAACTTACTGTATAGACAAATGTGTATATTATGGATTTACGCATACTTCTATGTATTTCGTAGGGATACTTGCACATCCGCAACGGCGTTTGCGATGCGGCCATCGTGGGCGGCGTGAGTCTGGTGTACCAGCCCAAAGTCTCCTACCAGATCCTCAAGCTGGGCTTACTCTGCCGCGACGGCAAGTGCAAGGTGTTCGACGAGGCGGCCGACGGGTACGTGCGCGCCGAGGCCATCGCCTGCGCCATGCTGCAGAAGCGCAAGGACGCCAAGCGCGTGCTGGCCACGCTCATCCACAGCAAGATCAACAACGACGGCTTCAAGGAGCAAGGTACTGTACACAAGGCTTAGCAAAAGCTGATCGAGATTAATGAGAAACCTAAGCAAAGTGAAAAGCAGCATTTCCGGCCCGATAGTGACCTTTGCCGTTTGTGCATACAGGCATCACCTTCCCGTCGACGGAGAGCCAGGGCCAGCTGGTGTGCGAGGTGTACGCCGAGGCCGGCATCGACCCCGAGGACGTGGAGTACGTGGAGGCCCACGGCACCGGCACCACCATCGGCGACCCGCAGGAGACCAACGGCATCGCCATGGGCTTCGTCAACGCCCGCACCAAGCCGCTCCTCATCGGCGCCGTCAAGTCCAACATGGGCCACTCTGAGCACGCTTCCGGTAAACATTTAACACGTTTTAGGTTCAAACTCATTCCCAAATTAATTAATTTAAATTAAATGACAAAGTAGTTTGTTTAATTTCCAGTTAGTTTCCAAATTAGTCGCCTTACTGTTACATTTCGAATTTACTAATTTCCCACGTTAGTTTGTAAATTTATAAACTAATTTTTAAACAATTTCTAAAATGATTTTGAAGATCTTAGATCCGAACGTTTCCACATTTATTTGCTGGTTTCCGTATTTCCGAATTAATTGTATTTCCTTAAATTGAATTTCGGCTTAATTTTAAATTTCCAAGTTGCCGGGTTAATTTGTAAAATTCCAAATGGTAAAATTATTTTTTTCGTTTGGTTTAAATTATCTTATAATTTTCGACATAGTTGTTAAATATTTCCAAATCGGAAGAATGAGCACAACATATATTTTACAGGCGTGGTGTCGCTGGCCAAGATCATGATCGCCATGCAAGCCGGCGTGATCCCCCCGAACATGAACTACAAGAACCCCAACCCGCTGATCCCCGCGCTCGTGGACGGCCGGCTAAAGGTCATCACCGAGCCGACCAAGTGGAACTGCACCATCGCCGGCCTGAACTGCTTCGGCTTCGGCGGCCAGAACAGCCACTTGGTGGTGCGCGGCAACCCGCGCACGCGCCACGACACCATCAGCGAGCCGCGCCTCTTCGTCTACATGGGCCGCACGGAGGAGGCCGCGCAGACCGCCATGCAGTACGCCCTCAAGCACCAGGACAACCCCTACGTCTCCTACCTGCTGATGCAGACGGCCTTCACCAAGCCGGCCGCCATGCCCTACCGCGGCTACTGCCTCCTCAACAGCCCCAAGGGCGACCCGGCCATCCACGTCGACCGCGTCACCACCGAGGTCAAGCCGGTGTGGTACGTCTTCAGCGGGCAGGGCACGCAGTGGGCCTCCATGGGCCGCGAGATGCTCAAACTGGACGCCTTCCGCAAGTCCATCGACAAGTGCGCCCACGCCCTCAAGCCGCACGGCCTGGACCTGATTAAGCTGCTGGCCCACTCCACCGACGCCGACTACGAGGACCCCACCGTCTCCTTCGTCGGCATCGCCGCCATCCAGGTGGCGCTGGTCGACCTCCTCACCGCCATGAAGATCGACGCCCAGGGCTTCGTCGGCCACAGCGCCGGCGAGATCGGCTGCGCCTACGCCGACGGCAGCTTCACCGCCGAGGAGGCCGTCCTGGCCGCCTACTTCCGTGGCCGCGCCGTCATCAACGCCAAACAGCAGGCCGGCGCCATGGCCGCCGTCGGGCTGCCGTGGGCCGAGGCGCAGAAGCGCTGCCGCGGCGACGTCGTCCCGGCCTGCAACAACGCCAAGGACAACGTCACCGTCTCCGGCCCCGCCGACCAGGTGGCCGCCCTCGTCAACGAGCTGAAGGCGCAGAACGTCTTCGCCAAGGAGGTCAACAGCTACGGCATTGCCTTCCACTCGCCGGCCATGAAGGCCGCCGCGCCCGAGTACCTGGCCAGTCTGAAGAAGCTCCTGCCCAGTCCCAAGATGCGCACCACGCGCTGGCTGAGCACGGCCGTGGAGGAGGCCCAGTGGGGCTCGGAGGTGGCGCGCTACGCCTCCGCCGAGTACTTCACCCACAACCTCACCAACACCGTCAAGTTCCACGAGGCCCTGAGCAAGGTCCCGTCCAACGCCATCGTCGTGGAGATCGCGCCGCACGGTCTCCTGCAGGCCCTCATCAAGGCCACCGTCGGCAGCCAGGCCACGCCCGTGGCGCTGATGAAGAAGGGCGCCGACGAGCTCTTCTTCCTGGAGTCCATCGGCAAACTCTACGTCGCCGGCCTGAACCCCCGCGTCACCGAGATCTTCCCCAAACCGACACTTCCGGCGCCCCGCGACACGCCCTTCATCGGCTCCGTCGTCCGCTGGGACCACTCCGCCAACTGGAGGATCCCCTACCCCACCGACTTCATCCACAAGGGCGGTAAGGGCGGCGCCCACCACACCTACACCTACGACCTCAACGACCCGCTCAACGTCCGCCTCTTCGACAACAAGGTCGGTCGGCAGCCCGTCTTCAGCGTGGGCGCCTACCTGAACATGACGGCCAAGGCCTTCGCCGCCGAGACCGGCAACACCATCGAGAAGGCGCCCCGTGTCCACTTCAGCGACGTCGAGATCCGCAAGACCCTGCCGTTGACCCCCGGCGCCAAGATGGCCTTCGACGTCAGCGTCACCAAGTCCACCGGCTACTTCGAAATCAACCACAACGGTGAGACCATCGTCACCGGCACCGTGGGCGTGGCTGACGCCTTCAACACCCACTTGTCGGAGGACATCCCGGACCACACCGACGCGCGTCTGGACCGCCACACGACCTACAACGAACTGCGTCAACGCGGCTACAACTACGGTCCGCAGTTCCAGCTGCTGAAGAACACCAACGAGCACGGCACGCGGGCCCATATCACCAGCCCGGCCGGCTACGACGGCGCCGTCGACGCCCTTATCCAGTTGCTGGTGCTCAGCCAGAACAGCCGCGACCTGGTGGTCCCCACCGAGATCGGCTCGGTGACCTTGGACATCTCCAAACTGTCCTCGGCGCTGCAGTCGGACGGCACCCTGCCGGCCACTGTCTACCCGGAGATGGGCATCGCCACCTGCCCCGGCGCCGAGATCGAAGGCGTCCTGCTGGCGCCGGTGACCGGGGACTTCCAGGCCACCCACCAGTACTCCGTCAAGGAGCACGGCTTCCTGGCCAACAGCGGCAGCGTGCACCGCACCGACGCCGAACACCGCTACGTCCAGGACTACCTCCGCGTGCTCACCGACTACCTGCACACCGAGAGCGACCGTCTGGTCCGCAGCGGCGCGTCCTCGACCATCTTCAAGGAGATCGCCGCCAGCCGCGGCTCCACCGGTAAGACCGTGTCCCCCGCCACCGATCCTTTCTCGCATGAGCCGCGCGCCACCCTCTACAACCTGCTCCGCCAAGTCTTCGAAGCCGTCAACCACCGCCACCCGGGAACGCCCGTCGATGACGTCATCCGCCGCACCGTGACCTCGCTGCGCCCCACCCTCAAGGATGACCTCTTGCTCAACACCCTCACCAAGCGAAGCGTCATGCAGCCGGTCTTGGACGTCGCTCTGGAGAACACCGACGACGACGTTGTCCAGATTCTGGAGCTCCTGCGTGGCGACCAGCCCTCCAAGAGCGCCGACATCGTCACCGACTTGACTTCGCCGCACGATGCGCCCGTGGAGTTCAAGAGCCTCGCCGTCAAAGCCGGTCAGCAGACGGAGATCCACCCGGGGTCGGCCACAATCCTCGTGGCGGACACATACTTCACCAACGGCCTGCAGGCCCTGCCCGGCGACCTCAAGACCATCTCCACCATCCTCAAGGACGACGGCTACCTGCTGGCCGTGCAACCCTTCGACGGCCCCGTCAACGAGTTGGCCACCTTCATCGCCTCCGTCGAGGCCAAGAACGGACCCACCCGCTTCCCGACATACGAGCAGTTCCGACAGGCGCTGCAGGCCGAGGGTTTCGCCGTGGTCCTGGAAAAGGAGGACGGTGTCTTCAACCGCATGATCCTGGCGCGTAAGACGACCGCCGAACCCCCGACCAAACACCACTCCGTCTACCTCAACGAGCGCTCCACCCTGGACCAGCACGCCGACCACGTCTCGGAGGAGCTAACCCGACATTTCAAAGACCTGGACACCGACGCCTCCTCCGACAGCCGCGTGTGGCTGGTGGCGCCGCGCGGCCGCACCGACCTCGCCAGCGTCCTGACCCATCCCAAGATCCGGGAGCACCCGCACGCGTCCCGTCTGCGCTTCGTCGGGGACCGCAGCACCACCGGCAACGGCCTGCCCAAGTTCAGCACGGCCGCGCCCTTCGACCGCGTCCTGGCCGGGGATCTGCGCTATAACGTGCACGATGGCCGCAACTGGGGCACCACCCGCAACGTCCCCTTCACGTCGGACGTCCTGACCGACGCCACTACCGCCGTGGCGCATGACACCTTCGAATGGCACGAGGGGCCGGTGCAACACGCGGCCGCCAACAAGGAGACCATCGCCGTCACCTACGCCACCGTTAACAAGGACAAGAAGCTCGTTGCCTTCGCCGGTCAGACAGTGCCCCGAGGGGAACCCGTTGTCGGCACCGTCCCCGCCACCAAGGTGGCCACCCATGTCGCGGTGCACCCCGAGGACGTTGTTCCGCTGCCCAAGGGTCTCTCTGCCCGCGACGCCGCCACCGTCGTCTTCCCGTACAGCGTGGCTTACTATGCGCTCAGTCATCTGGCGCGTGTCAACAAAGGTCACTCCGTCCTCGTGCATTTTGATGAAGCGGCTCCCGCTCAATCCGAAGCCGTACTGCGCACCGCCGTCCTCCTGGGCGCCGACGTCTTCGCATCCGGAAGCGTCCCGGAACACGTGGCCCGTCTCCCACAACTGCAAGGACGTGTCTTGACTTCGCTGCATGACAAGAACGCCGCTGCCCGCATTCTGCAGGCCACCGGCGGACGCGGTGTCAGCGTCATCGTCAACACTGGCCGCTCGTCGCGTCTACAGGAGAGCGCTCGCGTCATCGCCCCCAACGGCACCTACCTGGAAACGTCGAAGGTCACCGCCGGTGACCGAAGCAAGGCCGCGGTCAACAAGAACATCACCGTCTACAAGAACGTCGCCGATGCCGTCACCCGTCTGGACGGACCGACCAAGCAGCCGGTCACCGCCTTCCTTGCCCAGGCCCTGTCCCGTGGCGACATTGCGCCGTTGCCGCTGCGCCTCGTCCGCTCGCTGAAGGACATCAACACCGTCACCGACGAAGCGGTGGTTCTGGACGTCCGCGGGGAGAACACGGCCCCCATCAAGGCCACCCCGAAAGCCCACTTCAGTGCCAACAAGACCTACGTGGTGGTGGGCGAGAGCGAGGAAGTCCTGGTGGGTCTGGCCTACTGGCTGACCACCCGCGGGGCCCGCCTCATCCAGCTCAGCAGCCAGGCCAACGTCGGCCCGGTGCTCAACCGCGAACGCCGCTTCTTCGAATCCCAGGGCGTGGAGATCAACGTTAACAACGGACAGACGGCCGAGGCCCTTCTGCAGACCGCTGCATCGCGCGCTCCCCTCGGTGGCGTCTTCGTGCTGGACCATGTCAACTTCAACCAGCGCCAGACACCGCCGTCCAAGATCAATGTCACCGATCTGGACCGGGCCGTGCGCAACGTGGCTAAGGACTCCCTGGACTTCTTCGTCGTCCTGACCTCCGTGCTGCACCAGGGCGCCTCAACGGCCGAAAACGTTGTGGACAGCCGCAGCGCCGCCGGACTACCGGCGCAGATCGTGCAAGTCGGCAACGTGGTCTTCCACAAGAACGACCCGGACCACCCGGACACCACCGAGGAGGACCACAAGGCCATCTCGCTGCCGACCCTCTTCGACGCCCTCACCGACATCGTCCGCCGACCCGTCACCACCGCCGTCATCTCGCCGCCGCCGGCCGTCCACCGCCAGCGCACCGCCGCCTTCGACGAGGACGGCAGCGGACCGCAGGACAAGTCCTACCTGCCGCAGGCCGTGGCCAAGATCATGGGCATCAAGGATTTCGGCGCGCTGGACATGTTCCTGTCGCTGGGTGACTACGGCATCGACTCCCTCATGGCCATGGAACTGGGCAAGATCCTGGAGCGCGACTTCAACCTGTCGCTGACGCTGCAGGAGATCCGCTCGTTGTGCGTGCGCGACATCTGCCTCATGTCCGGCGCCACCAACGCCGTGGAGGCCGCCAAGTTCTCCGAGAACAAGACCCTGTCGGAGGTGCCGACGCTCCTCGACACCGTCAAGAAGCACTACAACCTCAACGAGCTGGTGCCCAAGGAGACCGTGACGCTGCTGCGCCAGGTGAAGGAGCGCAATGACACCCTCTTCATCGTCCACCCCATGGAGGGCTCCGTGCTGCCCGTGCTGGAGGCCCTGGCCAACCATCTGCAGGTGACGACATACGGCCTCAACTGCACGCAGACCAGCGACATGACCTCCATGCAGACGCTGGCTGCTTCTTATATCAAGGTAAGGGATCAAGCGCAAGAAATCAGTATACGCTGTGTGACTATATGTACGAAGTACACATATAATTAAGATATACGCGTATAAATATATATAGGCGGCATATATTTATTTTTACATATGCGTATATATCTTTGCTGTATGTATGTATGTAAACAGGATGTATATATTTTGAAGTATATTTATATACTGCTCATGATCATACACGACGTACATGTTTATTAGTCTATATGATAATTATGTGTATAATCCAGTTAAAATAACTTTTATGTAATCGATTTATTCTTGTTCGGACAGGCTCTGAAGCAAGTACAGTCGCACGGCCCGTACAACCTGGGCGGCTACTCCTTCGGCGCCGGCGTGGCCTTCGAGATGGCGCTGCAGCTGCAGAAAGAAGACCCCAAGAGCGTGCGCAACCTGGTGCTGCTGGACGGCTCGCACTCCTTCGTGGGCGCCTTCACCAAGACCATGAAGGGTGGCTACACCGTGGACCCCAATATGCCGCTGGACGAGATGAACAAGCGCAAGCAGACCGCCTTCGAGGTGGCCATCTTCGTGCTGTACGTCACGCAGCTGGTCAAGACCCAGCGCAAACAGGTACCGACATTTATACAGCGTCACGGATTTTAAAGGTCACTTCTATGTTATAGCGGTGTGACTCTTTGTGTTCGCGTAGTTGACGTAGATTAAAGGTCACACACTTTAGATAACGAAGATATATACCACTCACCGGTGTTAGCCTAAAGGTCCCGCTGTGCTTGTTTAGTTGACGGAGAAGCTGCAGGCCGCCCGCAGCTTCGAGGAGCGCGTGGACGTGACCGCCCAGGAGCTCCAACGCTGCCCGCAGCTCAGCCACATCCCCCTGGAGACGCTGCGCACCGCCGCGGTGCAGTTCGCCGAGCGCCTGATGGTGGCCGACGTCTACAAACCGACGGGCAAGTACAACGGGCCCCTGACGCTGGTCAAGTGCAGCGAGAAGATGATCCGCAACCTCGGCGAGTACTACGAACTGGACAAGGTAAGTTGGCGGCGTTGCGCTCAACCGACGTGTCCTTGACAGAGAGTGCGTGTTGCAGGTGGTGGAGCATCGCGACAAGATCCGCGCCGTCACCGTCAACGGCAACCACGAGGGCTTCGTGCTGGGCGAGAGCGCCAAACTCACCGCCAACTACATCAACGAGTCCGTGCTCTCTCATTAATTTTACAGTCTGCATTTTGCTTTGTAGTTCGCATACTTCATTCTATATATACTACTCTGTTAATCCATATGTGCACAGTTCATTTTTAAAGCTCATTCATTGCTCAGTGTTACAGCTCTTCGCCAGTAGTTATGCTGCTTCAGAAGGGATCTATTAGTCCGTGTGCTCATTTTATACCGGGTATGCGGTTACGTTATCGGCTGTAGTACAGTAATTGCCCAAACAAATAAAATTAGCTCATCATTCATTCGGTTGCATTTGAATTTTCCCAGTTTGCGGTGCATATTGCGACTTGCGAGTACCGAGGCACAGGCGTTTTAAACAGGGCTCCTCTCAAAACCACCAGTTTAAAACTAATTAAAATTTTTATTTATGTTTATAGTTTTCTGCTTACACACGTACATGGGAGTGCTCATAAAATATTTTTCTGATTTGCAAAAACAAAATATTCTTCTGATCTGCAAGAAAAAGGTACGAGAAAAAGTACGAGTACGAGTACGTACACTTGAAAGAATCTAATAATTTTTTATGAATCGTTAAATTAATTGTTATCGTTGAATTAATTAAAAAAAGTTTTCTCATGTGGAAATTCCGCATGAGTTGTCCAGAATGTTGGCCAGATTTGTTGTCCACAATGGAAATTTATATATTGTTCAAAGTACATACCTATCTGCATTGCGGAAAACATCATAGTCATAGTACGTAGTACAGATACATATAATTTATTAGTAGCATACATATCACAATACAGATACGTACATCGTCATTCTAGTTTCTTGGAACATTTATTTAGCATCCTCAGCAACAAACAAAAAGGGCCACGTGACCCGCTCGTTCCCACTTTCAGTCAACCGACAGGCAGCTAGCGCGCTGGCTATCACCGACACCATTCTTCCTCTCCCTCCTTGTTTTTCAAGGTCAAAGCGCTTAACCATGAACGAAGTGTCAAAAGCGGCGTCGACAGAATCAAAATAATTAGGGTTGCCGGAAAGTGTTCGTTCTGGTTGTGAAGAGCAATTCAAAAATCTGAATGAATGAATGAATGTCACAAGGCAACAGGCGTTGGCTGTGTGGCGGTAATGACTTGCCGTCGGTTGTCGGTCAAGCTCGTTCTCCCAGCATTTGTTCGTGTCTAGCTAGCTGTGGCTACATTTAAACTGCCAACCGGAAGTCTAAACCCGAGCTGAACGCTTAAAATAATTTCTTTTCAAGTGCAAAGTGAAGCTTAAACTCAACATTAATCAATCAACTTTAATTTCAACAAGCATGGAGCGTTGGCTAATCACGATATTAAAGATACGAAGCGGTCCAATATGGAGGCAATGCAAATCAAATCACTCAGCATTTATTCACAGATCGGCGCTTATCCGGCTTCGGCCACTCTGGGTACAGAGTGGTCACATCAAAAGCGTCGGCAGAGGGGCCGCCATCCAGGCTGCTGCTGACCGAGGGCGGCGGCGCGTGCCGCTTGCGGTCCCGGACGTGGCCGGTCCGGATCAGCTGGTCACCGCTGCCGCACTGCAACGGCGACACACAAATATTAGGGATTGAAATTATGCGCTTGTCGAATTAAGAAAATAAGAATTATTGCTATTTGTTGGAAGCTGGGTAGCGGTGTGGCCTACCGATAAACGATCCTCCAGACTATCAGCGCTGCTTCTGGACACGAAGGACGGACTCAAGGTCAGCGTGCTGCCCCGTGTGCTTTTAGCTTGCTCGTCTGGCTGGTCCAGAAGACGCCGCGGGAAGTCCCAGTTCTGGCTTTGTGTCGACGTTCTCTGTCGATAAAACCAACAGAGTGAAAATTAGCGTTTAGGTTACGGTGTTCTCTGGGGATACCTTGGAGGCTTTTCTGTGTCGGCCGTGGACTTCCGGTAGCGGATGAATCTGCACCGGCTTCTGGCCCGCATAGTACGAAAGGTCAACCGAACGGATCTTTCTCCTGACAACGAGCAGCGATGAAATCTTTTCAGTGAGGTATTGAGCTGTTTACTAAACACAGGAAACCGAACGCTTACTTTCGGCTGCAATGGTAGCACAGGCAAGTGGTTCCCAGGATGACCAGCAGCACGAATACAGCAAGTCCCACAGCCAGTGCTGCAAGTAAAATTTGCTTATGAATCAAGTGCGATCTGCAGACTGGCGATGTACAGTATCACTTACCAAGCCAGTGAATCTGACAGCTCTCGCCTATGTACCAGTAATAACCGACACAAGCGCGCTGGTCCAGTTGCCGTACCACCCCTTCCACGGACCCCACGTCGGGATCCACCGGCGCACTGGCGTTGTGCCGACAGACCTTCCCCGAACCGACGCCCGCGGGGGAAGTGTCCACGAAACCCTCACGGCAGAAGCAGAGAAAGTTGCCGACAAGGTTGATGCATAGCGCGTCGGCTGAGCAGCCGCTCACCGCCGGGTCAGTGCACTCGTCGATATCTGCGCAGGACACCGGTATATCATTGCACGAAAAGGGCTACTGTTTAGAATGTCGTATTGTCGTACCTTCGCAGCCGGCACCGGGCGTCTTGGACGGTTGGTAGCCTGGCGGGCAGCCACAGGAATACTCTTCACCGTTCCAATGGCATACTTCCGCTAAGGCCGGGCATGCACCGCTGACGTTGCCTCCGCAAACGGCCACTTTCCGTTCGAATGACCTTTATCCATTTATAAGATTCTGCTTATTAAATAAAGCACAGCAAGCGGTACATGATGGACATACTCGCTTGGATGTTCGCTTTGAAAGAATGTGAGCAACAGCGCTTGTCCTTGGGAAATCGGCTGCCGATGACCGTTGGCGCTATCTAGTCCGGAATCGGCCGATCGTTTGGCTAGAGGTTTCTGTATGGTTACCGTTAGTTTGGAGAGCCCATCGGAGCCGGTCTGCGCCATGGCGCGCGGCATGTCATTTGCTGCGGGCTGCGCGGCGTTGGTGACGGGAGCGTAGTAGTAGGCGATGCGCGTGCGGTCGCCCGGGATGCGGCTGTTGCCGATCCAGGCGAAGAAGGCCTCGGGCCGGCTGGTGGAGGTCAGAGTCATGCCCGGCACGGCGCTGATGGGCGACACCGTCTTCAGGTCGCTGGCCGTGTAGAAGTGCCCGTTCTGCGCCACAAAGGTCACCGTCCCCATGCTCATCAAGCCCTCGGTGCCCTGCACGGAGTAGGCCGAGTACGAGAACGACTGCCCACTGGCGCCGGCATTCGCCGGGCCGGACGGCGAGGGGCCGCGCTGGACGCTGCTGGGTTGGATGGGGAGTGCCGGTTGCGGGCTCTGCAAAGCGGGCTAAATTAGCAACAAGTCGGTATACTTCTAAAAGATGGGCAAGCACTTACTTGACCGTTGTCACCTATTTGGTTGAAGTTAGCCTGTTGGGTGTTTTGAGTGGTGACCTGGACACCAAAGGCGTTGGCACTTTGCTGTCCATTGCCTGTTTGTCCATTGCCCATTTGTTGGCTGGTTGGCTGGTTCGGTATGCTGGCAAACTGTTGCTGCTGCTGTTGCTGTTGTTGCTGCGGCTGCTGAGGATTCATCCCTTGTTGCATGCCTTGCCCCGGGCTGTTCTGGAATTGCCCATTCCCCATTTGCTGGTTGGCGTTCTGCATGCCGTTAAACTGCTGCTGCTGTTGTGCCGGCTGGGGATTAAATAACTGCATACCTTGTCCCGGCGTGGTCTGGAATTGCCCGTTTCCTGTTGGTTGGTTGTCATTCTGCATGCCGCTAAACTGCTGTTGCTGTTGTTGTTGCTGTTGCTGCTGCTGTTGTTGTTGCTGCTGTTGCTGTTGTTGTTGCTGTTGTTGAAATTGTTGTTGCTGCTGTCCATTGCCAAACTGCTGCGACGGCTGACTGTTTGACCCCGCGTTGGGCATCTGAGGATTTGAACTGGCTACGAACTGACCGGATGTACCGGAGGACTGGAATGACTGGAAGTTTTGCGAACTGGACTGCTGGTTTTGTGAGCCGGTAATGGCTCCAAACTGGTTACTGTTGCCTTGACCCTGAAACTGCTGCCCGCCTTGAGACGGCTGGTTGATATCCGCTTGACCATTCGGCGAGTAGAAGAAGTTGACGATGGTGCGCGTGCCGGTGACCGGGAGGCCTTGGTAGGCCGTCTGGAAGGGCTCCGTCCGCTTGACGGACGTCAGCATGCCGGCGCCCACGATGGCGTTGCCGGGCTGAACGATGCGGAAGTCGAAGACGGCCGTTGGCTGCGCGTTGCTCCCGTCGGGATAGCCGAAGGACATGGCGCCGTACGTCAGGAACTTGTCGCCGCCCTGCGCGCCGTACGCGGAGATGGTGTACCCCTGCGGGAGGAGGTTGTTGTTGGCGATGTTGAAGGTGGGGTTCGACGCCGGCTGGACACCGGTGGGACTGATGGGGACGGCGTTGTTGACGCCGTTGGTGAAGCTGCTCAGGTCGATGGAGTTCGGGGACGGATTCTGGTTGATCACCGGGTTTGGCTGGTTGGGGAACGGTTGTACTGGCTGGGTGTTCAGCACCGCCGGTTGTCCGTTGGGCTGGACGTAGAACACGCTGTAGCGGGTGCGTTTGCCCATGACGCTCAGCCCATTGATAACGGTCGGGAAGGTCTCGTATATCGTGGTTGTGGATAGCGACAACTGCACGTTGTTATAGTTATTGTCGAAGAAGTTGCCCGGCTGGACATTCCCGATGGGGATGTAGTCGCCCTTCCCCGGGATGTAGGTGCCGGGATACTGCACGGCGGGAGTGACCACCACTTTCAAGGAGTTGTCGGAGCCCTTGCTGACGCATTCGGCGCAGATGACCAGGCCGCCGTTGACGTTGTAGACGCTGCCCTGCGCGTAAAAGGTGCTGATGGGCGGGATGGACGTCCCGTAGGTCACCGCGCCGTAGGTGGCCGCGCCGTTGTTGTAGTTGACGAAGGAGGTCACCGTGACGGGGACGGCGTTGATGGAGGAGTAGTAGGTGGTCAGGCCGTACCAGTAGGTGCCCACAGCGGGGACGTTGTTCGGTCCCGGGAAGGGCTGGAAGGTGGTGGGGATGTTGGTGGGGGTCGGCTGGATCTGGTTGTAATTGGCGTTTCCGCTTCCCTGGTACTGGACTCCCGCGTTGCCGTTTCCGGAGTTGGTTACTTGAGAACCGCCGAAATTCATATTTTGGTTTTGGTTGATGGAGCCGCCCGCCGGAATTTGACCGGCGTTGCCCATGTTAAAGCTCTGATATTGCGCCGCATTCCCGGTGTTGACGTTTTGAGACGAGCCGGGATTCTGCGCGGCCTGTCCTCCGCCCATGGAGCCAGCGTTAATGTTTTGGGTCTGCCGGAAATCACCGGCGTTCGTATTGGAATTCCCTCCGCCGTTCTGCTGATACTGCACCCCAACAGCGCCGGCATTTCCGCCACCGGAAGTGACCTGATACTGCCCCGAGGCACTGCTGCCCTGCTGGAACTGACCCACGAACTGCGCTCCGCCCATGTTCGGGCTCTGGCCTTGTTGTTGTCCAACATACTGGCCGGGATAAGCGTTGCCACCGCCTCCGTTGAGAATGATACTCATCTGCACCGGCGACTTGGTCACCGTGCCGAAGATGGGCGTCCCGTCGATGAACTTGGTGTAGTAGGAAATCGTCTCTATCACGCCGTTGTTCAGTCGAGTGGTCTCGATACCATTTTGTATATATTCGCCTTCAAATAAAGCTCAGTTAAACTTCTAATGATTGTTTTTTCACACTGGTTTTAGTGTTATACGGCGCCTTACCTTTACTGGGCACACCATACCGGTTCTGGCCGTAGGCCAGTGTGTTCCCGTTGTAGACCTGCGTCTGGGCAGCGGACGTCACTGCGCCATATGTCGCCGATCCATCGATGTATTTGGTGTAGGACGAAACGGTCACCGGGTATCCATAACTGCCGGTCGTCGTGAACACCGCTCCTGGCAGCGTGTATGTCCCCGTTGTGGGGACGCCGTAGGGATTCTGACCCGGCTGCATCAGCTGGCCGTTGTAGTAGGTCACGACCGGCAAAACCATCGGGGCCTGGGCGCCGGCGTTAGCGTTGCTACCGCCCTGGGCAGCCATGATGTTGCCGCTCTGCCCTCCGCGGTTGTCCAGCGTCCCGGCGGCTGCGCCCGCGTTCCCGCCGGCACTGTTCTGGTACTGCACGCCACTGCCGGCCGCCGCACTGCCTCCAACGGCCGCCCCGCTGCCGGCGTTGGACGACTGGGCAAACGCTCCGCTGCCCTGTTGACCGTTGCTCTGGTCGGTGTACACTTGCGCTCCCATGTTCTGCCCGGGCGCCTGAAACATGGCCACGCGGGCCTGCATGTCCGGCACTGCGCCGCTGCCGTCCATACCACCCATCCCCATGTTGCGCTTTTCCCGCGGATGCGCCGCCGATCGCGGAGGATCCTCCAGGGGAGCGGTGCCGCCTCCCGCGGCCGGCTTGTCTGGATTGGCGATGCGTCGCACCATTGAGTCCAGGTTGCCGAAGACGTTCTCACTGGGCACGCCCGGGAAGAAGCTCTCGGGGAACGACGGCATCACCACCGACTCGAAGGTGTAGGTGCCTTCACGGTCGCGCGGGATCACCGGTTCCGGCTCGTTTTGCGGCAGGAAGTAGGAAAGACCATTTCCCGCTGCAAATAAAATGTTCGCATCTTGTTAAACCAAATAATTTATTTTCGCCGAATTAAGGCAAAATGTTGGTTTAGAGTTGGAGAGGAATTTTGATTTGCTGCCGCACAGAGCGGAAGCAGACTTCAAACGGTGCAAACTGTACTGTGCCCGCAGGCTGGCCTTGTGTACGGAGAGTGTGAGTGTCCATCTGTCTAACAGTTTCGTAAGCCTCTCATCTCAAAAAATACTAAATTACTGTGTCTACTCGTATATATAGTTGCAGCAGCCGTCCTGGCTACACTGAATACACCTCCTAGCAAATTCCGGGCGTATTGATACTACGGTAGTAAATTGGTTTCAAGCGTACTGATAGGTAAAAATAAATAACTCTCTTTTTTATTATATATATAATATTTTATTCTTTTTGTTCTAAATTGGTTTATCAAGTTCAAGTGTAAATGGCTTTTAGCTTGTACAATTTGTCAATAAAAATACAATAACCCTCTTACTTAATCACAATTATCCAGCGTGTGTTGGGAAATGGGAACTGCACTTTCCCATGTTATTTGGAAGGGATTTCTCTTAAGATGTTGTCTAAGTACGCTCTTTGTAAATTTACTAAATGTATTTCATATATGAAGATAGAGCTTTGTTATAGAAAATCCATAATTTTTATTTCACACTAAATTTATTTTGTGAACCGAGAACATACAACACAAAATATGTGTTCCACTATTTCTAATGACAAAATTTTACACATCCCATTTTTTAAATTTTGGGCTGTGATGGGAAGAAAGCGCATATGCATGTAGAAATGTGTTTTCCATGCTAAGAAACTGGCAAAAAATTTCACCGAAAAATGCCAAACAAAAACAGCCGAACGGATCGGACTGTTGATTGCTATTTGCTGCCATGCTCAAAAGAATTGTTATACTCGCACATACAGTACATATAGTATAATGGCTGGGCGATGAAAGGTGAACGGTGAGAGTGACAACTTGTGTACGCGCAGACAAAGAGCGACAATTAATTAGTCCAATTTTCTTTAGACCTTTCCTGCAAGTTCGCTGCGATTCAGCCAAATCGACTGCAAGTGCCGACGTTAACTGCGGCGTCCATGGTTAACGTGGTCATTACGGAACCGTGACAGTTGGCACACATGAGTTTGCATTCGCAGTTTGCACTGCAAAATCTGCCGGCACGAAACCCTGACGAATTCTGACTTTTATTTATTTGAGAACTTGCGAATATTCTTGGATTGTACACTTGCATGTTATTGTAAATTTGTAATAAATTATTGTATTAATAAGACTGCATTAGTTTCACTGTACTATGTCATGAAGTTGTGATTAACTAATGAAGTGGGTAAACTACGCAATGCACAAATGAAAAAGCACTGAATGTTCGCCATATAGCTTCAGGACGGCGTAATTTACATCACCTTCGTACTGAAAATTACACTTGTGCAAAAACAAGGATATCAAAACCAATTAATTACAGTGTGTAAGATATGTGCTCGTATCTTCGCGCGTAATGGAGGTTTTTGGCGCCAGCTGAAAAGTCACAATTTAATTACAGTCAGTAGAATTAAATTTTATTGACTCATTAAATTGTGTATAATAAACTTACAGTAGTTAAATTTTATTAGCTTGTAATTATAAGTGTAAACTGGAAATATAAATCTGCGGAAGCGTTTTGATCTGTACACTGCCTGTTGTCCAATAAAAGGCTCAATTCACTGAGTCATGCGAACGGCCATGTTACGATTTTGTCCGATGCAATGACATTTATTACAGTATGCTCCAGTTGCATAACATGCGTGTTTAACACAATTATTACGCGAATAAATCACTACAAAAATATCACATACGGGTGTGCATATAATTCTGAGAACTCTCCTACTTTTACTGGAGCAAGATTTATGTTACGAGTACCCTAATGGAAATCACCGGGGTTATCCGAGACTGCAGCGGGTGTATCAAGCAAATTAATGTGCATTGCCGCTGGTTTTATCGCGAACAGCGGCTCTCCAAAGTAATATTACAAAGAATGTCGATTAGCAATTTAAGGGAAAAAAATTAAGAATGGCCTGTACTAGTACGCACCGGTTCCGTCCGGGTCAGCGACCACCAGGATCCGTATCAAGAACAGGCAGACGAAAATACCTTCGCCTAGTAATTTTTCCATTATATTAAAATTTATCTTCCTTGCACATGTAATCCCGCAGCGGATTTCGCTAACTGGAAATGGAATTGGATAACTGGAATGGCTCACTCTGAGTACAATTTAATTCCGCGATGAAGAAATGCAGACGCTGGCGAGGGCAATCAGTGAGGGCGATGTCGGTGTCCCTCACTGGTGTCAGAGTACTTTAGCGGTAAACACGCGGCATTCTGACAAGGCACATATCACGGCTCTGAATGTAATGCTCCGTTCTTAGCTAGTCCAACGCAGGTAGCTGTACTCCGCGGCCCAACATAATAAATAAATTAATAATCACTTGCCGTAATGAAACCCAGAGGCTGTTTATTGTGGTAACGAGAAAGCTTGAATTATCGGTGCGCCGTACAGGCACAGGTATGATGTACACCGTATACCTATACCGGCGGCCGATTCACAGACAAGCAAGAAACGCAGTCGGATGTCCGTTCCGCTGCTTTCTGCACAAGATACTCGTGTTTTACTGCGCCGTTAATAACGAACAGCACGCCGGAGCGCCGGAGGGATCAATAAATCCAAATGAGTCGCACGTATGTACGTGCATCTGTGATAATCATCGCTAAATTGCACCCGTCCATCTATAACGTCGAAGATTATGACGGTCAACGTAAGCGATTTTGCATTCACGATATCATATCAAAAGGTAACCGTACTAGTACTTGATTTAGCTATCAGAACAACTGCAAAAAATAAGACACCGAAAACATTTGCGATGCAACTTAAACAATTATCAGATACTTAAAGTCTTAAACAAGTATCTGATAATACGATTGGCGAATTTTGGATACTTTGTTAATTGAGGACATTTATCGGCAGCTGGCCAAGCTGTTCACAACTCTGACTTTCGTTTTCGTTCGTCAGTTTTATTCTTAGTCGTTGGAAGGCCTGCGATCCGGCCGCACAGTCATCTGGTTTTTCTCGAATCTCGTAACTGTAGTCATAATTATCATACATATAACATACCCGCATTCGTGACCTCACATCCTTCTCAAGCTTTACAATCTTTTGCCCTATCGAAGCCCTGAACAAGCAACCCGTGTTGAGGTAGCATCGATTTACAGATAGTAGTCACGTTAATGTGACGTTATAGCCGCCGTCCCACGACTCCTGCGGTCGCTTGGGTACCTTTTTCAGCGTAACTGAAGACACCCGACCCCTTCTGTCCATACATGTGCTTTTGACGATGCACCTTCCCGGTCAAAGGCCGCCTGTCGGCAGGCACGATACAGATGCCACCTGTGTGGCTGGACCAAGGGATTCTTGAAAGAAAACATCCTCGGGAAATTACTGCAGCTGCAGCTGAATGGGCCGTTGTGTTTGGTAGCGAACTGTCCCGAATTGAGCTCCAGCATCCTTTGGGACCATTAAGACGGTCCCAAAGGCAGACTGACGGGACGACGGAGTGGTGGTGAATGTGAACTTTCTGGTGGTCAGCCAGCCAGTGCGTAACACAGCCACGAAGGAAGCGACGCCCGTGGGCAGTATGCTCGAGCGGTTGTTGTGCACCGCCAACGGGGCGGCGATCAGCTTCGAGGAGGATTTGGCCCGGCCGATTTTACAACAAACGGTGATTAACAATAGGTTTCGGTGTGAGATAAAGCCAATGTACTGAAGGGCGGGCAGTGCGTGCCCTGCAGTCCCGGCACGCATTCCAGGTAGGCGAGCGACACTACCGGTTTTCAGCGCCTTTTTAACAGAAGTAAACGATACTGGTAATACTAATTTTCTTAAAGAAAATTGATTTGAAGCTGATATGGGTTACTAACTTACCGGCACTTAAATAAATGTATTTTTCAATATGGATTTGGCATAATTTATTTAAATGAAATTTGTGTAAAACATTTCAGTTGCTCGAAATTCAGTTGAGTATTTTTTAATTTGTTTACGTAACTCGTAGGGTAACGACTGCGTCCAGTGTCCATTGGGACACTTCCAGGACGAATGGGCAGAGCCGCTGCAGAGTGTACCCTCGCTCGACCACCTACGCTACTGGCGCCACCGCCCCAGGCGATTGCAAACCCCTGGGAGCACCAGAAATGTTTTTCAACCTATCCGCCGCCCGTTGTGCTCCTTGCGCCTGTCAGCGGTGTTGCCCTGGAATGACCACGGCCACCAGCACGGCAGTGTCCGCCACGGAGTGTGTCGCCAACTACCCCTCCGGGCCAGGAGTTGGCAACGGAAGGGTGTGGGGAGTGTCCGCGGGTCTCCTACCGGGAACGGGGACAACGCCCGGTGTGTAGCGTGTCCAGCCGATGGTGGGTCCCATCAAGTGCAGTGTGCCCTTTTGCGGGTCGGGATCGTTCCTGGATGTGGCCCGGGGGCGGGTGCTTGGTTTGTCCGTTTGGGTTCTATCAGCCATTGCCGGAACAGATCCGCCGTCTGCAGTGTCCGGAGGATACTACCATGCTGCGCTTCGGCGCCGCCACCATCGACCGGTAAGCACACGAGGAATCTTTCTTGATGTTATGACTGTTATCGAACGCTAGGCGATGATCATACAGAATATTCGATTCCGCGCTGCTGTACTGAGCTGGGATCTGTGCGATCCAAGTAATAAACAAATTTCTGGATCCTTACTTATGTTCATTAGGTACTGGTTTTTCACTGTCCATTTTAATTTTTACAGTTAATGACTGACCAAACATTTGTCACTTGAAGATTACGGCAAAGATCTCAAAAGTGTTATTGAATCAAACGGGATCTCAGTCAGATTTGTGTCTATTTATTCTGCTAAAAAAGGCCGCAAGAACAGCTTGTTTGCGCGTGTTGGTTCATTTGCTCATGAGTCAGACAAAATGTTTGCTCCTGAAAACTGGCCTCCTAACATCGGCGTGCGTGAGTGGTTGTTTGCCCCCAAGGAGGGCCAGCAGTGTCAGTCTGTTTTTACTGTTTAAATTTTGAATCATTTTAAGTAGTCTTACCTGCGCAAGCTAATTGTTACCTGAATTGGCCATTGCCGAATTAATGACTTCCTGTTGTATTTGTTGCTGAATTCATTTTTATTGAAAGTGAGTTTCGTTTGCAGCTTAGTAACCGGTGTAACGGTGTAACGGCCCTGCCAATGCAATGGCGAAAGTTTCGTTGCGCCGATACATCATCAAGTGACGGGCGGGGAGACCGTAGCGGAGCGGCAGCAGGAGCTCGATTATGATGGCTGTTGTTATTATAGTAATGTTGAGAACATGTGAAAAAGAAGACTTGGACCTTCTGTTTTTCAAAACGCTTCTTAATGTGTTGCATAGGTGTTTGTTGACGAACAAGTGCGCCAACGGCCTGCCGACGTGACATCCCAACGCGCACTGCTTCCGCAACGGCGACGGCTTCAAGTGACTCTGCAAAGCGGGATTCCGCGGCGACAGCATGGAGAACTGCGATGTGGAAGTCAAACAAACGTTAGCAAAGAATTTTTAGGAAAGTAATTAATGATACGATTAATTCTGTGATTTAAATAAAAAAAACTTAGATTAAATTGTTTTCGTGGGTTAAAACGATTCTTAAGAAGACAGTTTGCCTGGTAAAACTCAATGGAAAGGTTAGCGTTACAGTATTTGATTGCAGTTATAGAGCAGGGCGCGGGGATGACGGACGGGCATCTGGCAGGCATCGTCCAGTCAAAGAGCACGGAAACGGCGGGAACGTTGACGCCGGTGAAGCAGCGCGAACGCAGTTACTCCGAGAACCTCCAGCGGGGCCAATGTCAAAAGGAGGAAGGAAATTTTAGAGGAAGGAAATTTTGTGTGGTCAAAAGGAGGAAGGAAAATTTTAGAGGAAGGAAATTTTCCGGGGTCAAAAGGAGCAAGGAAATTTTTCGGGTCAAAAGAGGAAGGAAAGTTTCACAAAATTTCAATGGTATAATAAATTTTTTTGACGAATGAAATTTTTATAACCGGTAGCGTTTCGAAACATGTGGAACCGCTTTCCACGAAAAAGAACAAGAAATTCAAATCAAAACACGAAACAACAAAAAATTATGAAAAAACAGACGCAAAAAAAGCAAGAGCATTTGCTTTTGCTTAAAGAGCGCTTTTGCTTAAGACAATTGCTTGTCCTCCGAATTGTGAAAACCAAAATACTGTATGTAAATACCACAGAAACATTTTTGCTTATGCCGTTCGTGCGTCTTCATCGCCGCTATCATCGTAAGTTTCGTAACCTTCCATGTTGCTGCTAGATGACTGTGCCGTTTTGTAGAAAAATAAAAAGGAAATGTGTATAATTCTATGCATAGCCATAAACTGCCCATAATGCGCTCCCTTCCGCACCCACTTAGGCTACAGGCACCCCTTTTCTTGACGATCTAACATGGCCTGATCTAGCAATGTTAGATCGTCAAAAAAATCTTTGTAAACTAAAAATCTTTGTAAACTAAAAACCTTTGTCAGTCCTCTGGGGAAAAAACTAAAAACAGGTGCCTATATTCCGCGGAAAAAATGCGGTGAGAATTAAATAATACAAAAGGGTAAAACCGGACGCAAAAGGCAAAAGGGGCACCTATAAGAAATGCGGGTAAAAGGGGTGCTGATCGTCTCACCCAGTTAAAAATCTTAATAAAACAATTAGTTTTTCATTTTAAGTGTTTCTAAGAATTGCACAACGATATCCTTTACGAAGCAAAATGTTTCTTGAGAAATGATGCTTTGCGCCAATTGCACCCATGTGCGTCGCCGCTTTTGCTCGTCCACCGGCTAGACTGCAGCCGTCAGCTGCGTCGGTCTGAACATGGGAAAGCTTGGTTATTTTGAAGAGTGTCAAAGGAATCAGACAAGATCACACTTCGGTGGCATTGTAAAGGGCTTTTGTCCAAAAATTTGCCTGTCCCTTACTCAGGCTTCAAGCGCATTGCCCGAATTACGGTAAAGTGCATTATTACATATTTCTCAGTGTTCGTATTAATCGTATCAAATACAGAAGTTGTAAGAAATTTTAATGTAACAAAAACAGATCTTTTTGTATTAATTTTTGTTTTAAACAGATAATTTTTTCCCACAAAAATTTCTTTCCTCTTTTTGACCAGAAAAATCTCCTTCCTCCTTTTGACCCCCCAAAATTTCCTTCCTAAAAATTTTCCTTCCTCCTTTTGACCACACAAAATTTCCTTCCTCTAAAATTTCCTTCCTCCTTTTGACATTGGCCTCCAGCGGCACACCACGACGCGCTGAATGCACGGAATGCGGCCCATGCCGCAGTCGGCTAGGGGCAGTGAGAACCTACGACATCCTGAGTACACCGCCCGAAAGTTAGCGTCCTGAGTCCTCTCGTTCTTAAGGAAGACTTCTTTTGTATTTGTTGCAAGAGTTCTGCTTCGGCAATTTAGGCTTGTAGACTTATTACCCAGCTATTATGTTAATATCTGTGTAATACGTGATATGACTGTTGATTATCCCATCGCTGCAGTTGTGATTGTCAGGAAACCAGAAAGTGCAAAGCAAGAAACTATCCTGTGTTTCATGTGTTTTCATTACTCGAATTCGTCTATTGTACTCTGTAGTCTGTACAAAACACAAAAACCCAAAACGCTTCAAACCATAACATTAAAGTAAATCGGTTGAAACTCATCGCGCAAACAAACCGTTTGGAGGCTAAAACGTGCACTAATCGTTTGACTGTAAAACTACATACATAAACCAAGCTGATACAAAAATATGGACGCGAAGTGTATACGAAGTTAACACTGTTTTACCAATCGTAGTGCGATGGCTGATACGACGGTTTGTAACTTGTACTACACTCCAAAAACTAGCCGTACTCCATGGAGTCCAAGTTCCTCGCGACACTTCCATGGCAGCACCACCTCCCGAAGGCATGATATCACTGATCCTACATGCTGCTTCCCAAATGTGCACTAAACTCACTCCTTCCCGCCAAGTTTGTGACGTCCTGAAGTGGGCTCACAAAACAAACGGATTGCTGTCAGCAAGACAACCCAGGCACACTGCTACCGCAGTTGCCATGATAGACCAGACATGACAAAGAGCTCACAGAGGACAGAGCATTCTCGCGACATCAGTGCCACTGCACTAAGTCACAGTGATACAAGTTCAATTCTATTCTGAGCAATCAAAATCTAAGTTTGAAACACTCCCAATACGCATGTCGAATGTCAATTCGATGTCGTTGTCTCTGCCGCCAGTGCAACCGCTGTAGCGACAGCTACAGTGCGTTTTCGCAACAGCTCGCGCCTGGCTGAAGCGTAAACGGTAAGAACCAGCAACTCGAGTTCTGTGAAATCTTGTAAACAACGAACTCTCATCGATCCTTTCTCCTCAGAACGAATTGTTGATTGTTCTTTGATCCCCAATCCCAATTTTCTGATTTTGTTTCTTTTTCTGCGACATGTGCACTGTGGTCTCCTATCCCTGATTACCGAGCGATGGACCGTGACGCTAGTATGAGCACTACAAGCAGCATCGCGGGCTCCTCCACCACCAACGACATCATCCACCGTGCCACGGCGAGTGCGACGACCGCGCCAGTCACACGCACCGTCATTTGGCAGCGACCTGGCCCCGGTGTCGGCAGCACCGATCGCCGTCGGGCCGAAATGAGGCAGAGTATGTACGAGGACCTGGCAGCCTACGGCAGTGTGGAGGGCGGACTGGATCCCCGTCAGTTGGCCAGCGAGCTGGAGACGTTGTGCTATTTAGAAGCCAGACGTCTGAATTTGATCTTCGTCCACCGTCTTCACCTTGTTCATCAGATCAGGGAAAACAGTGGCAGTCGGAAGCTGGCTTTAGATCTTCTCCTGGGCAACATGAGTTGCCAACAGTTTGCTACGTACGAGGTAAGCTAGCTCATGGTATAAAAAACAGTAAATTCATCCTTCGTAAACATTTCGCGCTAACAAGGGTTTCTCTCTAATGTGGTCCAGTGCAGTCGTTGTATGCATACCAAACAAGGTTGAAATTACAGTACACTTTCACGATTTCTCGTTTCACCTTCATTTCACTTTCGTTTTACAAAATCACGCGGACGAAATGTGAAATTGAAAGGAAGTGAAATGTGAAACTGCATGAAATGGTGAAATTGGAAATCGCTTGAAACGCATCGACAGTGGAAGAAACTAGCGCAGCTCACAATATTTCTGACATATCCCGCTTATTCAGAATACCTGTGTAACCGTTTAATCACATCATTTATTTATCCCGTTGCATGTTTTGGTATAACCGTTTCTGATGCAAATCCCTACATTAGGTTATTTAGGCAGCAGACTGCCAACTGCGCGTAGTCATTAATGTCGTAAAAACGTTTTTAGCAAAAACCGTTTTTCGTCCGCTTCTGGGGCACAGAATTCTGACAATGAGCATTTCAATAGATAGCCCAAACGCACTAGCGCATTCAGATTCAATGTGACACAGAAATTATCCGTGCTTTAATAGGTAAGAGAACTCGGTCTGCCAAACTGGGATCTCGTGATGCGGATAAGCAAAATAAACATTTTAAAGCTAATTACATTGACAATTAAGGCTAACTGCAGAATAACGGAAGTTCTGACCTGACCAGGACAGTGTCAAAGGGCGCGCCATATTACTCCTACATTTGTTGTCAAGTGCAGTCTACCGAGTACCCGGACTACTGGCGCAACATTCAACTGCCTGAAAAGCTGGCGCATCGATTCTTCGACTGAAAAGCGCGAGCCACCGTCCTACCTTGCTCAACTTTGGACCGGAGTATCTAAACAGTATCTCGCTTGCAGTCAACCAGCTGTCTCCCAGACGTTCGCGAAGCACTGCGCTTGGCATTTTTTTGTTAAATGATTACTGGTCAGACTACAGAGTGGACCAGTTTATTTTTTCTTGCCGGAAAGTAAACACCGTGCAAAGGGCTAGCATGTTTTGTTTCGCGTGCGGTATGAGAAGTGTAAAGGGAAGAAATTAGTCGACGGTTAGTGCCACTCCTGTGATTATCAGCATTGCCGCGACGCACGGCAGCGATGTCCAGCTCCAACCTGATCAGCGCGGCGGAGTTCGACCGGACCGGTTCGACCGGAGTAGTCCCCTTTCCTGCTGCAGGCTGTCCAAGAAGCGGACATCGGCAGTCGCGCGGAACTGGCGCTCTTCCCGGCCAACATCTACCACGAGAGCGAGGGCCTGCAGTACGTCGCCGAGATCGGCGGGTGCGCCGGCAAGGGCTACGAGGGCGGCGACTGCTACTACGGCCGCGGCTACATTCAGCAGACGCACATCTACAATTACCGCGACGCCTCGCAGGCCATCTTCGGCGACAGGACGGAACGGAAACGGTTGCGCCCGCGGGCGGTAGTGCTAGCGGACAGAATCCGGGCGGCAATACCAGTCGCCAGAGTCCGACCGGCGGGGAGACGACGTATGTAGTAAAACCTGAGGATTCTCTGTGGGAAATCGGGCCGAAATTCGGGACGACGTTCCAGCAGATCGCCAGCCACCATAACATCCCTGCAGCATACACACCACCACCCGACGCTGATCCATCCCGGGATGAAGTTTGCAATCTGGGGCAGTCCGACCGCCACCAGAAGTGTGCCGCCTACATGGAGCGGACACCCTAACGCCGGCGGTCGGGAGAAGATCCAGGTGGTGCAGCCGGGAGATACCCTGTACGCCATCGGGCAGAACTACGGGGTCGATTTCCTGAAGATCGCCGCCGACAACCAGATCGCCGATCCCAGTGTCATGTTCCCGGTGATGAAACTTCGCATCGGCGACGGTCCGGCGGCACAGGGAATCACGCCAGTCGGCGGTGGAAACGATGGGCGCCTCCCGGTGCTGGCCCGCGCTCAAGCTCTGACTCTGACCGCTCAAACTCTGACTCTGACTACTCAAAGTCTGGCTCTGACTGAATAACCTAAGAATAACTTAAGAAACCTAAGAAACCTAAGAAACCTATTAAGAAACCTAAGAAACCTTCAGAGTCAGAGTCAGACTTTGAGCGGTCAGAGTCCGACTTTGAGTAGTCAGAGTCAGAGTTTGAGTGGTCAGAATCAGAGTCAGAGTCAGAGTTGGAGTCTAGGCCTCAGGTAAACGGGAACGCGTATTACGTGAAATGTCGTCATATTCGCCTTTTTGATTTTGTGATCCATGATTTTCTGCGTTTCCGACGCGTTGCAGTTTCGGTAAGTTGCCGAGCTATAACAGGTGATGGCAACTTTGGCAAGCAATGCTATGGGGGTGGATCACTGGTTATGGCTGTATTTTGCCTGTCTAAGCTCGGACTGCGAAGACGTTTTGAGTTGTGCCCTCTAGTGATTCTCATCAAATTGGACCATGGCTGGTTTTTGATGGTTAAGAAAAGTCTAAGGCTATTTAGCCCCAGTACTGCCTAATGGGGGCGGAGCAGCTGGTTGGCTATTTTGCCCCAGTCTGGGGTTGGATAACCTATTGGCTATTTTACCCCAGTTCTCCGTATGAGCAGCCAGACGGCTATTCAGCCCCGGTCTGGGGGTGGATTTCCTTTCAGGCCTTCGGCTATTTTGCCCCATACCAGTCCGGCTGATTGGTTGCCAAAAACAAGATGCCTTAAAGTGTGTTGGCTAGAGGAAAAAGTGTTCACACAAAGAACTCATTCTAGGTAACGCAATCTTTAATTGCAAAATTTAAGTTTTTGCTGAAAGCTCATAGACGAGGTGAAACTCTAGAAATTTCCGCAAAGTCACCATATTTTGCGAGTTTTTGGGGAAATCGTCTATATCCGCCATCTTCGCCGTATTGCTGACGATCTGGAATAAATTCGCTACATTGCTGCAAGGGTGTTGTCCAGATGGTGTTCTGTTCCTGTCTTTTGCTGTCGGAGAGGCCCTGAATGCTTGCATCGACATATCGTCCGTCGGAAGTTTCCACTGTGATGGATCCTGGAAAAGTGACGGCAGGGGTTGCTTTTGGTTCCTCTACCTGGACTCCATGGGAGCTGCATCATTGTCATTACTTATTGTTCGCTTAAAGAGAATGCTTCAGCGGTGCTGTATTTGCTAAGGAATGGTAATAGTTAGGTTGCGTTTTGCGCGGCCTTAAGATTAACGGCATAATTAACAATATTAGCGCTCACCACTGAAGAATTTCGAGATTTTCAACGGACAAGAATCTGTGACTAAAAAACTGCGATAAGGATAACCGTTGTGACTGGCTTATTTTTCAGTGATGCACGATTCGTGCCGTCTGTGCACACACCCACAATCTCGACAATATCGCGAATCAAAATATCTTCTCTTGAGTAGATATTTCAGCCAAATCTCGATAATCCACGATAATCTCGTACAACTCAACACAAGCACAACATCAGCTGCCACAATTATCGGTACGTCTCACGATAAGCTGCAACATGAAAATGCATGAATCATGAATAACGTGAAGCTATTGGAAATTTTTTTCATGTGTCAGAGATTATGGTTTTGGTTGTAATGTCGCAGATCTACAGCCGTGTTTGATGGTGAGCGCTACTAATAAAGCCTTTTAGGCTATGGCTATTTTGCCGCAGTATCACAATAGGGGTCTAAATTGCCCTCAGACTATTTTGGAGCACACTGCGCCGGAATAGCCAGTTGGCTATTTTGCCGCACTATGGTGGGCGAAATAACTTATTGGCTATTTTACCGCACACTGCGTTAAAACAGCTCGTTAGCCATTTTGCCGCACTACGGACGGGAAATGGATAATTATAATAAGAGACACTCGGTAATAAGGGGCATCTCTGCCAACACATTCCCTTAAACTGCCGCACTAGTTATTGGTTTCCTCGGCATCAGATTGCCCGCACTGACAACCAGTGCGGGCAATTTTTTTGTCAGCCATAACGAACTAACACCAGACTGATATTAGTCATTCATTGCGACATTTGCGTAATGCGCGTCTGTAACCGTCTAAATGACCGGCGGTCGTTTTGGACGGTTACACACGTTTGTAGCCAGCTGACACTTTAGTTAGACCGCACTTAAACGGATGGAACACCCTACGGACACGCATGGACAGCAACCTAAAGAAGGGCGAGCATCACAAACGCGCCCGCTCGGTAAACCGGGCGTCCCGGTGGACACCGCGGACCAAGCCGAGCCGGTGAACCCACAATCTGGAGAAACGAATAGCGGAAACCGTAGTGGGTGGATCGTAACCCGGCACGGCTCCCAGATCACCCGGCCCGGATGGAGCGGACCAGCTTACATCAACGGTCACTCGGCAGAGTTCAACCGAGAGCTCAGTCGATCGATTGACGGGCGAGTCGACCATACCGTCGCCGGGCGACACTGTTCGAGCCGGATTTGTATCACTGTCTCTAGTAGACGGCAGCCCGAAATCGACACCAAAGGCGGTCAAAATTCGCCCCGAACGAGCGGGTATTTCAGACGCCGGTAGGACAGCAGTTCCAGAAACTTAGCGGGCCGCCGGACCAGGTTCATGGCACGACAGACAGACAATCGGCGCATCTGTGAGTCCAGCTATCGGCTCATCAGCCGCCCGGTACAAGACCGACCGCATGAAGGCAAGCTGGGCGGAAAAGGATGCGACAATTAACACCCTGAAAACGGAGAATGCGGACATGGCAGAAGTTACCAACCGACTCCAAAAACGGGCGGACACTTTCGTGAACGAGGGGGTCTGCCTTAGGCAGGAGTGCAGCAAAAGAACCGAAGCGTTAGAGACGCTACAGCGACAGCTTCGGACGGAAACGAAAGAAGGGACGCGTACCAAGAAAAGCTCGAAAAATCTATGGTCGAGTCGACCGTGTTCATCGCACTGACCGTCAAAGAGGCAGCGCTCCGACTTAGCCGGGTTGCTGTCCATGCTGCAATAAGCCCGTGTGCATTACGGCCTGCTGATACATCCGGCCGATCAGCTGTCCAGATTTCATCCTTCAGTATTGCATCATGCCGGACAGCTGTCCCGGCGAGAATCGCCGGGGCGCGAAGCGCCCTGGTCGACGGGATGACCAGGCCGATGCCGACTGAGACCAACGACACGACCGGAAAGAGAAACTGAGAGGCCGGGCCGATGTCGATCGGATTTGACACTACGTTAGCAAATCGAATAATCAAATCGGCAACTGGAATATCCGGGGTGGTTGCTTTGGGGATCCTGGCGGAAACCATCAGAGAATGCCCCCAATGCGCTAGCTGCTGCCGTCTTCGACTCAGCATCCGCCGCCAACGGTGCAGCCAGGATCCATGGGTGCTCCTCTTTATAAGCAACAGCAGCTTGGGAAATTAGGCGCTCGTGTATACAGGACGACGGCGATAGCGGCTGTGCCGTTCCCGGCTGTGCCGTTGCCGGCTGTGCCATTCCCGGTATCCTTTCCAAAACGTGATGACCGAGCTGACGTAAATTGATAGGTAAATCTATCCGACGGTTTTATGTGCAGAACGGCCAACTGGATGTAGCCGTCATGAATAAACCGGAATGAAGCCTTTTCCGGCTTCGCAATCGAGTGCTACAAGAACCATTCGACCTTCGAGCGTGAAGAAAGCAAGCCCGTCAATGAATGACTGGATGATTTGGCTACCGATTTGCGAAATGCAAGCAGGCTGACGCTACACCGCAGATGAGCAACCAAATCTACCGCTGGGGCAAGAAACGCCGGAGCAGTGCTTCGAAGTGATGATGAACATAAAATCACGTGGCGGTATCCCAGAACAGCTGGCGGAACACCACGAAAACAAGCAGCATGAAAATGCCCATCTGGAGCGATTTGCACCGGGCCTGATGGTTGTAGCGCTGTATTTTATGGTTTCACCCGAGCAAAACTCGTAGGTTGACATGTAGCCAGCAGGTTCATAAGAACCTGCTAGTTACATGCAATCTGACCAAAACAAACAATCCCCCTGTTTTACAGAACTTCCGTCACTTTACCTTACAGAGCTCATTAAAAGTGCGCGGCGAGACGGGCTGCAATAACGGTGTGGCAAAATAGCCAACTCGCTACTTAGCCGCAAACACTGCGGCAGAATAACCACTTCGATAAGTTTAATCTTTAGTAATCTGTGTTTGATGACGGTTTTAGAGCAGGATTTATACGCACGGTAAAAATGACCACTACCCCTTCCCCTTAATCTCCCCTTAGGCAGTTACCGACACATCAAAAGATTCAAATTTTAGTATTCCTGAATCCGCATTAAAAAGTTACACCATAAACATGCAAAGAGAAAAACCTAACGATGCACATAAGTATTTTCGACCGGAGCGTAGCGAAGGTCCTCTATATTCAAAACAAACGCATTCGTTGATTTCTGTCCGTTACGAAAACTCGTTACGGAAGTTCGTTACGAAAGTTTGTTACGGAAGTAACACTATGACGTCATACAGCTGACCGCTATGACGTCACCGCTGCCCTGGCGTATGACGTCATTGTGTTTCCCGCGAACAGGGTGCATACACAGCGGTACTGCAACTTTAGGTTTCGTTACTTTACAGAAAATCGTTACGAAATAGCGCTATCAGCGCATTTACACTACAATGCCACTGCTCACTGCGGTGTTTTTGCGGGCTTATTAAAGTCAAACAAAGTCAATCAGCTGATCACTGCGACGTCATCGACGCAGTTATCGCGCTGCGCTTTTTGGCTGGTGCGACGCATTATGTATATATGATACGCAACGGTACTGCAACTTTAAACCCTGTCCGTACGGAAGTTTATTGCAAAATAATGCTACGTCATCGCATTTAACCGCTACGATGCTTTTGCTGCCTGCCGTGTTGTTGCGGGGCCTTTGCAGTGCTGGAGTTTTTTTCTGTCCGCTTGTTAAGTTGTACCAACTGGCGTTATAGCCTAAGCATTAGTCTCCCCCTCCGCCGTCGCTTCGTGAAAACAGAGAAACCCGCGGTTTTACTAAAGAGAATTGACCCGATAAATTGTGCCAAACTCGGGTAAAAGAACAAAAACATTAACTTTCGCTCACTTCAAAACACCTGTTTGCGCTGTTTTATGACAATGTGTAGCGAAATAAGTTGTATAAGTACATTGGCATAAAAACCAGTTGTGCGCGCAACATTCTGCCTTTTGGTGAGTTATGGCTGAGATAATATTCCAAAATGTTAAACGGAAGCAGGTGTAATAAGAATCTTATTTTACAGCGATCTCTCACATTTTGCACAAAAATGCATAAAAACATGAAGATTGTTTTGACACTGAGCCGGAATTTTGG